CACGGAGCTGCTGAGGGAGGGGGATGTCACGAGTGCGCTGCTGCTGCTGCTGCTGCTGCTGCTGGCGCTGACCACCACCGGAGCCGACCCTCTGCGCAGTGCCACCCCGACCAGCTCCACCTCCTCCGCCGCCGCCTCCTCCACCGCCGCCACCTCCGCCACCTCCGCTCCCACCGCCACCGCCGCCGCCGCCTCCGCCTCCACTGCCGCCACCGACACCTCCACCCACGCCACCACTCCCACCACCACCCCCACCCCCTCCACTGCCTCCACCGCCACCTCCGCCACCCCCGCCAGCCCCTCCAGCACCCTTGCCCCCCTTGCCCTTGCCGGTGCGGCGTCTCCCGCTCGGGGCAGACGCAGCGCCGACCGACTCGAAACCAACGAGGTCGGCCGCAGCAGCAGAGGCAACAGAGGGCAAAAGGGGGGAGGGGGAACACCCCTCAAAGACGGGGGTGCGAGGGTCACCACGAGAGGCTCCTACAGCGACTATGCTCTTCTCTGCTGCTAGGAGGGCCTTCTCGAGGAGGTCAACGGTGAGAGTGGTGGGGCAAACTGAGAGGAAGTGGTCCCTGACTACGCGAAGGGAGTCAGGGAGCCGGGTGACTATGTAGTAGAGGGTGATGTACATGGGGGGGGGGTTCTTGGCGCAGAACTCAGCAGGAAGCGCAGCGCGGTAGCGAGTGTCACTAGTGCGGAGGTGCGTAATGAGGTCAGCGACTGTGGGAAAGGCAGCAAGGTCAGGGAAGAGGTACGGTAGCATGAGGCGGCTCAGTGCAGCAGTGGCAGGGGAGGAGTAGCGCGCAACTACAGCGTCGTACAAGGTCTGAGCACTCTTGTACTGGCTAAAGTGCGCACGCTCAGAGGTAGGCAGGTGGCGACGCACAGCAAGACGTGCAGCAGCATCGCGTGTGGCCCACTGTGAGCGAACAGTGGCGTCGGCATCAGCAGCAGGGGCAGGAGAGGCACCAGAGGTGAGGTCAAAGAGGGAGAGACCGTCTGCCCTATCGCACTGTAGGAAAAGCTGCAGGTCATCTACCCAGACGTCAAAGTCAATGGCCCGACCCTCAGCGTCAAAAGCGAGGACACTAGGGGTAGCCATGACAGCAGTAGACTAGCAGCGCGAACAGTAGGGTAAGGGAAGTGCAGTGATAGAGGCGCTGCTCTTACCGGACAGGGTGGCTCGGGCGGCTAGGCGGCTCGGCGGCTCGGCAACTCGGCGGCTCGGGCGACTCGGGCGGCTCGGCGGTACGGCGGCTCGGCAGCAACTGCGGCTCGGCGACTCGGCGGCTCGGGCGGCTCGGGCGGCTCGGCGGTACGGTGCAGCTCGGCGGCTCGGCGACCCGGCGGCACGGGCGGCTCAGGTGGCGCGGCGGCTCGGGCGGCTCGGGTGGATCGGGCTGCTCGGCAGCAGCTCGGCGGCGCCGGCGGCTCGGTGGTGACGGCGGGGCCGCGTGGGGACGGCGGCTGGGCCGGGTGGAGCGGCGGCGGGGCCGGGTGGAGCGGCGTCGGGGCCGGGTGGAGCGGCGTCGGGGCCAGTAGAGGCGGCGCCGGGGCCGGGAAGGGCAGCTCCGGGGCCGCAGGGGTAGGCGACGGGGCCAGCAGAGGCGGCGCCGAGGCAGGGAAGGGCGGCGCCGGGGCCGCAGGGGTAGGCGACGGGGCCGCTAGGGCGGCTAGGAGGGGGGGGTCGCGAGGGCGGCTTGAAGAGGCCGCGAGGGCGGCTAGAAAGGGCCGCGAGGGCGGCGTGAAAGGGCCGCGAGGGCGGCGCGACGCGACGGAGCCGCGAGGGCGGCGGATTGGGGCCGCGAGGGCGGCGCGACGCGGCCGCTAGGGCGGCGCGACGTGAAGGGGCCGCAAGGGCGACGCGACGGGGCCGCAAGCGCGACGCGACGGGGCCGCTAAGGCGGCGCGACAGGGTCGAGAGAGGGGAGCGCGACTCGGGCAGTGTAGAGCGCGCTCCGAGCAGGGAAAAAAAAAAAAAAAAAAAGTGGGCCCTAGGAACAGTTCCCACATGGGAACCTGCTCGATACCATGAGAAACTGAACGAGAATGAATTGAGTAAGGGAAAGTTGGGTACAAATTGCAAACCCTAGAAAACTGTACCCTATATGTGCTACCCCACTATAGCCTACAGTAGCTATGTCATATAAATCTGACAAGTGATGCCGTTCGGCCTGACAAACGCGCCCTCGACGTTCCAGCTCACCATGAATGGAATTTTTCAGGACATGCTGGACAAGAAGGTCATCGTGTACCTGGACGATATACTGGTGTACAGCGCGACAAAAGAGGACCATCTGCGGGATTTAGAGGAGGTGTTCCGGCGTTTACAGGGGCATCGGCTAATTACAAAAGGGTCTAAGTGTGAGTTCCTGAAGCCGGAATTAGAGTTTTTGGGGCATGTGGTTTCTGGCGAAGGGATTAAAATCGACCCGCGTAAGGTGGACGCCATCGTTCAGTGGAAGCCGCCTACTAATATCCCTGAGTTGCAAAGTTTTCTGGGGTTTGTTAACTACGTTCGTCGTTTTGTACCCAATATGGCAGGGATAACCAAGCCGCTGACCGACCTGCTGCACCACGACAGCGATTTCAGGTGGGGGGAGAGGGAGCAATCCGCCTTCGACGCCCTCAAAAACATTTTGGGTTCACCCCCGGTACTCCGCCTCGCCGATCCATCTCGACCGTTCGAAGTCGTCACGGACGCCAGCGATTTCGCCGTCGGCGCCGTCCTGCTACAGGACTTCGGCCAAGGGCTGCAACCCATCGCCTACGAGTCACGCAAGATGCAGCCACCTGAGCGCAACTACCCAGTCCACGACAAAGAAATGCTGGCCATCGTCCATGCATTTCGCGTCTGGCGCTGCTACCTCACAGGAGCCGACGTGACGATTCGGACCGACCATAAATCACTACAGTACATGCGCACGCAACCGACACTCAACCCGCGACAAATCCGGTGGTTGGACTTCCTCGAATCCGATTTCCGGTACACCATCACGTACAAAAAGGGCGCCAACAACATCGTCGACGCCCTTACCCGACCATCCATGCAAAACGCGGCAGTACTAATCGCCCACACCAACCCGATGCTAACAGGACTATTCACCCACGGCTACAAGATCGACAGGTTTTTTCGGAACCCGCAACAACAGGCTGCTACACCGCACGGCAAATACTACCTAAAAACCGGTACGAACCGGATTTGGGTACCAGCATACCAGCCTTTACGGGAGCTGCTGACGCAGGAGGTTCACGACTCCAACCTCTCCGGGCATTTCGGCACCGACAAGACACTGAAGCTGCTGCAGCGGAATTATTACTGGCCGGACATGCAGACCGATGTGCAGCGCTACGTGTCAACTTGCCCGACCTGCCAAGCAATGAAGTCGTCGCGACAAAGGCCAGCCGGACTGCTGCAAACCCTCGCGCCACCCGAACGACCGTGGCAACAGGTGACGATGGATTTCGTCACGGGGCTCCCAGCTGGCACAAGTGGCAACGACTCGGTGTTGGTCGTCGTCGATCGCCTAACGAAGATGGCGCATTTCGCCCCATGCCGAACGACGATCACAGCCGAAGATACAGCCAAACTGTTCATCTCCACCGTCGTACGCCTACACGGGTTACCTTCGGCGATCATCAGCGATCGTGATCCGAAATTTACGTCGAAGTTCTGGCAGGAAACGTGGGCACAGTACGGTACCCGCCTGCAGTTTTCGTCGTCATACCACCCGCAAACCGACGGACAGACGGAACGGACAAATCAGACCATGGAACAACTGATTCGCACCAACTGCCCCGACATTCGCAAGTGGGAAGATTCGCTGCCGATGCTGGAATTCGCGTACAACAACGCCCCGTCGGCCACGACTAAACAATCACCCTTCTTCCTGAATTACGGGATAGACCCCGTGGTACCCTCTTCAACGACTGTGGACAACCCGGTACCAAGATCGCAGCAGTTTGTCACGGAACTGCAAACCGCCCGAACGAAAGCAGCCGATTTCATTCGCAAGGCTAATACCACGGCCAGTCGCCAGGCGGATAAACACCGACGAAATTTACCCTTCCGCACAGGGCAGGTTGTACTTCTGGACACCAAGAACCTTCGGCTGCCGCAGCCCGCGAAATTACGGCCCCGATACGTGGGACCATTCCGTATCATCCAGATGGTGACACCTGTCACCGCGAAGCTGCTGCTGCCCGACGATTGGAAAATCCATGACGCCTTCCACGTCAGCATGTTGCGTCATTACGAACAGCCGCAGTCGCCAGCTGTTGCTCGACCAACCATCGCGCCGACCACTCGCCCCGTGGCAGAGCCAACGCTGGAACCTTGGAAGATTCTTAACCATCGCGTGGATGTGACTGCCGCCGGCCGCTCGGTGAAATTACTGCTTCGCTGGAAAGACCGCACGAGCGAGGACGACACGTATGTCGCTGCTGATTCGCTACTGGGACACCCGGTTTTGGACGTTTACCTGGCCCGCCGAGGTGTTTCGGATATTCACCACCTTTCTTAAAGGGGGGGGTAGTGTAAGGAATTTTCCGGATTCCTTACTGGGTCACACTATACGCGTACAACCCCGACTTTCGGAAAACCAGGCTCGGCCCGCCGACCTCGCCTTCCGAGCCACCACCGCGTCGCTTTCGGGTTTTCCAACCCCGAACCTGCACCCAACCATCTCGCGACCCCGCGACCTCGGCCTAGCTAGCCTTGCTATATTGTGCCTAGGCCTCGTTGTTCATTCAGACGTTGTAATCACTTCCGCATTATTGAGTTCTGCGCACTCTTTCCTTTCACAACTTATAACATTCCGGATAGCAGGGCTACACAGACGGTTGTTACGTTTTCGCCACGCACATATCAATTATGTGTTGATTTGATTTGATTTCGGTTTCACTAAGGCTGTCATTGTAGGAGAACCATAATGAATTTCCATAACATGGAAAAAAATCAGACAATGCAGTAATGCTATTCATTAACAGTATAATAAGTCCTACTGAGCAACTGACACCTTCCGCTTCACCTTACGCTTTGTCGTGCGAGCTGCACCACCCGTTCCTTGCACCTTCTCCGGCCCCTCTGAACTTACTGCACCCCCATCTGCCCCACTCTCCGCCCCTCCTGCAGCCGCAGCCTTGGTCACTCTCCTAGCAGCACTCTTTTTCTTGGGCTGTGCTTCCTCTGATTTCTTGCCGAAGGGCAGTGATTGCAGGAACGAGTTAGTCTTGGAGCCGGCACCGGAGGAGCGCGACGGGCGGTGGTACGCCTGCTGCTCTGCCTTGGCCTGTTGCTGCGCCTCGCCGTCCATCCCCAGCCACATCAGACGAGACGGCTCGCCCAATAGAACATTGCCACACCTGCATGATAATGAATCGTACGACACAAGGGAAGAGAACCGCTCAGTTGACCCACAAGCATGACAACGTTCTACCTGCCCACAAATTGGCTGCCCGCGAACCGAACCCCATCTGCAGCTCCACAGCACCATGCCTAACCCCACCACAAAAGCCCCATTTGTACCCTGAATTCCCCTTGCATGTGTAACAACCAACCAGCATTTCCGCATGTAATGCCACACGCAACCCAAGACCCCCACCCATCCACCTTAGCGCGGTGGTGCCGAGGACAGCAACGGGGATGTGGTTGAAGTGCTGCTGCAACATGCGGTCGAGTCCGTACAGCAGCTGGTAGCGCAGGTTGCCTGACAGCCCTGTGTGCGCCCCATACGCCGCTGCACTCGTGCTCGCTGACGGCACGACCACTGACGGCCGGAAGCCCTCCTTGCTGCACGGGGGGAAAAAGAGGGGTGGAGAGGGGTGAAAGTGGGTGGGGTGAGAGAGTGGGAGATGGCTCAGCTGGTAGCGCAGGTTGCCTGACAGCCTTGTGTGCGCCCCGTACGCTGCTGCACTCGTGCTGGCTGACGGCACGACCACTGACGGCCGGAAGCCCTCCTTGCTGCACGAGCGGGAAGGGGTGCGGGTAGGGGAGGGGGGAGATGAAAGGAAGGTTGTGCGGGTGAGTATGTATGAGCGAGTAGAGTGTGAAGGTGGGTGGACTGAAAAATGGGGAGCGGCGGATGGCTGGGCGGGCGGGCGGGGGATGGCTGGGCAGGGGAAGGTCAAGATTGGGAAATGGGGAGAGCGGAGAGGGTTTAGGGTGAGAGGTGAGTAGGCGGGAGGGTGACGAGTGGGGTGTGTTGAGGAAACGAAAATTGGGATGGATCAGAAGGTGGAGAGACGGGGAAGTCGCAGAAACAACGGAGCAAACAGGCTTACCCCTTGGAAACGGCTGAGAGAATGGCGTTGGAGGCAAGGCCCCCCAGGGCGCCGACCGTGGATCCCACGAGGCTGAGCTTGGCAGCATTGAAAAAGAAGCTGCCGGCGCGGGCGGGCAGGTTGAACTCGCGCAGCGGGTAGCTCTTGTCGAACATGTTGTTTGGCAGCTTCTGCAGCGCCATCTGCCACTCCGACGTGGCCGTGGAGCCGTAGGAGCGCGTGGGGGAGAGAGACCACACCACCGCCGCGTTGCACAGGGAGAGAGTCAGCACGTTCGTGAGAGCCAGGCCCCACTCGTCCTTCAATCTGCGGTGGGGGAGGGAGCGGAATGAGATTTAAATGTCATTGAGAATTGGGAAGGAAGGAATGTGGGAAAAGAAAACACGGAACTGACGACGCCCGTCGATTCGCGGACGAAACCGTTCTCAAGATGCACTGGTTAGGCAGCCAGACTGAATCATTTACTCGGGAACCCTACAGAACCCCAATTTCCGGTTTGATATCCTTCTCCTCACCTGTCGCCGCGTTGCTTGACCTCCCACCACGCGGACGTGCCGACCGTGACGGCCTGCTCCAGCAGCAGCTTGTAGATGAACGCCGGATCCGCCATCATGCTGTTGGGGGGGGGGGGAGGAGAGAACTCAGCGAGAAGGTGGGGGGAAGGGAACGCTGAGACGGCAGGGATAGGAAGTGCCGATGGTGACGGCCTGCTCCAGCAGCAGCTTGTAGATGAACGCCGGATCCGCCATCATGCTGGCAGAAGGGAAGAGGCAGGGGGGCCGGCTGGCGCAAGGGGGGGTGGAGGGAATGGGGAAAGAGGCGGGCGGGAAAGGGAACGTTGAAAACAAGACAGACAGGGAGGCCTGCTCAAGCAACAGCGTGCAGATGAACGCCGGACCCCGTCCACACACCAATTACCCACAGGCACCCACTTCCCCTTTCGCCCTTCTCCACCCCTCTTTCGTTTTCTCCAGTCCGAAACGGAACCGCTCACCACGAGACGAGGTTGCGCGCCGACAGCGGGCGTGAAACGGAAGCAGATCGGAGCAAGAATGACCGGACGGGATATGACGGCAGGGGATGGGATCATGATCGGGACTCGAAACTCACCGGCCGACGAATGCGCGCGAGACCTCGGCGGGGGTAGCGCGGGAGACGATGCGTGCGATGGTGGGGCGCGCGTCAATCGACATGAATCGCGCGATCTGCGCCGAGCTCACCAGACCCTGATGGGAGTGGAAAAGGGGGAACAGGGAGACAAGAGTTGGGGATCAGCGGGGGAGCAGCGAAAGGCGCAGACTTTTGCGTCCGAAGACACGAAACACATGATCTTGCTGCTGCTGAGATCACCAGGCTTTAGTGGGAATTGTGAGCAAACGCGGGGGCATGCGAAGTTACGTGAGAAGGGCCGGGTAATACTGGTGGTGATGCGGCGTGAGGGGCGGGGACGGGCGAGGGGAGCGAGTAGCAGGTGCGAACTCTAGAAACCAACGGCGGAACTTGACAAGCAGGGATTTGGAAACATGACCTAAAGCGAATTCACACTCCGTTTCCCGTTACAAGCCACGTTCAGCGCTTCCTGACCCTTCCTCCCACTGCCCGCGCAAATCCCTTTTCCAGGTCCCCGCCCGCTTCAATACGCGTTCATCTCACCTCGGATATCTACTGTCAGGGGCTGCTGAGTATCGTACCATTTCAACGGCTCGTCTGATGCCGGCGGGAAGGTCCGCCATGGATCGGAACCACTCCTGCAACACTGCCTCGACCGACGCCCTGTCGAACACCTGCCGGGTCATGCGGAGCACGCACACATAACAGACAAAACGGGCAGAGGAGGGCAGCACAGACAGGCAGGAAAAATACAATATAAATCACAAATTGGTAACACATGGGTGCCGGATAAGTTCCAAGACCACAGACGCCGTGTCGAGCACCGGTCGACGGGCAGAGTTCAGGCATGGCAGAGCGATGGCAGGGAAGAGAAGACAGAGCAGACAAAACCGGCAGGCTGTTTCAACTTGAATGTCGCCAAGAAACAACATAAACGGCGGCAGAACAATGTCAACGGAGATACGGAGCTAACTAACCTCGGAGATGATCGCTCGACGAATGAAACCGTCGTCGTCGCCATCGTCGCCGTCGTCCTCGCCGAAGTAGTCGTCATCGTCGCCGCCATCGTCGCCGCCGTCGCCTCCGCCGTGCGCTCCACCCTTACCGACGTTACCGCCTCCACCGCCCAGGTCAATCTGATCGCGTACCACAGAAACACACAACACCACACACACAGACAATCACTCCACACGCAAGTCAGCAGAATTCACAGAAACAGACTCGAAACCCTAGATAGATAGGTAAAGAGAGGGACACAGCTAAAAGAAGCACAGCATAGAGAATGAGAATCTGGAGTTGCAAGGTGCACATGTGGAGTGGAGTAGTCTTAGTGGCAGTCGACTGTCCAGCTGCTTATGCGCCGACTCAAAACAGTCTTACCAATTCCTGCAATTCCAAGGTGTACCTGTGGGGTGGTCTTGGTGGCCGAGAACGAGAGGTCGAGCTTGGACTTCTCGAGCGTGGCACCGCCGCCGCCGAAAGCGCCGTAGCCTTTCTTCATCATCGGCACCATCATCCGACCCGACGGCACCGGCGGAAAGTCGTCCGACGATCCCTGCTGCCCCTGATCCTGCTCCCCCGCCAGCCCGGGCCCGCCCGCTACCACTCTAAGGCCCCGCTTCTCCGTGGGGAACACGCCGGGGACGCATAGGGAGCCTGAGGATGCGGAGGTGGTAGTGAGTTTGGCGTTCGGGAAGGAATCGCAGCCGGAGAGGAATTTGACGGAGGATAGTTGCGAGGGGACGCATGGCTCGTGGGAGTGCAGGCCGGTGGTGCGCTGCGCGATGGGCTTGCTCAGCGACGCGTGCGCGTGCGTGTGGAGAAAAGCTACTGACGTTGTGGTGGCCATCGCGGGCTGATTCACCAAGCAGCAGTTTTCCTTGCGGTAAGCTGGTAACGATAAGCGAGAACAAGGAACTTGAACTGGCACAGATATACTAAGCCGAGTTCAGAGGTTGTTGAGGTATCAGACACGTGAAGCTTGCTTGCCCTAACTGGACTTCAGCAGGCTGAAGCGAAGGGGAATGTGAAATGAGAAGGGGTGGTAATGAAGGAAAGCAGCTCTCTTGTTCTGGTTGAGGCATGCTTCACCCCTCAGCCTTCGGAGTTTCACTTCCAGAGGATAAGGAGCGTTTCTTTCGTTTTCTGTGCGGTGTAGTGTTGAATTCTATTGTGCACGGTAATCGGTAGAGATTCCCATGAAAGAACGGACACAAACACGACAGCTTGTGGTGGATGGTTCCCCTCGGTTTGGTAGAAAGGCAAGAAGGGAAAAGGGGAAACGCTGGGACGGAAGAAGTATTGTTGGGCAGAAGAGTGGATGTGGATTCTGCGAGGACACGATTGGCGGTGTGGGTTCAAGAACAAGGTGGCATATTTCAATTGATCTGTTGATTTTTCTAGGGCTTTCTACGAGCTACCCGAAGCAGCTTTCGGTGGAAAATATGTTGGGCTGCACCATCCACTTTCTGTGGTGTCGGCGACGCCTGCCCCCACTTCTGGGATTGCCGCACTGGCTTGCACAGGCAAAAAGGTGCCACGTTGGAACAGCGTGCAGACGTGGAGATTGCAGGATGAAACCTTCGTTATTGACGGTTGTGTTGTGGAACAAATAAAAATGTGGATCAGCGGTGTAGGGTTACGGAAAATACATGTATAGTTTTCATACCTGTGTAGAGTTACGGAATGTCATGGCAAAATATTATCAAACTCATAACATGTATATAATAATCCGGTGATCAGTTTCGGTGCTGACGGAGTTTTTGGGGTACCACAAATATGCCTGACGAGTTAATCAAATCCTGGAATCATCGTTCTCGCACCACCTACCGTGCACTTCAATTCGCTGTCAGATCAGTAAGTGTCAAAGCGGGTAAGTTCCTGTATAATAGCTCAGAATAAGTTCAGGAGAATTGCTAGCACAGGGAAAGCTCTAAGAACAGAAGACTAGCCGTGCTTTCATCAGCTCAAGCAGGAGCAGAGTACTCATCGGCACAAGCAAAAGCAAGCATTGAGCAGCACCACCAGCACATGGAAGAGGCCGACTGTAGGTCCACAAACTGTGTAGTGGAGTTGGTTTTACCAGCCATGCGAAGTGTTGGGTGTGCTTCTGTGTGTGCCTGAGCAGAGAGCTACATCTTTGTTTTAATTATCACAAGTTTTTTGTAACACGTATAAGCAATTCAACTAGCTGCCCTCTAGTACCTGTAGTGGGCAGGCTTGTAAGGGCCCTCCACAGGAACATTGATGTACTCAGCCTGAGCAGGGCTCAGCTTGGTCATCACAGCTCCCAGCTTGGGCAAGTGCAGGGCAGCAACCTTCTCATCCAGGTGCTTGGGCAGCACGTACACCTCCTTCTTGTACTTGCCCGAGTCCTTCTCCTTCCACAGCTCAATCTGGGCAATCACCTGGTTCGTGAACGAGCACGACATTACGAAGCTGGGGTGGCCCGTGGCGCATCCCAGGTTCATCAGGCGGCCCTCAGCCAGAATGATGATGCCACGGTTGGTCTCAGGGAACACCCAGCGGTCCGTCTGGGGCTTGACGGTCACCTTCTTGGCACCAGGGTAGCTCTCCAGGCCGGCCATGTCGATTTCATTGTCGAAGTGACCGATGTTGCACACAATGGCGTTGTTCTTCATCTTCACCATGTCATCGACCATGATGATGTCCTTGTTACCAGTGGTGGTAACGAAGATGTCAGTGTCGCCAACCACGTTCGCTAGGGTGTTCACGGCGAAACCCTCCATAGCCGCCTGGAGAGCGCAGATGGGGTCGACCTCCGTGACTGTAACGCGGGCACCAGCGGCCTTGAGAGCAGCAGCGCAGCCCTTGCCGACGTCACCGTATCCGCACACGAGAGCGGTCTTGCCGGCGATCATGACGTCAGTAGCCCTCATGAGACCGTCGGGCAGGGAGTGACGGCAACCGTACAGGTTGTCGAACTGCAGGGGACGACGGATTGGACAGAACAGGATTTTCGTTACCACGTGATCAGCTGAGAGTTACTAAGTGTTGGCCCACAAGGGCTTATGGGTACGTGAAAACGCTGTCTCTACGTTCAGGCTCAGGAATTCAGGCGGTTGCTAATGAACAGAATTTAGATCCAAAACCCATACATCCAATACAGGTTTATAAAAGTACCTTGCTCTTGGTGACGGAGTCGTTGACGTTGATGGCGGGGAAGAGCAGCGAGCCGTTGATCTGCATCTGGTACAGCCTCTTGACGCCGGTGGTGGTCTCCTCTGACACACCCATGATGCGCTTCGCCATGTCGCGGTACTTGGTCGGCGTCTCCTTGAGCGAGTCGCGGATGATGGTGAGCACGATCTGGAACTCGGGGTTCGTCGTCGACTCGGGGTCGGGGACGGCGCCCGACTTCTCGAACTCGATCTCGGCCTTCACACCCTGCAAGCGCAATGTCAACATGCACATGTTAGAAGATGCTCACCGCAAGATCGTCAACGTGTTTCGTTGTCATAGTGGTCTATTTCATATGTGACTGGACCACGACCGCAAGCCCAATTTCCTAGCAAATTTACCTCGTGGATCAGGAGAGTGGCGTCGCCACCGTCGTCAACGATGAGATCGGGGCCGCTGCCGACGCCCCAGTCGAGGCAGCGCTCAGTGCACCACCAGTACTCCAGCAGGGTCTCGCCCTTCCAGGCGAACACGGCGGCTGAATCGCGGGCAATGACGGCAGCAGCGTGGTCCTGGGTGGAGAAGATGTTGCACGAGCACCATCTCACCTCCGCGCCGAGCGCAGTGAGGGTCTCGACGAGGACGGCAGTCTGCAGAGGAAAAAATGAGACCGCAGGCGTTGACCGCAGTCCCGAAAGAACATTGTAAGATTCCAATGTTCATTGCTTTCAATGAGACCGCAGGCGTTGATGCACGAAGGAGGATATAAACAAACCAGTCCAAAATGTTCGGCGACAAAGGGCAAAAACGAGAATTTCAACACACCTGAACCGTCATGTGGAGGGATCCACTGATCTTAGCTCCCTTGAATGGCTGGGAAGGGCCGAACTCCTCGCGGCAGGCGACGAGGCCAGGCATCTCGACCTCAGCGAGATCGAGCTCCATGCGGCCGAAATCAGCCAAAGACATGTCCTTGACCTTGTACTCGCGGCCGGAGGCCGTCTTCTCCACGGTAAGATCGGTGGTGGCCATAGTGGCAAAACTTCTGTTCTAGAAGCACGAGAAAATGCCTCAGAGAGGACTGAGTAGATCGGAGAGACGAGAGAAAGGAGACGCCTCAACTTCAGAAAATTGAAGCCTTAATCTGAATGCTACAGAGAAGCTGGAGACGTTTATTGCTGATTTTGTTGGGAGGAACTTCAGCAGGGATCCACCAGATGTGTGGAGTGGTGATTCAGGATTCACGGGATGCTGGGTTCAGGGATCAAGGGGTGTTGTTGAGTGATCGAAGCGTGGGTTTTGTGGTTCGGGAGGAGGGAACTTCGTCATCGTTTGGTTCGGTTCGCGAGGGAAACCGTGGCGGGGTCAGATGATCTCGGCGAAGCGGTAATCGCCGTTGGATCTGAGAGGTTGTCAATGCATCGCACTGTCAACGAAACGCTGGTGGCTCACGCAAACCTCAAGGGAACCTGCCACGTCCTGAAGCATTTTGTGCTGGCTCGACAACCGCTAGGATGCCCTTTGTGACAGCACCACAGGTTGGGGCTTCGTCGTCAAGAAGTTCGTCTCCCACACTGACGGGTTACGGAGATTGAAGTCCACGTGTCCTCCAAGCCCGTGGGATGACAGTCGCCTCGCCACGCGACCTCTTGGCGATCTCATTACAAGAACTCCGACATTTGTCGAAAGAAACCACAAGCCACACATAACCTCATTTATCTCCTTAGCATACAGTTCACAACCTTCCAGGTCTGCTGCCAGCTATAGCCTCGCCGTTGCAACCAACCCACTAAGCGTTGCTTTCGCTTCTCCAAGGGGACATTTTCACCTCTGTCCCACACTTTGGAGGCCTTGGCAGTTAATGTAAGCCACGCCTCGTTGCTGAGTCCAGCTTGACTTGCATCTTCATAATCATTATCTTCCAAATCCTCACCAACATCATCACTGCTATAAAAAACGTACTCACTTGAACTGCTCACAGTGTAGACGGAATCCACAGCTGCATTAACATCACTAGCGCTGACCCCTCGCCTTTTAAGCTCCTGTAATGTCAAAATAAGTGCAAGCCAACAGTCACACAAGAGGTGCCTTTAATGAGCAGCCAGACAAAACCAGGAGACAGTTCTTGACCATTACAAGCACATGTAAGAACCGTGCAGCGTGCAGTGTGCACCAATACACACAATGCGAGCACAGCAACGGTACACAGAGGGGAGTTCACCATTCTGAGGCGAGCTGGACCCCATGCCAGCTGCTTGAACCTCCCTCGGGCGAAAGCCTCCGCGTACTCCGTGTCATTCACAAAGCCCCTGCGGTAATGACAGGCACGGGCAGAGCAAGGGGGTGGAATAAGGAGCAGAAGGCACGTGTCAAAGGGGTGGAGAACACACTGATCCGGTCACGTCTGATCACATTCCGCAGCTAGTGGCGCAAGGAAATGTTGCAACTTTTAGTGTAGCATGGCAAGGTTGAGCTTTTAGCATGGCATGGCAATGTCGAGACTCACAGCTGCTTCATGTAGTTGACGGCAGCATCAACGGCAGCATCAGCCTGCTCCAGTTGCATGCTGCCAAATGGCTGCCTTGCTCCTGCTCTCCTAGCCAAACCCCGGGCCCGCTCTGGCTGGGTCAGGTTGGCTGTCAGCTTCTGCCGCAGCTGCGCCTCCGACCACTGCCTGCACCAGCCACACAGACCACCCACACAGAGCCGGCCACACAGAGGCACAAGCAGTAGTCAACGAAGCAGAGACATGTCAGCTTGGAAAGTACGGGATGAGATGGAAAAAAAAAACATGTGATGGTCACGTGGGCATACTAAGGGACGTGAAATAGCATGCATTGGAACAGGCAGCGCAGGCAGGGGCAAAGGCATGGCATCGCAGGGTGAATGGAAAGCCACTCACTTGAAGCTGAGCAGTCGCACCGCCTCCACCCGTGCCATCTTGAACACCTCCTTCTCCTCCTCCTCCGACTCGTCGCTCTCCTGCTCTGCACCTTCCCGGAAGGTGACACTTGAGTCCCCTGCTGTATCCTCGGAGGGCCTCCCTGGCCCTTGAATCCCGCGCCGCTTGACTGCACCCTCCTGCTGCCGCAACCCCCCTCCTCGCTGTCCCCATTCCCTCCCGCCTTGCCCAATCACCTCCAACCCCCCACCGCCCTTCACTCCTCTGCTTCCCTCCCCTTTTTTACGTCGCTCCGCGGAATGAGCAGCGGAACGTGCAGCGAAACGGGGAGGCGAACGGGGAGCATTCTCTCTCCGTTCCTTCTGTCTCCATCCTCCCTCTCTTCCCGCGCCAGATTCGCCATCTGCAAACCCTTCCTTTCTCTCACCTTCGTTAATATCACCTCCGGATGCCTCCCCTCCACTCATCTCCAGTCCGCCTGATGCGGGATCGAACCTCACTGCTCGTCTTCGACCCGACTGGACTCCCTGCCTGCGCGACGGGAGCCCGCGGGGAATAACGGTCGCGATTCCAAGATCCAAATCCTCTTCATCCTCGGCCGTCGATTCGAATCCCGCCTGCATCTGCCACCGGCGCTGCTGCTGCTGCCATTCCCAAGACTCACGCTCTTGCCGTGGACTCTCGTGGCTCGTGTCGCGATCGCTGGATCGTGCGACTCTCTCTCTGTCGTCAGATGTCGCAGGCCATAAGCCTCTCGCGCGAGCCGCGCGCGCACTGTACTTAGCATCTGTCGAAATGCAGCGAACTACGCGTGTCAGGCCAAGGCCTGCTTGCCTATTTACAAGGAGACATCCTCGCGTGTTGAGGAGAAAACGTGCGTGTCGATTAACGAGGGTCCGCCTACTAAAGAGCGGGAAACCTGGTGGCGTACTAACGAGGGTTCGCCAGTTGCACGGATTGATGCAACGATGCCACCGTGACATGTCTGTTGCTTCGAAATGCGCTCCGCCGGACTCAAACTAAGTCGTATGCTGTACTTGTTTGTTTCGAGATTGAAGTGCGGCCGACCGCAGCGCACATAGTCGGAATCTGTAGCACGTCGTATCTTCAACAGTTGGTACAAGAATTGAAGAGCAGCCTACAGCAACGGTCGGACCATGCGCTCACACACCTGAAAAGGCTAGATCTCGAGGGAGGAGCAGGAGCTCTGGAGAAGAAGGGAAATGGAGCTCCTAGTTTACACCGAAAATGTTCATGCTGGCTCCCTCGCTATACGTATAGCAAGAACACATTCTTGAATATAATGGACTGTATACGTTCCTAATCAGACTGAAGACCATTTTGTTTTCCAGAGTGGACATCTTGCTGTTCACTGCCATTGGATCATTGTAGCAAAGCGGATGTCAGGTTGGGTCTGTGCGCGCACCTGTCATTATGGTTGGGAGGGCTCTGCTTCTCTGGTTGGTTGAAATTGTCTCCTAGATTGGATGTGCATACCACCCACATTGATAATCATGCCTGCTTCTTTTAAAACAATGCCTTATTTTGGCTGTGTTTGGTGGGTCGCTCTCACTTTGGTTGTGTGTCGCGTTTGTCTCTTTGTTGGATGATCCCTTTGCCTTGGTTTGGTTGTGTGGTTGGGTACCTTACCAAACCTTACCATACCTCAGCATACTTTATTATACCTTGCATTACCTTACAAATCACCTTACCATACCGCAGCATCCCTTTCTATGCTTTATAAGGCCTAGCTCTAGCTATGTATCCCTCGCTACTACTGCTACTGCTGTTATTGCTGATGCTGTTGCCTCGAAATGACCTATGAAGGGAAGATGGGGCAGTAGTGGGGAGGACGGATAACACGGGGGATTATACAGGGTTGGGGGGGATTATGTAGGGGAAGCGATTCTGTAGCCGAGGAGATAGCGATGGGCGAAAGTTGTAAGCAAGAAAAGCAGCTGAAAGTAAGAAGCAGCAGAAAAATAGCTCAAAAGATAAGAGCAGTAAAGAGCTCAGAGGAGAAGAGAGGAGCAGGGAGGAGCAGAGAGCAGCAGAGATGGGCACTGCACTTGGGGGTAGGAGGAAGCAATCTGGAAACAAGGGGCAACCAGCAATAAGGACAAGGCACAACATGGCAGCAAGGGAAAAGAACACTTACCCTGTTAGTTTTTTTAACAATCCCTTCATCCTCCTATCCTTTCCAGCTTTCCTTCTTTCTTCCTTCCCTTCTTCCCTCATTCCCTCCTTGCCTCTGCCTCCCCTCCACTCTGTCCTCTAGTGGTACTGTATGCATGCTGATGCTGTTACTACAGCCATGCCTGTTGCGTGATGGGGAGGAAAAAGGGAGGAAAGGGGAGCAAAGGGGGTACATCGAGAGGGGAACGTTCTCAGATTCTTATGCAAGGCAAGAGCAATTTCCAGAAGTAAATGATTCGAGGGCAAAAATGGTATGACTATATCAACCATGGATAAGATTTAAAGTGGCAACACGAAAGAAACCCCACATATTCCCTCGCGCAACCACGGAGGACAGAAATGGAAGTTGCAGGATGGGGAAGGGGTGGAATTCACCTGCCTTTCTTATTCGCTCCTTGCCTCCTCCCCTCCTCCCTCCGCCCCTCCCCCACCCTCCGCCTCCAGCCCCCAGCTCCCACAGGCCAGCACGCGATCATGCTGGACTCCGCCTCTTCGCCCCCTCTGAACCTCGTCACTGCTCCCGAGGTGTTGACCCTCGAACCAACAGGAGCAAGGACACGACAGGAGCAGGCACACACAAGACAGGAGCAAGCACACAAGAGAGTGCGACAGAAGCACCCACAGAAACGGACTGAGGAGACTTCAACTTCCAAAAGACTTGCCGCACGGCGACCTAGACTCTTCTGCCCCCCCAATAGACCCGCTCAGCGACTTACTGTACTGCCATGGTGAGACATGCTCCAATTCATGTGGTTGTTGGGCCTCAGACGAGCACGCCACCTCTCTGAGAAGCACCATCCTTTGGCGTGACTGCTGCTGTGGCCGTGGGTCTCAGTGCAGGAGGCACCACAGCAGCACAGATAGAACAGACACGAGCACAGAGGAAAGTGCATCAGCAGCTGCAGCGTCAACAAACTCGAAAGAAACAGAAATCAAATCTAAGACTTGCCGCACGGACACATCTAAGGCTTGCAGCAGCAAACACAGCACAGACGCAAGCACAGAGGAGAGTGTCAGAAGCAGCAGCGGAAACATACTTGAAAGAAGCAGAAATGGAATTTAAGACCTGCCGCAAGGCGACCTAGACTCTTCGCCCCCCCGTGGGACCCGTCGTATGACTTACTGTATTGCCATGGCGAGCCATGTGGTGAGCATCCTCCCTCGCACTGCACCTTTCTTAGAAGCACCATCTCGCGACATGACTGTTGCAGCGTCCATGGACCTCAGTGCACCGCAGCAGCGAACACAGCACAGAGACGCGCAGAGAGGAGAGAAACGAGCATCAGAAGCAGCAGCGGAAAAGGACTCGAAAGAAACAGAGACCAATTCTAAGACTTGCCGCATGGCGACCTTGACTCTTCTGCCCCCCAATACACTCGCCTAATGACTTACCATACTGCCACGTGAGCCACGCTCCAAGCCATGCGGTGCGCATCCTCACAGCACCATCTCGCATAGCTCCCTTTCAAGAAAGCACCACCCCTTGGCACGACTGCTGCAGTGACCTTGGGCCGCAGTGCAGGAGGAGAGTGTGTCAGAAGAAGCACAGAACACCACAGCAGCAAACACAGCACAGATACGAGCACAGAGGAGAGTGTGTCAGAAGCTGCAGCGGAAACGGACTCGAAAGAAACAGATATTGATACTAAGACTTGCCGCGTGGCGACCTAGACTCTTCGGCCCCCCATTAGACCCGCCGAACGACTTACTGCATTGCCATGGCGAGCCATTTGGAGAGCATCCTCCCACGCACAGCACCTTTCTTAGAAGCATCGTCTCGTGGCATGACTGTTGCGGCGTCCATGGACCTCAGTGCAGGAGGCACCAACACCACAGCACAGAACGAGCATAGGCGAGAGTGTGTCAGAATCAGCAGCGGAAACAGACTCGAAAGAAAAAGTCATCGATACTAAGACTTGCCGCGCGGCGACCTAGACTCTTCTGACCCCCCCCCAATAGCGTTGGCCAGCCACGTACCGTACTGCCATGGTGAGCCATGTGGTGAGAGCCCTCCCTTGCGAAGCACCTCTCTGAGAAGCACCACTCCTTGGCATGACTTTTGCTGTGTCCTTGGGCCTCAGTGCAGGAGGCACCGACACCACAGCAGCGAACACAACACAGACGCAAGCAAAGAGGAGACTGCATCAGAAGCTGCAACGGAAAAATACTTGAGAGAAACGGAAATTGCGTTTAAGACTTGCCGCGTGGCAACCTAGACACTACTGCCCCCCCGATAGACCAGCCCAGTGACTTACCGTACTGCCAAGGGAGCCATGTGGTGCAGATGCTCATTCACACAGCACCTTTCCAGGAAGCACCATCTTGTGGCATGATTGTCGCACCGGCACCGCTGCAGCGAACACAGCACAGACACGGGCAGAGAGGAGAGAAACGAGCATCGGAAGAAGCAGTGGAAACGGACTCGAAAGAAACCGATATCGACTCTAAGACTTGCCGCACGGCGACCTAGACACTGCTCTACCCCCTGATGGATCTGGTCAAGAACTTACTGTGCTGTACTGGTCGTTTTGCTCCCCTCCCTCCATGCAGTTGTTGCTGCTCAAAGGTCTCCTCTCCTGGGCCATCCCACACACAGAAGTCTCAAACCAGAGAAGCCGACACAGCAGAAAACATAGACGAGAACGCGTCACATGCAACAGAGGAAATAGACTTGAAAGAAACAGAAGCTGATTTAAGACACTTGCCGCGCAGCGACCTAGACACTTCTGCCCCCCCGATAGACCAGCCCAGTGACTTACCGTACTGCCATGGTGAGCCAGAACCTGAGACGGCTCAGAAGGCGGGTCCCTACTCGCACAGCGCCTCCTGAAGACGCACCGCCCATAGGCAAGCCTGTGCGCATGTCGATGCATCTCAATCACGAAGTCGCAGCACAGAGGGGAGTGTGCGTGAGAAGCAGCAGTGGAAACAGACTCGGAAAATAACGAATTCAGGTCTGAGACTTGCCGCACGGCGACCTAGACTGCTATGCTGCCCCCCGATAGACTCGCCCGATCTACTCACCGTGCAGCCGTGGTGAAGCAGATCCCGAGACGCCTCAGCAGTCGGATGGTTACTAGCAAAGCCCCTCCCTGGGGTGCGACGCACCGTCACGCCCTGGCAGGACTGTTGACGCGTCCGTGGGCCTCTCAGTCAAGGAGCCCCCCCAACCACAGCAGCGAACACAGCACAGGAACAAGCACACAAGAAAATGTATTTTAATCGGGAGAGGAAACGGACTAAAGGAAAACAATTTTTGATTCGAAGACTTGCCGCGCGGCGACCTAGACTGCTCCTACGCCCCCCCACTTGCGCTCCGTACACACGTACCTTTACATGTCACGATAGTGTCTGTCTCTTGGACTGCTGATTTGCCCGCTTCTGCCCCTGCTGCTCCTGCTGGCGCAGCTACTGCATCTCCCGTGCTCCACTGCTCCTTCCCCTTTCCACACACAGAGCACACATGAGCATACACGGCAGGAGAGAGCAGAGATGGGTCAGAGCAGCACGGAAACAAGGAAGTCGAGCAACAGAAATAATCGACGACGCAAGACACCTACGCGGCGGACTCATATGTCCTACGCGCCCCCCCACTTGTTCTGCATGCACACGCACCTTCGCATGCCGCTCTTCTGTCGTTAGCGTGCCTCGAATTCGCTCTGCTGCCGTCAGCATGCTTCAAATCCACTCTGCTGACGTCTGCGTGCTGCTGTCGCCGGTGTGCTTCGAATCCGCTCTGCTGCAGTAGGTGTGCTTCGAATTCGCGTGCAATCAAACACAACTGCTGCTGCCGATACCACCCAGATTCAACCCGCGGTTGATATCCGCTGCTGCTGGGGTACCCGTGTCGCTGCTCTCAGGTCGAACGTTCACCCTTCTGCTGCCACTCCTTTCATTCCGTGCACGAGTTTCATTCCGTGCACGTGTTTCTCCGCGTTCCGCTGTGCACGAGTCTTTAGTCAAACTAAAGCTCGCGAACGGCAGCAAAATTCGGCGAAACCAGCGAAAAGTAGCGAACGGTTAGGAGAAACTCGGCCGACAATCGCGTCGGGGGACGGCAGCAGCTGTGCAAATGACAGTGATACTTGGTGAACGGCACCGGAAATCGGCAAGCGCCAGAGGAATCCGACAAATGGTAGAGAAAATTGGCGAACGGCAGCGAAACTCAGGGCAGAGATGCTAAGTAGAGAAACACCGTGAATGGCAACAACGAGCTCGGCAAACGGCAGCGAAAGCCGAGGACAGGCAAAATCGGAGTAATGGGACGACTGGGTGAGTCGCGTGCAAGCCCGGCGTGTATTGAGATGGTAGTGAGCAGTGTCTTAGCACGGCGTCGAAGAAAAGGTCCAGCAAAGTGACCAGCTGGGCCACTTTGATAAGGTCGCTATTCCGTCAGGTGGTTAAGGCCACATTCTGAAAGTTGCAAATTCGTCGTACGTCACTGGAACGCTTTCTGGAAGTCGATACTCCATTCTGCAACTTAGAACCGCTTATCAAGGTCGCTAATCCATCATGCTCCTTCGGACCGCGTACTAAGGTTGATGATTCATCCTGGATACCTAATCCCTCCTGCGTTTTAGAGCCACGAAGTATGATTGCTATCTTATCCTCCGCTAGAACGCATTCTGAATCCGTATCACGGCTCAAGATCGAACCAGAATAGCCGAGTCGCGACGTAAACTAATATTAAATGTGGAGCGTAGTAGATGAGTTGATTGCCCAGATAAGGCGAAAAGAGGCAGTTTCTACACAGAAAATTCGCGTGCTATCGTCGCTCCAGGCGGATTAATCTCTACCAACTAACGAGGAGTTGAAGTGTCTTGACAATTGAAAGCTGGGCTGACATGACAATGACACATGGCGAGGCCAGAGTCTGGTCTGGAGAGAGAGTGTTGTTGTGTTGGCTGGGGTGGGGAGAGTTGTGTTTGAGCAGCCGAAGAGTTGTCCGCCAGGGAGGCTTGGTGTCAGAGACGGCACCTCTGACAACTTGGACGAGAGTTGGCAGCATAACCGAGGCGCAAAGTGGTGGAACCTGATACAGTTGACAAGAAAAAGCAAACTCTATTCACATGTGCATTATTGACTTTCACAAACATGCCACTGGTGACATGATGAAACATGATGAAATAACACACAAAATTCAAATATCATGTGGCAGGATTGTGACAACAAATTCCAATACGATATACAATGCATTAGCCCAAAATAATTTATTCCATGGCTAGGGTGGGATCTACGCTCTTATTCTATAATATATTTCTGTTTTACGTTAACTTGATTGTGGGATTCTTTTTCTGTAACTTAGGTTGGAAGCAATTTATCTGTACTTTATACAGAATTGGAGCGCCTCCTCTGACTTCGACCCACTCAACCGCTGCTTGCGTTGTAGCTAATCAGCTCTTATGAGGCCAAGGCGAATGGAGAGGAATCTTGCTGCTGGTGCAGTGAATATGGTGGCATCACAGCATCACTTTCGTCAAGTACAGAGAATCAAGCAATGCTTTCCCAATCACAGCGCGCCCAGTGGCAGGTCCTACGTACCGCATTCCGCGGTCAGGCTGTCACCCTGGTTTCGTCGCGGATCCACTTCGTCTCTCGTCCACTTGGCCTTTCCAGCCTGGACGGCAAAGTTGTTTGACCATCCCCAGGGTCGTCCTTGTTCTCAGATGCTTCCGCTCCGTCCATCCTCGCCGTTCATCCAATCTGACGCTCTTTCAGATGAGCTTTGGGATTATCGGTGAGGTCATGTTTGACTGAAGGCATGCAGGCTGGAAAGCGAGAGGAAAACCAGGTGGGATTCGAATTTTACGATCAGGATTGATCAAGCCGCGGTAACGTATGGTCGGGGCAAAAAGGCATCGTGCCGCCTTTCGCTGCGGCGACAGCGTTACAGAATTCAGCGAAACGGTCCAGGCTGCCAACAAAGGTGTCCGCTGAAGCGGCTGAGCACCGTTGATGCTCCAGTAAAGCATCTGATCCTTCTGCTTCCCCTTCCCCACGTCCACAGGATGGTAAATAAGAATCTTTCGAAACAGTGCACTGGACACAGTACCAGAGCAACAAAGAATTGTTTTGGAGGCATCTCGGAATTGTTTTGTGCAATCCAGGAACAATGGATGGAGACACAGAAACGTCTTCTCCTGCCCTGGCTCCTGCCAGAGAGCTTCTCATCTGCTGATTATTTTCTCCAATCCTACTCTCCTGTTGCTGTCTCAAATCGCTGCTTCCGACATTTTCCGACCTTTTGAGGGTTTCCTCGGAGCCTTTGATCGGAATTGGGAGTCTCAATTCTTGTCCAGGATGCATGTATAGCAGCCACGCTGAGTCCGCATCCTACAAATTGTGAATTCCTGGGGTTTTACCGTTCAGGAATTGTGACTCCTACAAAGGAGTGAGTCTCTCATTATTCCAGCACGGATTCAACTTGAATTCAGGTCCTTAAATCGCTTGGGCTACCAGCTCCCTTACGAGCCCGTGTTGTGTTGTGGCACGAGGGGCCAGGGCTGAAGGAATTGAAGACTGGGAAGACTAAGGAGAACAGAGACAGAGGAGAGAGAAGGCCGTTGGGAGGAACGGGCACAACAGCAGCCATGTCTGTTCGACCGGACGTTCTTCTGAATCAGATGGCCGGCGTTGATAGCAGTGACTCCGCCGTGCCTCCACTAATCAGCGATATTCATCTGCCACACGGCCTTCAGGCTGGGCCAACTCAATCCCCTCACACAGCAGCGTCCATGTCTCCCGGACTCCTCTGGGGCCCTCTGTCTGTATCAGCAGGGTCCGAGTGTGCAGCAATGGATGCAGCGGCATGGATGGCAGCAACATCGATTATAGAGGCAGGGGGTGCAGGAGCAATGGATGTAGCGGCACTGCATGCATTTTCGGACGAGAACGACAGCATAGAGGCGGAGATCAGCGCGCTACAGGACAAGATATGCGAGCTGCAGGCTCGCCTGCTCCACACCGTCGTTCTGAACCCGCATACGGCGGCCGCTGACACGTCCCCATGCCCGGAAAACGTCGCTGAAGGCGCCGCCTGTGCTCGCACTAGCAGCAGCAATGGGAGCGTGCTGGAGGAAGCATTGAGCCGGAGTGCCTCCAAGGTGACTTTTGAGTCGACTCAAAAGTTTGCTCGCACTAGCAGCAGCGGTGTGAGCGTGCTGGAGGAAGCGTTGAGCCGGAGTGCCTCCAAGGGTTCCGCTTTGGACGACTCGCTGCTGCTGGATGCCGTGCTTGCAGATGCCCTGCTGGCACAGCCGCTACTAACGGCGGAGCCAGTGGCGGAAGGTGCCTTGGCGCGCAGCGGTAACAGCGATGTGAGCTCGTTTAGCCTGCCCGTGAGGCGGAGTGCATCCCACGGCTCCACCCTGCACCCGTCGCTGCTCACAGACACCCTGCTGCCACAACCGCTGCCGGCAGAACCAGTGGCTGCTGAGTGTTCACCTGCACCTGATCGTCCGGCTGTGTGCCCCATGCAGGCCGCGAGGTCCAGTGGTAAGCGACCGCGATCGCCGCTATTGATGCTGCCCGATGGCCTGTATCAGCAGCAGCATGAGCACGCGCATGGACCGTATGTGCATGATCACTCTCGGAGGCATTATGAGGACGGGCAGGGGATTTTGTCTCCTACCATACCCACCTCCTGCCCCTCCCCGTGCTCCCCCCGACCCGGTCGCATCAGCCCTCCCAGCCTTGCGTCCCTTGACCTGCGCTGCGTTGCCCACACGCGTGAGGCAAGCCAGGCAAGCCACGGCACGGCTCTGGACTCGTCCGTGCAGTATCACCGTGACATGCTGCACCTGCAGCGCCACTCCACCTGGCAGGTCGGCGGTACCCACACGACCGAGGCAAGCCCCAGCAGCACTGCTCTGCACTCGTCCCTGCAGTATCACAATCACATGCACCCGCAGCACCACTCCACGATCTGGCAGGTCGACGGTACCCACACGCCCGATGCAAGCCCTGACAGTGCCGAGGAGTTTCTCATCCAGCACCACCTGTCCCAGCAATACCTGCACCAGCAGTACCTGCCCCAGCAGCACCTGCACCAGCAGCACCTGCCCCAGCAGCACCTGCCCCAGCGAAACCCATCCCAGCGAAACCCATCCCAGCAAAACCCGTCCCAGCAAAACCCATCCCAGCAAAACCCATCCCAGCAGAACCCACCTCAGCAGCACGCACCCCAGCAGAATCCAGATCACCTATCTCAGCAGCCCCTGCACCAGCAGAACCTACCCCAGCAGCACTTGGCTCGCTTGTGCCTGGACCAGATGCGTCAGCAGAAGAAGGAGAAGAAGGAACTGCACTCCCCAGTCGCTGAAGCCTGCTCGCCCCGCTTCCTGCTTCCTCGCAGGCCGTCCCTTTCTCGTCAGTCCATGTCCCCCGGGTCTCCTCTCTCCCGCTGCTCTTCCTTGGGAGTGGGCAGCGGAGGCAAGGGCTCCACGTGCTTTGCTCCAGTGCAACGCCATGAAGACGTGTTGCAGCAGCAGCAGCAGCAGCAGCAGCAGCAGCTGGCGCTGCTTGAAGCCGGCACGCCGAAGCAGCAGTGGGGGAAGGCTCGTGTCTTCAAACAACCCTCATCCTCAGCAGCATTCTTCCCTCCAGCAGCAATGCCGGCAGCACTAGCGATGGTTAGAGGAAGCGAGAGAGCAACAGCAGCAGCAGCAGCAGCAGGAACGGCTGACATGAGTCCTCTGCGAGCTGTTGAGCCCAAGCAGCGGCGGCTGCTGGTGAAGCACTCGCTTCACAGCACGAGCACAGGTGACTTGCCTGTCGCATGCTCCCACAGTGCAGCAAACGACTTGGTGGTGTTGGGGCCGGTGTCAGCAGCTGTGAAGGCACATTCTCTTGACAGCCACCCGCTCATCCCCTCCCTCACTCTCCCTGGCGCCTCTGTGAGCCCCAGCGCCCTGCCGCCACACCTTGCCGCCTCCGAGATTGTTGCTCGGATTCGTAAGACGCGGCGCCTGGCACAGAGCACAGCAGAGGCACAGCAATTCATGGGTGCTCATGCAAGTGGCATGGTTGCCTGCAGTCACAACAGCGCACCCGCTTCTCCATCCCTGGATAGCCACGTGGTGATACCAGGGGGTGCCTGCGCCAAAGCCGTTCATGCCTTGGCACCGTACTCCACCAGTTACAACCACCAGCTTCCACACTATCAATTCGTGAATGCATTTCCCCTGGGGGAGTGGCCTGCTGTCCAGTGCATGCCCGATGTGAATTTCAACCCGCCTGTCAATGGGAGAAAGAGGGCTGGCCGAAAGCCTTCTGCTGGCAAGTTTGTGAAGCTTGCTCCTGCACAGCTCACTCCGGCTAGAGTTCCCTGCGTTAGACTGCGCCAGTCCAAGCTCATATCAATTGCTCCGGCACCAGTCACCTGATTGGCACTCCACGGTGCATTTCCAGATAATATATTTTTGTGCCGCAATAAGTGAACATGGGTTCAGGTGCAAGCGCATGTATTCTTATCGGGTTTCTATGTGATACATTTACGTAATGGACTTGTGTACTATCAATAATTACTATGTGTTTTACCCATTAATGATGATATTGGTTGCTTTCGATCAGCGTGTAGCACCATAATTTCCATAACGGCACATCCCCCACCCCAACATCGAGACTTTGCGAAATCCGGACCTCGCAAACTCTTTCTGATCGCTTCACATTTGGAGGGGGGATCAGCGGACTCGACTCGACCATCACTGAGTCCTGCAGCTAGTGATGAAAGTCATGATCGAAGCGTTGAGTCCATCAGCTTCCGTTTAACCGAACGCGTCTTTCACGGGGATGAAGTCACCCTTAGGGTAACGAACGCTTGGCGACGGACGTATTGTCGCAATGCCTTCCTCTGCGACTGGATCGAGCGAATCCAGTGCCGTAGACAGCAGATCTAGTAGTTCGACTTCTATCTTGAGTAGCTACATTCAGAGTGACTATATCGGGGATGCATTCTCGGATCCACGTGTCTGGTCGCTAGCTGCCGCTGGTGTCGCGTTAGTTGCGCCTGTCGCGCTGGGTCTCCGCGCGCTGTTAAAGCCGTCTGGCGGCGCGCGACAGATCACGATCCCGGTTATAACGCCGGCTGCACACCAGCAGCTGCTGACGTGGCAGCAGCAACAGAGACTGCGAACGTGGCAGACGCGGCGAAATGCGTACGCAATTGCGCTGCAGAAGCAGGAAGAGGAGCAGCAGCAGCAGCAGCAGCAGCAACATGAGAGGGCAGCGGAGAGCGCAGGGGACGGGGTGCGAGGTGAGGAGGGGCAGTCAGCGACGGAGCGAGCACAGAAGGAGGGAGAGGGACGAGAGGGAGGGGCAGTGGGAGTAAAGGTAGGGGACAGAGGGACAGGTAGAGTGGCAACAGTGGGGGCAGAGGTAGCAGAGAGGACAGCGGGGGCCGAAGAGGCAGAGGGAGCAGCGGGAGCAGAGAGGGTAGCGGGCGCAGAGAGGGTAGCGGGCGCAGAGGGGGCAGAGGGAGAAGCGGGCGCAGGGGGGGAAAGCACAGGAGAGGGGAGCGAGGCGTGTCAAGAGGGGAGCGAGGCGTGTCAAGAGGGGAGCGAGGCGGCGGTGGATGCGGCAGTGGCAGCGGTGAACCAGGCGGGTCAACGGCTAGTTCTCTCGATGCGCTCCGTCGACAAGCACCTCTCCTTCTGGCGCCGCCTCGCCCTCGCGTCGCCCTCGCAGCAGCTCTGGATCGTTCTCTTCCGACGCGGCCCGCTCGCCTTCCTCCACACGTCCCTCTCACTCTCTCTCTCACTCGCCCTCTCCGCTGCCAACCGCTACCTCCTCCCTCTCCTCCCCTCTCCCACCCTTCCCGCTTCCTCATCCTCCTCCTTTTCTCCGCCCTCCTCTCCTTCCTCGAACCTCGTCCCGCCCAGCTCTTCCCAATCCTCCTCAGTTTCAGCAAATCACATTCTGACACGTGCCACGCAGCCGCTCTCCCCTCTTGTAACTCGCCTCGCCTCGCTCTTAGCGCCCCTCTATCGCTTCCTCTCCGCCCTCTGGATCTCCTTACAAACCGTCCCCCTCCTCCCCCTCACCGCCCTTCCTCACCCCGTTAAACCCTTGCAAAATCTTATCCCAGATCTAAGCACATTCGGTTCCAAAACCTTCAACCTCGACTTGAAGACCCTCAACCTCAAACCCTTTTTCTTCATCCATCTACACCGCCTGAGTTCGTTTTTGCCGAGCCTTGCGCCAGCAGAGGGGCTGCTGCTAGGCCTGGCAGCGCCGAGCCTGCAGGGCTTGGTTCGGGAGATGGTGGCAGAGAAAGTGGCGGTTCTGGGGGAGGTGCAACTGGCGCTGAGCGCCGCTGCTGGTCAGGTGAGGAGGGAGCGGGGGTTGGGGAGTGGGGGAATGGGGGTGAGCAGGGGAGAGAAGGGGAAGGAGGGAAGATGGGAGGGATGTGGTTTGTGGAGAGCAGGTTGTTGTGGGCATGGGAAGCGCAGTGCTTCATCTCCCCACTCTGTCTCCTTCTCTCCTCACCTCCCCCCTGCCACAGGTCTACCTATCATCAGCTGTCATCTCTGCCCCATCCTCCCTCGCCCTCTCCGCCCTCACCACCAACATTACCACCACTACCACCACCAGCACCAGCAGCGGCAGCAGCAGCGGCCACACTTCCAGCACGAGGGCATCTCCTCCCGACCCCCTCTCTCTGCTCTCCACTATCTTACACGCCTGCCACGTGGCAATCACACAGGCGTCAGGGATTGACGGGGAGAAGCCGACCCCGGCCGCAGCGGGCCGGGAGGGAACGGTTGAAGGCAGTGGTGCGTGTAGCGAAGCTGTGAATAACGAGGCAGGAGGGGTTTTGAGTGGTGCTGGAGTAGTAGCAACAGGTGACAGCGAGTTAGCTTCAGCACAAGCAGTAGTGACTGCTGCAGTGGTGGCACCGGCGGTGGTGTCACCAGCAACAGTGTGTGGGCAGGCGAAGCAGCTGAACAAAGATCTGAAGGCTCTGGAGCAACTGGTCTCTGCTGCGGTATGTGCTGGCTTGTGTGGTTGGCTGCAGGGGTGGGTGACGGCTGGGGTAGGTGGCGGCTGGGTCAAGTGGCTGCTGGCGTGGGTGGGCGGGCGAAGCAGCTGAACAAAGATCTGAAGGCTCTGGAGAAACTGGTCTCTGCCGCGGTGGGTGCTGCTGGCTGGGGTAGGTGCTGACCGGGATGGGTGGGTACTGGCTAGGGTGGGTGACACCCAAGCAGCTGAACAAAGATCTGAAGGCTCTGGAGCAACTGGTTTCTGCTGTGGTAGGTGCTGGCTTGTGCGGGTGGCTTCTGGGGTGGTGCCTGCCTGGGTAGGTGCTGGCTGGGGTAGGTGCCTGCTGCATAGGTTGCGCTGCCACCATCAGTGGTAACAGCAGCAACGGCGTTTGAGCAGGCGAAGCAGCTCAGCGAGGATGTGAAGGCTCTGGAGCAACTGGTTTCTGCTGTGGTAGGTGCTGTGCTGGCTTGTGTGGGTGGCTTCTGGGGTGAGTGCCTGCCCGGGTAGGTGCTGGCTGGCTTGTGTAGGTGGCTGTTTTGGGTGGGTGCTGCCTGGGGTGGCTGATGGGGTGGGTGCTGCCTGGGGTGGCTGATGGGGTGGGTGCTGCCTGGGGTGGCTGATGGGGTGGGTGCTGCCTGGGGTGGCTGATGGGGTGGGTGCTGCCCAAGATTACCGGCACTGCCGTCTTTCTCTTCTCCAACGTGGCCCCGTATGGTCACCCCCTTTTCTTCCCACTGTTCCCTGTCCAGGTGGCGCGCTGCCATAGGCCGAGGCACGCGGCGCAGCACTGGCTGGAGTACCTGGCAGGGGGGATGTGTGGCGTGGCGGTGGGAAGCTGGCTTGTGCGGCACAGCCGGCTGAACGGCAGTGATGACCTCGACAGGTGGGGAGACAGGATGGGCATAAATGGGAAGGGGGCTGTGTGGCGGGTGGGTGGATGGGGAATGGGGGACGGGGGGCGGGGGATGGGGGATTGAGGATGGGGGATGGGGGACTGAGGATGGGGGATGGGGATAGGTGATGGGCGAGGCACTGTGCTGGCTGGAGTATCTGGCAGGAGGGATGTGTGGCGTGGCGGTGGGCAGCTGGGTGGTGCGGCACAGTCGACTGAACGACAGTGACGACCTGGACAGGTGGGCTGCTGGTGTGGAGAAAACATCTAGATGGGTAGCTGGGTAAATGGGTAGGAGGTAGATGGGTAGCAGGTAGATGGGTAGCAGGGTAGATGGGTAGCAGGATAGATGGGTAGCAGGGTAGATGGGTAGCAGGGTAGATGGGAAGCAGGGTAGATGGGTAGCAGGGTAGATGGGTAGCAGGGTAGATGGGTAGCAGGGTAGATGGGTAGCAGGGTAGATGGGTAGCAGGTAGATGGGTAGCAGGGTAGATGGGTAGCAGGGTAGATGGGTAGCAGGGTAGATGGGTAGCAGGGTAGATGGGTAGCAGGGTAGATGGGTAGCAGGGTAGATGGGTAGCAGGGTAGATGGGTAGCAGGGTAGATGGGTAGCAGGATAGATGGGTAGCAGGGTAGATGGGTAGCAGGGTAGATGGGTAGCAGGGTAGATGGGTAGCAGGGTAGATGGGTAGCAGGGTAGATGGGTAGCAGGGTAGATGGGTAGCAGGGTAGATGGGTAGCAGGGTAGATGGGTAGCAGGGTAGATGGGTAGCAGGGTAGATGGGTAGCAGGGTAGATAGGTAGCAGGGTAGATGGGTAGCAGGGTAGATGGGTAGCAGGGTAGATGGGTAGCAGGGTAGATGGGTAGCAGGGTAGATGGGTAGCAGGGTAGATGGGTAGCAGGGTAGATGGGTAGCAGGGTAGATGGGTAGCAGGGTAGATGGGTAGCAGGGTAGATGGGTAGCAGGGTAGATGGGTAGCAGGGTAGATGGGTAGCAGGGTAGATGGGTAGCAGGGTAGATGGGTAGCAGGGTAGATGGGTAGCAGGGTGGATGGACGTTGGGTGATGGGTGGGGTGATAGCCGAGGCAGTGCGATTTGTTGTTGGAGGCACACGACACGGGTGCAGGCTTGCAAGTCGCCCGCACTGCTTCTGTTTTGGCGGTCGGCGCTCGCACTGCTGCTGTGTTGGCCGGCCGCGCTCTGAGTCGTGTTTTGAGTCGACTCAAAACACTGCTGTGTTGGCCGGCCGGCCACTGCAATTCACCAACCCATCTTGCCTTGGATGTGCGTGTGGTGTCTTGGTTGGGCAGGTGGGCTGCAGATGGGTGGAGAGCGGTGACAGGGTTCGTCACAGACCACATCTGGCAGCCGGTAAGTAACGCTGCTGCTCGTAGTTCCCGCTTATCCTGTGCCCATCCGATTGTACCCATTGTCCCCCCCTTTCCCCTCACTACACACCTCACTTCCTATCTCATTCACCACACACTCAACCCCCCACTCCCCCCCCCACTCCCCCCCCCACTCTGCCCCCACTCCCTTCCTCGTCCTCCACCCCCCCCTTCCCCCATCACTCTCCTGCTTGCTCCTGTTCCTGTTCTCGCCCGTCCAGCTGTCAGCGATCAGTGCAGAACTCTTTCACACGTTCGGTGACCAGCAGAGAGGCAACGTGTCCATGCACGACGTGCAGGCCTCCACGGATTCCCTGAGGAGGTGAGACTCAAGTCAAGCAAGTCAAACACGGTCAACAGAGTCAAGCAGAGGGGCAACGTGTCCATGCATGACGTGCAGGCTTCCACCGACTCCCTGAGGAGGTGAGAGTCAAGCAAGTCAACGAGAGTGAAGCAAGTCAACGAGCGTCGAGCAAGTCAACGAGAGTCACGCAAGTCAAACACGGTCGACAGAGGCAATCAGGGGGCCAATGTGTCCATGCATGAGTCAAGCAAGTCAATGAGAGGCAAGGTCAAACACAGTCCACACCTGTTTGAGTCGTGTTTCCCTCCCTGCCGCCCTCGCCCCCATGGCCCACCAGAATGCTGCTGACCTTTGTTGAGAAAACCCAGCCACTGGCACTCGAAAACACCAGCACCACAACCACCACGACCAGCACCAGCACCAGCACCAGCGGCGGCAGTGGCAGCAGCGGCAGCGGTAGCGGTAGTACAGGAGCAGCGGATGCAGCCATGGGAGCAGCATTGCCATCGGAGTCGGATCTGATGGCATTGGTGATGCGCGAGTATGAGAAGGACATGGCCAACCCCCTCACTCACCTCCTCACGGGGAGGCTGGCTGAGGCGCTGCTGATTCAGGTGAATGTTCAGTGAATATTCAGTGAACACTTGGATGAACTTTCGGTTGAGTTGCTTGCTTGCGCACGTACATCTTCACCTTTATGCGGCACCCCCCCACTCGCACATGTATGAGCTCGTTTGCCACTCCACTCTCCTCTCCGGCACTCATCCATGCCCTGCGTGATGCGTCCAGGTTCACTGAATGTGTCTGCTCTTCATCCTCCTCTCCTCTGTCCCCTCGCCTCTGCCCCCTCTTCCAGGTTCAAAGAATGAAGCTTCACATTGAAACGTAAGCCCCCATTCTCCTGCCGTCACCACTCCATGCGACTGTAATCTGGCCTTTGCTACTTTTCCCATTTCCCTCTTCTTTCCCCTTTTCTCCCATGCTCCGTCTTAAGTTGCTTGTACCTTCTCTCTGTCTCTCCTCTCCCCTCCGTATCCGTACCCCTCACATGTATTTCATTGCCTGCTGCACCTGCCACCCTCCACTGCCCCCCGCCTCCCCCTCCCGCACCCCCCCTTCCTCCTTGCAGCAGGGCCATGTGAGAGTTGGAGCAGATTCTGAGGGCGAATCAGATCAACTTCGCGCTGCTCACCCTCTATCCTCCTCCCTCTCACCCCCTTACTCTCACCTCCCCCCTCTCCCCCTTTGCAACAGGGCCATGTTAGAGCTGGAGCAAATTCGGAGGGCGAATCAGATCAACTTTGCTTTGCTCACCTTCTTTCTCCACTCCCTCCCCCCTCCTCCCCATCCCCCCTCCCCTCACCCCCCCCCCGTGCAACAGCGCCATGTTGGAGTTGGAGCAGATTCTGAGGGCGAATCAAATCAACTTCGCACTGCTCACTGCCCTGCCCGCCCTGCTGCTGCTCTCTGGCCTCTTCTCCCTCTCCCGTGACTTCTCCGTCTCAAAGGCAAGTGGAGTTGAGTGGACCCAAGGCGACCAGAGTTGACATATGAGTAAACTTAAAGTCGCCCTGCTGCTGCTCTCCGGCCTCTTCTCCCTCTCCCGTGACTTCTCCGTCTCAAAGGCAAGTGGAGTTGAGTGGACCCAAGGTGACCAGAGTTGACATATGAGTAAACTTAAAGTCGCCCTGCTGCTGCTCTCCGGCCTCTTCTCCCTCTCCCGTGACGTCTCCGTCTCGAAGGTAAACGGACCTGAGTTAGAGTTTATTTTTTTAGTCGAATCAAAAGGCGTTATGCTGCTGCTCTCCGGGCGGCACTTCACTCGTGACTTCTCGCTTTTTAAAGCACATGAATCGGCCTTGGGTTAATTCAAGTTGACTCGCGCTTACTCAAATTGAATCCAGCTGATTTGTTGCCCATCCTCCTGAGGGTGCGGACGGAATGTACATAAACTTTCTCTGTTTCCAGCTTCCAGCCTTTCCCTCCTGGAGCCCTCCTGTGTGCTTCGCCCTCTGCTCTCCCCATTTCATTTCAACCAGCAATGAATGCCCATCCTCCATCCATGCCCATTCCCATACCCATCAGGCATGGGGTGCGGAAGGAAAAGGCCGGGTGGCGCAGACAAGACGACGGATGCTACTCGCTGACGTGGACCGACACGTGCTGCTGCATAACCACCTGAGGGTGTTACCATCATTGAAGGCGTTACCACCAGCTCAATCATTGACATCCACGTCAGCAGTGCCCTCCACGTCAGCATCAGCACCACTTCCCGGATCAACGTCGGTGTCGAATCCCAATCCCAGCTCAGCGCCGTGTGATGATGTGGCATCAGTCGATGACGTGGCAGCGTGGCATGGCATGTTGGTGTATCTGCTGCATCGGCTGTATGTGGCGGTGCACCGACAGGCCAGCAAGGAGGGCGAGTGGTCACGGTGAGTCTGGGTTGATATGCATGCACCCATGATGCACTGATATGCATGCACCCATGATGCACTGATATGCATGCACCCATGATGCACTGATATGCATGCACCCATGATGCACTGATATGCATGCACCCATGATGCACTGATATGCATGCACCCATGATGCACTGATATGCATGCACCCATGATGCACTGATATGCATGCACCCATGATGCACTGATATGCATGCACCCATGATGCACTGATATGCATGCACCCATGATGCACTGATATGCATGCACCCATGATGCGCTGATATGCATGCACCCATGATGCGCTGATATGCATGCACCCATGATGCGCTGATATGCATGCACCCATGATGCGCTGATATGCATGCACCCATGATGCGCTGATATGCATGCACCCATGATGCGCTGATATGCATGCACCCATGATGCGCTGATATGCATGCACCCATGATGCGCTGATATGCATGCACCCATGATGCGCTGATATGCATGCACCCATGATGCGCTGATATGCATGCACCCATGATGCGCTGATATGCATGCACCCATGATGCGCTGATATGCATGCACCCATGATGCGCTGATATGCATGCACCCATGATGCGCTGCACGATACTTTTGAGTCGTCCCAAAAGCCTGGTCCATGCGTAACCTACCATTTTGTGCTGAAGCAATCATACCATCCGGCCTTTATGCTGTCAAGTCTTCACATGAAAGCATGACTTGACAGCATCATGACTAGATGCTGGTCTCACCTGCCCTCAATGCTGCCCCCACCCTCCTGTGTGCCATGCCACCAGCCTGCAGCAGGACATACTCGATATAGCAAGCCCCCATATGGACATGCAAGGCCGGCAGCTGCTGGCAGCACGCATGGCTGCCATATACGACTGCTTAGTGCCGCTCGCCAAGTGAGTCTAGGCCCTTAAGGCGCCTCCAAAAATATATTGCCTCGTGCCACTCGCCTAGTGAGCCGAGGCCCATTCCTCACTTTGGTCGAGTCGGTGGCATATAGTAGCTTTCGGATTCTTTGGAACTCGATCTTTAGGGTCAGCTTTTCATATTCATCAACTTTGAAGCACCCTGAGGGATGATCCTCAGAGAAGCAGCTTTTTCTGCAGAGTCAGCACATGCTCAAGTGGTCAGTTGCGGTTTGAGAAAAGACATTGGATGGCAGTGCAAGTGCGAGTGCTGTGGTCTGCCCCAAAAACAATAATAAATTCGGGAGACAAACAGCGTCACACAAGAGGCCAAGCATTCGCTGAACTTAAGCGGAAATCTGCACTGCTACATGCTTCAACAGCTTTTAGGCTGAGACAACCAGAAAAACAATATAAAGCTGACAGCCCCATCTGTAGGCCCACCAAGACTTGCACCTCATGCAGCAGCAGTCGCTCTGACCAGCCACCCATGACCCATGACCCCAGGCCTTGTAAGCTGTGTTTGGCCTTTCGATACTACTACCGCATGTGTCTGTTCTTGAGGTGCCCCAAACCCTTGCTTTAGGGCAGCTTGTCAATCGCCTCAGAAGGCGTCCCTTGTGACCATGTTCACCACACCCAACTACGTGTAATGAAATTATTTTTGAGACGTCTCAAAAATAACCTCATTACACGTGACCGCATGGCAGCAGTCATGTCTTGAGCTGCGCATGCCCCTTGGTTGCTATGTGCTTGAATAGTTGGTTCCTGGCAATAGAGGGGGAGGGAGGAGGGATGGGCAGGTCGTGACTCGTGAGCATGAGGAGAGGTAGTGAGAGGAAGATGCGATGTCGCAGAGCCTGATGCATCCCACAAAGGTGCAAATTGGACAAGAATTGAGCTCACCTGGAATCGAACTCGAGACCACACACTCCACATTCCAGTGCCGGCTGCACTCAAGACACACACACACACACACACCAGCAGCAAGCACAGGGGCAAGGGGCACATGTAAGTCGGAGGTGGCAGGACGCAGCAGGCCAGGAATAAGTTGGCGAGCGACTACCATCATGGCACGTACTTGCATCCCTCCTGTAACCCCTTTGCCAGCCTCTCATTGCCCTCTGCACAGCCCCCCCTCCGTCCGCCCCCCAGCCCAATGAATCAGGACTCATAACTCACCTCTGCGTTCTTCCCCTTTCTTCTCTCCTTCTTGCTGCCCCTACCACCCCTCCCCCCCCTCTCCCCCCCGCCGTCCTCCGCACCGCCGCCAACACCCCCTCCCCCACGCAGGTTCGCTTTCGGCCAGCTTGAGTCCCCCACTGCATCTTCCCCCATTGCACCTTTTCCCCCTGAACCTCCGCCCTTTCCCCCCGCACCCTTTGCTGCCCTCCGCCTCCCCTTCTTCCCCTTCCCCTTAGTAACTCCCTCCTCCTCAGCCTCCCCCTCTCCGCCTCCCCCCGCTGCTCCCTCACTCTCCCTCCCCTCCGTCTCACCACCCTCCTTATTGTCACCTTCACCATTGTCACCTGCTGCTGCCCCCTGTCCGTCTCTCTCCCCTGCCAACCCATCCGCCGCCTCATGCAAGCCATTTGCAGCAGCAGGGGTAGCAGCAGGGGCAGCAGCAGGACCAGCCCCCTCGCCACCACTCTGCAGCGCCTCTCTTGCATCTATCTCATTCGTTGCTGACGTGTCCCTGCTCTCACCCTCTGCTGTCGCTTCCGCTCCCTCCTCCTCTTTCTCCTCTTCCTCTTCCCTATCCTCCTCTTGCTCCTCTTTCTTCTTCGCCTTCTCCTTCCTCTTTTTCTTTTCAGCCATCTTTTGTCGGGCCAGCATCGCGGCCAGCATTGCCATCTCCTCCTCCTCATCCATCTCACCTGCCTCCTCCTCCTCTTCTTCCTCCTCTTCCTTCTCTTCTTCCTCATCATCCTCTTCCTCCTCATTTTTCTCCTCCTCCTCATCCTCCTCTCCTGCTCCATCGTTCTCCGCCCCTCTTATTCCGTCAAGCCCCTCCCCTTCTTCCTCCTCCACCTCTCCCTCCTCCCTCTCGTCCCCTTCACTCTCTGTCCTACCAACCGCTTCCCCATCCCCATCCCCATCCCCATCGCCATCTCCCTCCTTCCCCTCTGCCATCTCCACCTCCTCCACCTCCTCTCCGTCCTCCTCTTCCACTTCCTCCCCCTCTTCCCCATCCCCCTCGCCCCCCTGCGCCTCCGCCAGTTCGTCCGCCAGCAGTTCCGCCCTGAGCTGCGCCAGGCGCACCAGGTGCTTCTTGCTGCGCTCGTGGTTCCCCAGCTGCTGCGCGCTCCTGAACGCCTTGCTGCACACCACGCAGTACGCCTCATCCAACCCCACCTCACCCATCCCCACCGCACCGTCCCCACCCATCCCTGCCTCACCTAGTTCCGCCTCCCCTTCCCCAACCGCATGCCCCCTCCCGTTCCCCTGCGCGCTGTCTCCTCCCCCCGTGTGTGCGTCTCCCTGCCGGCCCTTCTTCTTTTTCTTCTTGCCTCCGCCTCTCTCCGAACCCTGCCCGTCGCCCTGTCCGTTTGCCACAGTTACGGATCCATCTGCCCCTGCCCCTCCCCCTGCCCCTGCCCCTGCTCCTCCCTTTCCTTTTCCCTTCCCCTTCCGCCCCCCTTTCTTAGTCTCCCCAAACCAATCATCATCCTCATCCATCCTCCCCGCCTTCCGCCTCCCCTCGCCCTCTCCGCGCCCCTCCACTCCAACTCCCTCCTCATCCTCGTCCTCCTCCCCCTCGTCCTCCCCCTCCCCCCGCGCCCACTCCGGGTCTTCATACTCTTGCGCACGTCGCGCCTTCTCTCTCCGCTCCTCCTCCCTCCGCCGCTTCGCCTCCGCCTCGCGCTCCGCCGCCACGCGCCGCGCCTCCGCCTGCTGCTCCTTCACGCGCGGGTCGCGCTTCTTCACGAACGCCGCCAGCTGGCGAACCGCCTCGTTGAACTCGCGCTTCGCCTTCCTTCGAAGCTTCGCGTTCTCCTCCTCCATCAGCCGCCGCACCTGCACGTGTGCAGCACACGTGGCATACATGGAAAGGACGGGACGCGAGGGATGAGCGGCACAGGCAGGGCACAAGGAATTTCAAACTCGTGGCCCCGATGTCAACCATCCCCGCCCTGCACCCTGAACCCAAATTTCTATCTCGCACATCATTCCAACCGCCTGCTAAAGCCCCGCGCTTGCACCCGAAACCCTGAACCCGAGTCCCCAATTATTCCCCAACAGCCGGCGTGTCTCACCCGTCGATTGGGCGCCTCGGCCAGATTGTACTGATCCTTCCACGAAAATTCGCGCACGCTCACGAACGACTGCCAGTATTTGAAGAACGCCGACACGTCAGCAGCTGAGCTGTCCCTCTTGCCGAACGGCGGCGCCGACATGTCCACCTCCTCCCCCTTCTGCGCCGCGCGCCGAGCCGCTGCGAGCTCCTTCTCGAAGATCTCGTCGAAAATCTTCGCATACACTGCGTAAAACCCTTCGCCTGTGTCGCCGTAACCAGAGTACGCGGAGGCGGAGAAGTAACCCCAAAGATCTTCGTCTTCGTCTTCGTCGTGGTTTTCGCCGTCGTGGTGTGTCTCGCCGCGAAGGATCGAGTCGCGATGGCTGTCGTACCACGCTCGCTCGTGCTTATCGCTTAGCACTTCGTACGCGCTCTGGATTTGCTTGAACATCGCTGTAGCGCGCTCGACATTGTTCTGATTCTTATCAGGGTGCCATTGTAGCGCGAGCTTGCGATACGCGGATTTGATCTCGTCCGCCGATGCGGAGCGATCCACGCTCAGCACCTCGTAGTGGCACCGCATCGTGACGACCACGTGGCAACACACGAATAAGAATGTTTTGGATGCTTTACTTGAGACTAACCAATGCGCGTCGAGCAGACAAGAGCGACTGGCGGCACCCACTCCCGCCTGTACAACCTCTCACAGTCCAGTCCAGGATTCAGAAAGTGAGTGGACTGCAAGCAATGTAAGGCAAAAAGGTTGATTCGAACCGAAAGCAACCCCTCTGAAGCGACTGTCAAGGTTGATTCAGGAAGCTTGACGAGCGGCCTGGAAGCACAAAATGGTCAATGATGCGGTATAGATTGCTCCCAGAATTATTATAGGGTAGCTCCAACTACTTTCACTGAAACAAAACCAGGTAATCAGAATAATATTAAACTCTAACTTTTACCCTGTAAAAAAAATCAACGTACAAAGAAAACAAATAAAAATTTATGTTATTTATATTTTTCAAGGCATTACACATTTATATTTTGTTAGCCAGTATGCATTTGCGAATAGCATTTGTAGACCAATTTGTTGGGGCTACCGGAACTTCATAGAAGCTCGTCATCCAATCGAACTGCCTTGTATTATGTTCAGTTGCAGCCCTCAGGCAGCGTCAACCGCACTCTTTCTTTCTTGATGGCTGTCAGTCAGAAACCAGTTTCTAGGTCACCAGTGCTGGGTCTTAGTGCCTCATTCCTCCTAGATACTACGTGACATCAAGTTTTTAAGAGAGATATGGTAATATTGGGGTATATTATTGGTCTTTAAGTTGGTTCGGCGTAGTGAGTTCCTCTTATGGCGCAGACTTTGAATGACCGGTCGAAGGGAAGCACTGCCACGTCGGATGGACGCGTCATCCTCCACGTGGATCTGGACTGCTTCTATGCCGCGGTGCGCTTTATATTATTTCGCGATCGCTAAGATTCTCTGGCGATATTTGAGTTCTGGTTAGGAATGGGCTAGTACGATGGTGTATGCGAGTAGGACGCATCCGTATTTCGCATTTCTAATCCGATGGCCTTTCCCTATTCAATTTTCCCTTTCCATTCTGCGACTCCTTTTTTTTTTCTTTTCTTTTTTTCTATCGCCGCCTGCGCGGTCTGACACAGTGTCTTTTCGGCATTTGTCATTACTATGAATGTCTGACCCCATCCATCTCACCATGCTTGTGCCTGCTTCACAGGTGGAGGCAGTGCGGCTCGGTATTCCCAGGGACACGCCGCTTGCCGTGCAGCAGTGGGAGGTGAGGGGACAGTGCTTCCAGTTCTTTATGTCATGTGCACGTGCACATGCCACGCCGTGCCTCCATCCATTCACCACACCTCCAAGCTACCATCACCTTCACTCCATCCACCGTCCTTTATGTCATGTGCGCGGGCACATGTCATGCCATGCCTCCATTCACCACACCTCCACGCTATGCTTACGCCTCCATCATTCACGGGTCTGTTTCCGAGCAAAGCCTCCTAGCAGTTCACCATCCGAGCCTCCTTTTACGGAACACACACATCATCTCTGCTCTGCGCACAGCGAGAGTTGAGCCATTTCATTGTGCTTCCAACCGGTGCCTCTTTCTCTTGCTCGTTCTCTCTCGCACCGCCAGGGCCTGATCGCGGTGAACTATGCGGCGAGGGCGAGGGGAGTGCAGAGGCATGACCGCGTGTTCCAGGCCAAGCAGAAGGTGCGCTTGTGCTGTGTGCGGTGCTGCTGTGCAATGTGCATTGCACGGTGCGCATGCAAGAGCATAGTGTGGCTGTGTGGTGGGGGCGAGGGGAGTGCAGAGGCACGAGCGCGTGTTCCAGGCCAAGCAGAAGGTGCGCTCGTTTATGGGGTGGGGTTCATTGCATTCACCACATGTATCAGGCGTTTTTTTATGCTGTGCATGCATTGCATGCACGGCGTGTATGTGCGAGGGAGGCCATAGATTGTGAGCTCCCCTCGCCCTCCCCCCACCCACCTCCGTACTGCAATGCCCAGAGCTACAGCTGATACATGTGGAGACGGTGGGGGGGGCGCCAGGAGCAGGGCGCAATGCGGGAAAAGTCTCATTGGAGCGCTACCGGGCCGCCTCTCAGCGCGTCTTTGCTGCCTTCCGCCGCGTGTGCCCCACTGTGGAGCGCGCGAGCATTGATGAGGCATACATGGACGTGTCTGCTATGGTGGGCACACGGGGGGAGAGGATAGGAGAATGGAAGGGGGGTTTGCTGTTTGTTCCTCCTCTTTAAGTTGCACCAGTGTTCGCCGCACGGTGGAGCGTACGCCAGCATTGATGAGGTGAGATGTACATGGATGGATCATGAATGTGCTCTTGTGACTTCCCCCCCCCCCCGTGCCTCTTCCTTCCTCTGTGTCTCTTCCGCCCTGTGTGCGGGCAGGTGGATGCCATGCTCTCACGCCCACCCGCTGCAGTCCCGCCTGCACCAGATGAGGCCTGCCCAGCCACAGGTGCCACCTTCCCTGCTGCTGCTGCTGCCTGGGAGGAGCAATGGAAAGCTCTATTGGAGAGTGTGACTGAGGTGAAGGCAGGGGGTGCGACTGAGGTGAAGGAAGGGAGTGTGACTGAGGTGAAGGCAGGGGGTGCGACTGAGGTGAAGGAAGGGAGTGTGACTGAGGCGAAGGCAGGGGGTGGGACTGAGGTGAAGGAAGGGAGTGTGACTGAGGCGAAGGCAAGGGGTGGGACTGAGGTGAAGGAAGGGAGTGTGACTGAGGCGAAGGCAGGGGGTGGGACTGAGGTGAAGGAAGAGAGTGAGACTGCAGCGAAGGCAGGGAGTGTGACTGACGAGAAGGCAGAGGGTGCAACTGAAGCGAAGGCCGAGGAAACTGAGGGAGGGGGTAATGAGGATGGAACAGAGAAGAACGATTCAGAAGAGGGAGGAGAGGGGAAGGATGGGGTGCAGCAGCCGCAGCAGAAGCGAGTGGGGGAGATGAAGCGAGAGCATGGAGGGGCAGAAGGCGGAGGATCAGCACTGGCGGTTCCCAAGGCACGGCTGGTGGTGAGGGAGGGGCCTCTGGATGCACGGGACGATGTGGAGAGGAGGTGCGACGCCCCTCTCCTTCCCTTTTCTTTCCTCTCTGCCGACCTATCCTCCCCATTTCCTTCCATGCTTGTCTTGGCCGGTAGCAAGTGTGTGGCACGAGTAAGTGTGCATGCAACAGGGCAGCAGGTTTATGGCATCCCCTCTCCCGTATGACCCACCAGGCTGCAGGCAGGAGTGGTGATAGCGCACCACCTGCAGCAGGAGGTTCTCTCATCACTGGGCTACACGGTTAGCGTGGGAGTGGTGCGCTGCAAGCTGCTCGCCAAGATGGCCTCCGCCATGACCAAACCGTTTGGGATCACCGTGGTGAGTGGTGAGGTGAGGCGATGGCAGGTGTATCAGAGGCATGGCATTGCGATAAGTGCCTGGCAAGGGGTCATGTCATTGTGTTGACTCAGTGGCTGCTCGCCAAGATGGCCTCCCCCATGACCAATCCCGTTCGGCATCACTGAGGTGAGTGCCATGGTAGTGTATGCTGTGGGTGCTCACTGTCCGCTGCACTGTGAACATTAACTCTGTCAACCTATGCGATCACCGCACCCAGTACGCCTTCTGTCCCCAACCCAACCCCCCCCAGGTGCCACCTCGTGCCGTCCCTGCCCTGATGGAGAACGTTCCTCTGAAAAAGATCCGCAATCTGGGCGGCAAACTGGGGCAGGTGAGATGGGTGGGGTGAGGTGGGGGGGGTGAGGTGGGAGGGCAGCGTGTGGGTTGAGGAAGGGAGAAGTTGATCAGAGGAGGAATAGAGGAATTGGGTGTTTTCTTGAGTGGCCCTCACTATGGCAACACACGCAGGAGTAGATTGAAGTCACTGGGGGTGGGTGGCACTACAGTTCAGCACAGCAATGGCATTGCCATCAGCAGCAGCTGCAGACGAATCTATCTAAAAGCTGATGGCCTATCTCTTGCAGGAGCTGCAGGCAATGGGATGTGCAATTGCAGGCCAGGCACAGGCGCTGGAGCTCCCAGACCTCATCGCCAGGTTCGGGGACAGGCTCGGGAACTATGTGTGGAGAGCTGTGAGGGGGCTGGATGAAACGCCAGGTGTGCCTTTCGTACCCCTACTTCCCACTCCGTTTTTTTCTGTTGAGGCAAGATGGAATCGTTGTTGTCCCTTTTCGTGCTTCCTGCATTCCTCTGCCTTTATGCAATGCTCCCCTCTGTGCCTCACACCCGCCCGTGCCCATTCCTTTCCCCCATCGCCAACCCTCGTTGTGGGGTGCAGTGGAGGAAAAGGGTGTGCCCAAGTCCATGCTCGCTGCCAAGTCCTTCAACGCCACGTCATCCTGGGATGACATCTGGTGAGTCCACGTCAGCATAAAGTGGCATCTGCTAAGGCCACGTCATCATGGGATGGCATCTTTTGGGAGGGATCATGTGTGAGGTGAGGGGTGGGCTGGTAAGGTCACAAGATCGGATCAGGCGTTTCCTCAGCAGACCCCTCTGCCTGACTGCTCCTCCCTCCCCCTATCCCCTCCTCTCCCTCTCCATCCCCACCCTCGCTCCCCTTGCCCTTTTCGCTTCCCTCTCCCTGGCTTACAGTCGCTGGATGACCATTCTCGCTCAGGAGCTCTCCCTTCGCATGCTCAAGGACGCAAAGGACAACAAACGCCGCCCGCGCTCCCTGCACCTGCACTACAGGGGCGGCAGTGACGGTGGCGGCGGCAGTGGTGGGTGGGGGGGAGGCGGAGGCGGGGAGAAGTCGCGGTCTTGTGGCATGCCTCGCGACATCGAGAGGGTGATAGAGGGGTTTGTGGACCGATGGTGCAGGGAAGGGGGGAAGGAGGGGGGAGAGGAGAGACGGGATTTGAGGGAGGAGGGGAGAGAGGAGGGGAGAGAGGAGGAAAGGGAGGAGGGGAAGATTGGAGGGAGGGAGGAGGGAGTGGAACAGGCTGAGGAGAGGAGAGAGAAGCTTGGCGAAGAGGGTAAGTGTGAAAGGGGGGCAGACCGCGGGGAAGAATTTTCAAAAGGCGCAGCTGTGGAGGGTAGGGCGAGAGGAGGGACAGAAGTGGAAGGCTGGTCAAAGGGTGTGGGTGTGGGTATGGGAGAGGACGGGTGTGAAGGGGAGGGGGGGTGGATGGAGGAGGAGAGGCAGAAGCTGCAGGCCTTGCTGTGTGCTGCTGGCCTCACTCTGCTAGCAGGGGGTGCCAGTCAACCCAGTCAACTCGGTCAACCGAGTCAACCAAGTCAACAGGGTCAACAGCGGGGCTTACCACGGGGCCAACATCCACAGCCCAGTGAGGAGCAGCAGCAAGGGCCGGAGGCCATGAGTTTCGCTTCCAACCTGTCAACTCGCCAGCCCAGCAGTCAGCCGCCCCCGTGTGATCCTCCCCGGCCACACTCGTGGGCGTGGGCGCCCTGCTCTCGCCTGGCCCTGTCCGCATCGGGCTTCGAGCAGCTCAGAGTGAAGGTGGGTTGGCGTGACAGGGGCAGGCAGAACGCTCTCAAGCGATTTTACTCTGCTTCGTTGCTGCCCTGTCTTTGTGGCAGTGGTGCCATGCTTTTCATTCCATGGCCGTCCTTGCTTTCCTGGCTGTGTATGTGGGTACAGTTCATTTGCCTCAAAGGAGTGCTTCTTGCCACATACTCCCATCCATCTATCCAGTTTCCGTTTCATAATGGTTACACCTGTCTCCATCGCAACCCATTTGCACGCGTCCCAATGCTTGCCTTTCCATCCCATGCGTCCCTCCCACATAACAGGGCATGCGCTCCATCGATCAGATGTTCTCGCGCCGAACGGCATGCTCAGGTGTTGCCCGACATGTACCGCCCACACGTGCCCCCAGCCATGCCACCCTGCCGTGCCATGCAAGCACTGCGAGTACAGCGATCACAGGGAGTGATGCGTCAGGCCAAGACGTACCCACTTCACGCGAACCAGCACATTGTACCCGCCTCACAGCAGCAGCACGCCACGAATCGTCGTCCCCTTTGCTGTGAGCTTTTTCTCGAGGCTCTGCTCTGCAAAGGGAGGCCCAAGGCAAGGAGGAGGGTGTGAGGGACAGGGAAGGAGAGGAAGACAGGGGTTTGGTGGAGGGAGGGGCATGTGAAGGCAGAGAAGGGGGGGATGTGGGTGAGGGAGGGGTGACGAATCGAGGCGAGGATGAAGGGGAGGGAAGCGAGGGAGAGGAGGGATGTGAAGGAGTGGGTCGGCATGAGAGTAGGAAACTAAGGAAAGAAGAGCAAAGCGAGGTGGGTAGTGGAGAGGAGGAGCGTGGGACAGAAGAGGGAGGGAAAAGGGAACAGAGAGATTTAGGAAGACGAAGATTAGTGGAACGAGGAGGAAGAGGAGGCAGAAGAGAGAGGGGCGGCAAGGGAAGGCTGGGTTCACGTAGCATGAAAGTTGCTGTGGAAGGGGCGCTTATGCGGATGCTGGGTCAGAGACGAGTGAGGAATGAGCACACAAGCGTGGAAGATGCGGATTTGGGTGAGAACCAAATGCGGAAGGCAAAGAGGAGTGAGGTGCGGAGCGGTACCGAAGAGGCGGAGGAAGGGGCAGAGGTGGGGAGTGAGAGCGTGGAGCGTGGAGATGCGTCAGAGCGAAAGAGGAGGAAAGTTGGTGTCTCAGGTGGACAGGAATCAGAGTCTTTCTCGACGTGGAGAGTCACTGACGGTGGTGGTACCACGGGCGAGGGTGGTGGGGTCAGTTTGAAAAGGAAGCATGTGGCGAGAGAGAGAGACGGGAGTGGTGCGAGGGAGGATGACTTAGAAGCAGAGAGGTCTGGGAGGAACGGTGCTGTACAGGGCGATGTGGATGCGATGAGGGAGGGAGAGGTGGGCGAAGAGAGGGACACGGGCAGAGGAGATGGTAATGGAGCCAGAGAGAGGAAGGGTGGCACGGAAGAAAGAGAGGGAGGTGATGGTACGGTGGAATGGCATGATAGTGCGGTTGGAGAAGGTGCAGTGCGGCAGTGTGGGAGAGATGACAGGCGCAGGGATGATGGGGCGGTTGGAGTGGGAGAATTGGATGAGTGGGAAGGTGGGTTGAAGCATGACAATGTTGTTCAGGTGCATGGCGTCAGTAGGGGTGGAGATGATGGGAACAATGGTGATGGTGCTGATGAGAGACAAAGGGAGGATTCGAGACGAGGAGATGCACAACAGCACACAGACGAAGCAAAGGCCAGTATGGCATCCGAAGAGCCTGCTTTGCGTTCTGGGTTCACCGAGCCATCCGGTTTGGTGTTGGGAAGTACTCGCTCTCCCAGTTCCTCCGGGTTTGATTTTGCAACCGTGGACGTCAAGCAGCAGCAACGACTGATGGCATGCTTCTCCCGACAACATACAAAGTCGTCGCCAGAGCCTAAAGGGAGGAAGGTTTATGGTCGGACAACGAAGAGTGGAGTCAGGAAGAGTGGAAATGGAAAAAATAAGAGTAGAGGGAACAGGGGAAAGCAAGAAAATCAGCTGAAGATTGGAAAGTTTTTTCACACTGGTTCTTAAAGAGTATTCAGGTGGCCTTTTTCTGGTTTGGTTCTTGTGTATATGAGCAAGTGTGTGACTATAGCAAGAATAAGTGACTTCACCGCGTACGAGAGCATGCACCAATCTAATCTATCGTGGTCCTGACCTTAGTCCTGACAGGGCACGTTGACGTGGCATTGGAGTGTCAACCAATGAATGTTGCGCTCAACCTCGTCGCAGAAACAACACCTTGAACAAACTGATCACTTTTTACCACAAGCACTGCCATCGATTTCGTCAACATTCGCTAACTTGCTAATCTCAGATTGCCACCACGAGCACCTTGTTCGCAAAAGAAGAGCCTGAATTCGCAGCAGGCATACGAACATTTCACACGGACTGTGATAGTCTGCGACTGGCAAGGCAGAGCAGAAGATGAATGACACAGAAAGAGGAACTATTGTACTTTACTTGCTGAATGTGCTGTGGCTCAGAGTGGATATTATCCACGCTGTCGACACACCGAAATAAGTTTATGTCTCTTTCTCCCCTGAAAGCGAACAACACGTCGGGCTAAAATCAATTTGTAGCAACGTAAAGCTGCGGGCACTTTTTGTCGTCTATTCGTCAGACCCTGATTTCCGCTTTCAGCTCTTCCTAACGTCCTTAGTTGTGCACATACCGCAAGTTTTGAGTAGGATATGGCGGACCGGCATGGTCTCGTTAGACCAGTTTATCGTGCTCTAGTTGCCGCGACTAAACGTCTCGCATCAGAAATAGAACGGCACAAGACTACTGACGTCTTCTCTCTGGTTCGTGCCTGTGAAACTAAAGACGTCCCATAATCTGATTTCTTTCGCCCTGAATGTCAAATCCTGGTTCTCTCAAAGTCTGTCTGTTCTGTATCGTAGTCCTGTGATTTTAATACATTGCTCTTCTATGTGGTTCCATATTATCTCGTGACAATCGCTTGTTTTTCCCCCACTCCTCATCGCTCCATCCCCGTAAAACATGGCAGTCCGAGGTTTCATGGCTGCAGGACAACACGCCAGGCGCGTTAAGAGCCATCAAGCGAGGGAGAGACGCATCCTTGGCGTTGCTAAGGCAGGAGTTTCGAATGCCGCTTACAGGAGAGCCAGGCTCCGTGCAAGCCCAAGTAAGCAAATTAGGTGAAGCTCAGTTATTATTAGGTTGAGAAACCTCTCTGCTTACTTTATGTGGAGCAGCTTCGTAACGAACAGCTTCATGCTGCTTACTGCATGAAAAGTAACTCACTCACCCTCCCCATCCCCCTTGCCTTTTTCCATGTTCGCTGCTTCTCTTCCGGGAATGTTGACAGGAGGACTGGGGTCAACGTCTGGATCAAGCCCTTTCGCTGCTTGCCGTGTTGAATCGACGGCTGGCAGTGCTGCAGACACACTCTGCCACCGATCACAGCGACAATCTGAGCCATGGTGTCAGAGTGGAGGTGCAGAGCAAGTTCCAAGTCATGGATCAGATACATTTCGGCGCTCTGTACCACTACCGAGTAAACTTTCCTTTTCCCTCCCCTGCTCCTCTCCCATCCTCCCATGTCTCTCAATTCACCTTCACACACCCCTAACCCCTCACTTCCAATTCTGTCTGCTCGTGTCCTTGCTGCACAAACGCCGAGAACTTTTGATGTTTTCCCTCTTCCATTCTCCAGGTTCGCATTCGCAATGAGGGGGTGAATGAGCCAGTGCAGCTCGTCAGCAGGCAGTGGGTTATCAAGGACTTTGATGGGAACATACAGGAGGTCAGTCACGTTGCTGCTTGGGTCATTTTCAAGTATAGTGGGAAGAAGCATGTGAGCAGTGTGAGCAGTGGGAGTGTAGATTGATAATTTCGTCCTGCACTGGGAAGAAGCATTAAGCTGCATTCAAAATCGTGAACCGATTCCTTTACTTTCATTCCTGGTGCACAGGTTATTGGTCCTGGCGTTATTGGCAAGCAACCTATCTTGGATCTTGGTTCGGAATTTGAGTACATCAGCTACACACCCTTGCCGTCGAAGCGAGGCACGATGCATGGAAGTTTTCTCATGCTTGCATGCAACTCCAACCGGCTATTTGATGTGCAAGTGGGACCCTTTGGGCTCATTCCCCCTCCACGTCCCCACGACGCCTTGGGAGTTGTGCAAGGCCAATCTGTAACAGAGTAGGTAATACGGTATTGCATTTTGTGTACAGCTTTTATGCCATCTGTTTTGTTTATATCTACTACCTTGTACCGTACTCCCAGCAAATAACACCAGCTGCTGCTACGGTAGTACTGTAGTGGATAATAAAAAGACTGCTCAATTGCATACTGCTGAACATGCTCAGGTCAAATGGTTCCTCCTGGACTGAAAGAGGGAATTCGTTTTTGAAGAGTATCAGGGGATTTAGGGTGCATTCCTGCGGGGACACTTGTGTCTCAATCCCCGATTTCCCGAGTCGCGCATGTAAATTTGCCAAATGTTGTCACAAACAACCAATGTATCGCGACTCTAGGCGACCAGGCGAGATGTACAGTTGTGCGCATTTGTTTGGGTGACACAAATGACTGTACATCCCTTTTTTCAACCGCTTGGCTGGGGTGTGGTTTCGACGAGCGGGATTTTTTCCCGCACGAAATTGGCATTGCAGGCTGTCCAGGTGCATTGACATTTCGAGCAGCGTGCGAATTTTTCACATTGACGAGTCAGATTACAATTCGTCAGCGACGTCAGCGCGTTTCACGCTGACCAATAAAAAATACAGTAATGGTCGCGGAAATGCGACTCGCAATTGGGACACACTACAGTTTATGCTGTTTTTGTGTGTCACAAAGCGATTGAGACATTTGTGTCTCCACAGGAATGCACCCTTATTATTGTACAGGAGTCAGCTCATGAGGGCTGCAAAATATGTCCTCGGGATATTTTGCGATTTAGACTGGTTGGTAGCGGTTCAAGTCGAACGAGAAAACAAACCGCTCTAGAGTGCACAGCATCCCACACCACCACTTTTATTGAACCGAATTGACAACGTATGATCCGCCTTAGCAGTTCATTCATTCATTACATTTTACCGTCAGATTCCTCCTGTTTGGAGGGAGCTGTTCTTCACACCCATCACCATTGTCCAGGCACCAGAAAACTCTGCACGTTGCTCAGTCGGATTTCTGTAGTGTCTCCAGATATCTCCTGCCATACCGTAGCGGTTCTTCCTAAACAATGTCTCAAGTCCGCGCTTCTCACATTCTCATCAAGCACCAAGGCTCTCGCCGTCCGGCATCTTGGAAGGATCCTAATGGAGAGTCAATAGGGCGAACGACGAAGGAGGCGGCGATTCAGCAGCTGCTGGCGATTAGAGAACGCATCGCCAGTGGCGAGCTGGACTTTGGCCAGGTTGCGAAGACCGAATCGCACTGCAGCTCCGCCAGGAACAATGGAGATCTGGGTACGTCAGTTGCCTCGGAGTACTTCGTGGGTTCGTTTAGAATGAAATATTCTACTACCAGTTAGACTACGAATAAGACACCATGCGAGCGTCTTAATCTGTCTTTCCCTTCGTATCTCGACATTAGTGCAGTCGCTGGCTATAGCAGGTGCGTACGCAATGACCTTAGACATGAAAAACGGATGTAACCACAGGTGTAGTCGAGTGCTGTGAAGACATCTCGACCGTCCTCTCTTCAAATTTCTGTCTCCATTTCTTTCCCCATCCCCTTCTCTTCACCTCCGATCCCTCGTTTCAGGCTGGTTCAGTCGAGGCCAGATGCAGAGACTGTTCGAGGAAGCGACGTTCGGGATCAATGTGGGGGAGATGAGCGGCATTGTGGACACGGACAGTGGGGTGCACATTATCCTTCGCACTGGATAAAACACCAGCTGCAGCCGTTTATTTTTGGATGTGGATGTGCCGCCATTAGCTGCCTCTGGGGACAAGACAAACATTATTATTTTTTGGCTGGGGAACTGAGCTGCTCTGGTAATCCATCACAGTGGATGTGAGCCATTCCAGTGCACTTTTTGTTCATTTGATTGTACGGTATGCACACCTGATTCTATGCTCTTTGTGCAGGATCATTGACTTTTACACAGTTACAGGGGAAATACTTGGTAAGGGTTGACCAACAATGATGAGCACGGTTGCTTGATGTTAATACCAACTGGGTTCCAGCAAGTATCTCTCTCTCACACACACACGTACACTCTGAATCCTGAATCCAGTTGCAGCATGACAGCCACGAAGCAAGGAGCAAACAACGAGGCACCCATGAAGGCAAGCTTCAAGCAGCCTGTGTGCTTCCTTAACCAGGCCAACAGAACCCAAACAACACTTCAACAGCACTAGCAGCTTGAGCAGCATCACCAGCACCAGCAGCTGTGAAAGCTGAATGTTCCAGTTTCTTCCTGTCTGTCTCAACCGCAGCTCCCCCTAGCTTCATTCAAAGCCCGAAGCACTCATGGTGGCAGAAGATGCAGAGGCTTGGGATGCTCCCGCCTCTACATCTCGCTTGTTACCGGTCGTTGTCACTCCCTTGTGGCCGCTGGTGTGTGCATGCGCACGGGTGTGGCTATGGCTGTGGCTGCTGTTACGGGGGTGATGGCTGCTGCTGTGGGGATGGCTGCTGCTGTGCGGATGATGACGGTGGGGCCTGGCTGCACTTTCCCCTGCAACACCAGCAACACCCGCACGAGAAGCACCAGCACCAGAAACAGAGCGTCTGACCTCAGAAGCACCAGCAACACCACCATCGGCCTTGCTCCCACCCTCCACTCGCCTGCCATCCCCATGTCCCCTCTGCCTCGCATGCATCTCATGCCCCTCCTGCCGCTCCTTCCTTGAACCACCACTCCGTAGCTTCCTCTCCCCAGCCGCTTTTGTATCCCCTCCACCCTCTCCTCCCTCCCTCCTCTCCTTCCTCTCCCTGCCTCCTGCAGTGTCCCCTCCACCCTCACCTCCCTCCCTCCTCTCCTTTCTTGACCCTGCTGTGCGCAGCTTCCTCTCCCTGCCCCCCGCTGTGTCCCCTCCACCCTCTCCTCCCTCCCTCCTCTCCTTCCTAGAGCCAGCAGAGCGCAGTTTCCTCTCACCTCGTTCCTCCTCGCTCTCCTTCCCCTCTCGTCCTTCCCGCCTCTCTTTCCGAGACCCGGCTGTACGCAATTCCCTCCCCAACTCTCCCGCTATCCCCTTTTCCCTCTCGCTCCACTCCCTCCTCTCTGTCCGTGATCCTGCACTGTGCAGCTTCCGCTCTCCCCTTGCTCCATTCTCCTTACCCCCTCCTTTCGCAATCTGCCCTCTCGCTTTCACATCCACCTGCCTTGGCTGCACTGCCTCCCCTGTCCTGCTTGCCCGTGACCCTCCTACTTCACCTTCTGGCAAATCCAAATTCTTTGTCCCTCCCTCATCCTCACTCGTCTGGCATTCCCTCGCTCTTTCACTGCTACTGCTCCTGCCCCTGCTCCAACTGGTGCTTCTGCTTCTGCTTCGGCTTCTGTTCCTGCTGCTTTCCCCACTTCTATCCCTGCTGCCACTCCTGCTCCTGCCCCTACTGCTGCTCCTGCTCCTGCTCCCCCTCCTACTATCACTCCTGCTCCTGCTCCTGCTGTCACTCCCGCAGCGTCTATACCCATCGCTTGCACTGCTTGGGCTCAGGCTCCCCCGTCTGCTCCTGCTCCTGCTTCGGCTGTGGCTGTTGCTGCGGCTTCGACTGCTGGGTTGGCTGGGGCTGAGGCTGCGTTCTGAATGGGTGCTGCTTGACCGTCTGCGGTGGCTTCGCTTGCTTCGGGCCCTGCTGGACATATTTTCCCTCGACGAATGGCTACGGAAGCTGCTTTGAGAACCACTGCGGGACCTGCTACGGGACTTTCTAGGAGATCTGCTGCGGGATATGCTACGGGAGGTGGTCCCAGGCTCGCTCGCTGATCGGCTTCTGCTTCGGGACTGGCTGGTGTCGGACCTGCTTCCGGACCTTCTTCCAGACCTGCTTCCGGACCGGCTTCTGGACCTGCTTCCAGACCTGCTTCGGGACCTGCTTTGGGATCTGCTCCGGGAGTCACTCTGACTCCTGCTGCTGCCTCCCACCCTATGGTAGCGCCGATGGCTCCTCCTCCTCCTTCCTCGCCGCGAGGACCGCTGCACGTCCCTCTCATCCACCTCACTCGCACTCGCCGTCAGACTCTCGCTATCACTCCCCACCCCGCCTCTTCCCACCTTCGCTCTTCGCTCTTCCTTTTCCTTACACCGCGATCGCCCACCCTTACCCTTCCTCTGCTCGGCATCTCTCTCCCTTGAGCTGTCTTTGCGCCGCGACCTGCTGCTGCTCCTGGAACTGCTTCTCCTGCATCCCCTGCTCCCCCTCCTCTCCCTGCCTCCTCTGCCACTCTCCCTTCCACTGCTGCTCACGCTCCTCCGCCTCCCGCTCCTCCTCTCCCTCCTCTCCCTATCCCTCTCGCTGTGACTATCACTATCCGTCTGCCTCTCAATTTCCTTCACTCGATCCTCTCCCCGCCTCCTCCCCTTCCTACTCCCCTCCCTCCTCCTACCATCATCTTCCACCAAACCCTTTATCTGCTTCTCTCCAGCCCGTTTCTTCTCCATCCCTTCTTCTCCACCTACTCTTCCAGCTCCTCCTCTCCCCACTCTCTCTACCCCCTCCTCCCCTTCACTGTGTGCCACACTCAGTCTGCTCGGCCCTCCAGATGCATACATCCCTTCTGCTCTCTTCGAATGCGCCCTACCAGCAGCACCAGCAGCAGCATGAGCAGCAGCAGCAATACCAGCAGCAGGGGAGCTGGCACCGCTACTGGCAGCACTGCCCGTGCTGCTGTTATAGCTAGTCGCACGCCCCACAGGGTGACTCACCCGATTCAAAGCATTCGACCCAGCAGAACCCAGCGACAAACCCCGGAACCCTCCGACCATCTGAACCTCAGCAGCATTGAAGTAACTAGCACTGGCACCTCCAGCAGCAGCAGTAGCACCAACACCAAGAGCATGAGGGACAGCAGGGAAGGGTCCAGGCGCACTGTGGTCAAACCACTCGTTCTCAGTGCGCCTCTCGATAAAACTCCCCGATCGCAGCGCATACCGCCTCCTCCCTCCCTGTTCCCCATCCGGGGGACTGCCCCTCCACTGCCCATACCCACCCTGAAACCCCCCTCCCCCTCCTCCCTCTCCCCCCACCCCTCCTCCGACGCCCACTGCTCCTCCTAGTGCAAACTCCTCCATGCCCTCGGCCCCCATGCGCATACTCCGCTCCACAAAGCTGCCAAAGCGCCGGTCGTTGCCAAAGAGCGACCTTCCACTCATGGGCCCTCGGGCGGGCACGGGGGAGTGCGAGGGGCTGCCGAGGGAGCGTGTAGGGCTGTTGAAGGAACGCGTGGGGCTGGCGAAGAAAGGATGCAGGGCGGACGTGGACGCGGATAGAGGGAAAGCTAGTCCCCTGGGGCTGCGAGGAGGCATGCCCCCGCCTGCTGCCGCTCCCCCTGCTCCGGCTGTTGCTGACCCTCCTGCTGTTGCTGGCCCTCCTCCTGTTGCTGCTGTGGTTGATCCCATGCCTCCCATGCCGGGTGCATCCCATGGCCTTGTGCCTCCCATGCCCCCTGTGGCCGTGCCTGCTGCCCTCCTGGGGCTGACGAGAGGAATGCCTCTGGGGCTCACAGGCACCACAGACGACTGCCGCTGCTGCTGTGGCCCTCCTTGGTGCGGCCCTGATCCCCCTGCGTGCGACCCGTATCCTCCGCCTTGCCTTGCACTGCCTGCTGTTGCAAAGCCACCCATGCGAGGGCTGCGAGGGCCCACCATGGACCCATGCGTACCATGCATGCCTTGCATGGCATGTGCGCCCGAGGAAGCAGCATCCATACTCACACATTCATAGAACCCAAATTCTGAGCCAGAAGCAGCCATTGCCCCAGCCTTTCCTGCTCCACCCACAGTCCCTACTGCCCCTCCCATCCCCCCTCCCACTCCCCCGCCTGCGCCCCTCCCCATTCCTTTCATCCCATGCGCACCTGCTGGCCTGTAAGGGCCGTCAGATGACTGAAGGATCATCCCCTGCGCCCCCTGCATGCCTCCCTGCATGCCCCCCTGCCCACCCCCCTGCACGCCTGTGAAAACCACATCTGACTGTGTGCGCCTATGCCTCTGTGCTGCTGCCCCTGCCGCTCCTCCTCCCACCAAGCCTCGCCCCGCCATACCAACCCCTCCTCCTCCTCGGCCAATTGAACCCCTGCCTGCCCCTGCCATCGGTTCCCGCCCTCTTCCCCTACCCGCTGCCCTTCCTCCTCCCCGCCCCGTTCCACTCGCCCCTCGGCCATACCCCTCAGCACCAGACCGCCCCCCCCCAGTTGTGCCTCCCCCAGCTACACCTCCCCCAGTTGCACCTCCCTCCGCGGACAGTGACCTGGGCTGGACGGCATGTAGGGGAGTAGCCATGGCCGCCTCCCCATGGTCATCATCGTCATCATCATCAGAATCATCAGAATTATCTGAGTCATCATCTGATAAGCTATCGTGCCGGTCCAGAGACAAGTGGTCGTACCCACCTTGCTGCTGCTGCCATTGCTGCTGCAGCTGCTGCTGCTGCTGTTGGTGTTGGTGCTGGATAACGTGTTGCTGATGCTGGTGGTAACCCTGCTGTATCGGCGATGCGCTGCTGGGTCGACGCATCTGCCCCTGCGTTACAACCTTGCCCTTCACCACCTGCTGCTGCTGCTGCTGCGACTGCGACTGCGGATATGCTGCTATCCCGTACGCACCGGGAGCCGCCCCGACTGCTCTCATCCCACCAGCAGCAGCAGCAGTAGAGCCAGAAGCGCCTGCAGCAGAAGAAGCAGCAGGGGCGGCGAATGCGGGCCTGGCAGCAGCAGCAGCAGGCACGAGGTTCTCAGGGGGAGTGGACGCTGTTCTTCGGTGCACTGGCCTCCTGGGCGACTGCTGCTGCAGCGGCTGCTGCTGCAAGTGCTGCTGCTGCTGCAAGTGCTGCATTTGTGCGTGTTGGGCAGCCAATGAACCCCCGCCCATGCCGCCCCCCACAACGCCCCCCTCCACATCCTGCCCCTCCATCTCATGCTCCTCAATGCCCATCCCCGCCCCCATCCCCCCTCCCCCTATCCCCGCCCGCATCCCGCTACTAGGGCTTCCCCCTCCCCCTGCGCCGCCCCCAGGGGGAGCTTGGCTGGGGAGGGGAGTGGTGTTGCTTCGCGGAAACGACCCGGGTGTGGGTTTATTGGGACTTTCTCCCCGTGGCCCGTCGAAGGAAATGCTTCGATTTGACTGCCACGGTGCTGTCCCAACCAGCTGGCTCAGTACCGCACCTGGCAAGTGGTTAGGGGACCCCGAACCAGGGGCGCCGATGCTCATCCCTGCATGTCTCACTGGGTCCATTCCTGCCGAGCCAAAAGGCCCCGAAGCCGAGCTTCCGGTATGGGGCCGAGCCTGAGGCCCTCTCCCCGCGACCATGGCTTGCGCCCTCCCCATTCTCCCGCCAGGTCCCCCTCCGCGCGACATTCCTGTGTACGGGGGAGCCCCGCGGGGAGAAACCGCGATATGAGTCCCCCCTGCGCCCCTGCCACGACCAGGTCGCGCATTGCCCGCGGGCGCGCCAGCCGCGGAACCTGCGCCAACTCCCCGCGCGAGTTCCTCCGCCACTACAGCTGTTCCGCCCGCATCTATCCCCATGTCCCACCCGTTCCCATCCGAGCCGCCCCCTTGGAACGCGCCAACGGCGCTAACAGACATTGCGCGCCGATGCTGATGTGGCCTCTGCTGCCGCGCCTGCGGCGGCGGCTGCTGCTGCTGCTGCGAAATCATTCCTGCTGGTTGCGCGCCTTCCCACCTGCCATAGTCATCCCCAACACCGCCAGTCCTTGCGCCATACCTTCCGCCAACAAGCCCGCCTCCCCGGCGCCTTGCCCCGCCCCCGCCCCGTTGTGTTGCAGGATTGCCGCGGTTGGCGTCGGGAAGCATGCGATCGGGGGGTGAGCGACGAGGCTCGGTTTCGAATCCAGCTGTCGGGTATTCCATTAAGCCTGTTGGAGCACCCGCTGTAACATCGTGCGTTGAAGTTACGAGCCGTTGCTGTGAAGCGGGATAAGTTAAACCGCCAGCGCTAGCAATGGCGAGACCATTAGGGTTAGCGAAGTTGTCAGAAGTGGCCAACGTGTGCTGCTCTGGAGATGATCGCCTGGCGACGGGAATGGCCCCTGCAAGTCGCTCGCGATAAAATCGGCGACACCGTCAGGGGATTGTCGGCTATTAGGCATTTTTAAAGCATGCATCAAAAGGGTTAAGGCATTTTAGGAGCAGGCTCTGGCTTAAACCCGCTGCGTTGGCGGGATCAGCTGATGGTGTTTGGTCAATTATAAATAAGACTCAGTGTGGATAAGGTGAGGTTGAGTAAGGATATGCATGCGATGCGGTGCGAACACGGGGGTCTACTTCGGTGGTTGCATTGCAAGCAGGGAATGTCACTGGCTGGGGTTCGTGGTTGGCGTTCATTGCTATCATCGCAGTGATTCCATACAGAATCTTTGTGCGACCTGTGCGACGCTATTCCGTAATTGGTTGGTTGGTGACGAAGGCACATGAGGGTTTACTTAGGCTTATGCGGTTCAGTCTGGTTTCTCGCGTTTAATCTCTGTTACACGAATCTGAAGAAAACCGTGCGGCTGTTGGTGATATTCTCCTGATGAGTCCTTCTTCATGAATATTGTGCATGTACATTCGAGACGCTTAGGGTCATAGCCATGCTTTATCCGTAGCGTCATATGCTAAAAAGAAACGTCTCTTGTCGAGGATCTCTTATCACGAATACCCTGCCACAAGCCTGACACCACGCCACTCAAAAGTCCCAGCACTTCGCCATAGCCCCACTGACTGGCTACACAGTGAACGCGTTTCTCCAGCCAATGGCGTTGGACCCCTTCTGACTCGTGTCGCCTCCGTCTTCGGGCTAATAATTTGTGTGCACCCGCACACAACCAATCCAACACAAGGCTGGCTTGTTTCCTGGTCAAGGGAACCGAAAGTTCGATCAAATACACTAATTTGTAACCCTAGCAGGGCAAATCCTCGGAAATGCAGTGAAACGCAAAATCTATATTACATAACCGAGAGATTATGTTCGTGGGAATGTCCATGGAACAATGGTGGAGCAGCATGTTTGAAAGTTGCAACTTCTGTTTCACAGCTCCATTCCGAACTTCGAGGGGTTCAAATGGCCTCTTGGGCCGGAGTTTCGAGACTGTGGGCATTGGGATGGTGGGTCAGAAGAAGCGCCTCGATAGGCATGGAGAAGGCGCTTCGATTTGTGAATTCCACGCTGTCGAACTGACAGAGGCAGAAGCAGACACCATCCTGTCTCGGTCAATGCCTTCCCTACCCCACCTGACCCATCTTCCGTGCAACCTTCATCTGCGCATCCGTCTTTCCTCAAGCCACCACCATAATCGCAAGCTGAATTCGTCGCAAGCCCTGGGTAGACAATTAGCACGGCACGGTCAGTGGCCATCATTTCAAATTCCGAATTCCCCAACAGATTTCACAGATGTTAGCTTCCTTCCTACCAGGCACAGTTACTTCGCTGTCAGGCTACCAGGACGACACGCACATGCCAACCATTTTCTCACGACAGCTCCTATAGTACTCACCGCTTTCAGTTTCATTCACCATGCCGCGACGCTCGGCCCATTGTCTCGCCTCACTTGTCTTCCTCTGCGCATTCCTCTGCCTCATCTCCGCTAAGTCTCAACCACAGCGCGACACACACGCACACCGGCGACGTGACGGTTTACAAACACCGCGTTTCTCGTCGTCGCAACAACGGACCGTCCTAGCGGACACGCCGTTCATCAATCCCGCCATTCGAGGCGAAGCTTCGGCCGATATGCGCGAAGGTTCCTACATAGTGCGCGCCGAGCCGGTCCCTAAACGCATCCTTAGAGTCGCATCGCCGGAATTTGCGCAAGGTGGGCGACGGAGAAGGAAGGGAGCTGAGAACGCGGCGGCGGAAGGGAAGGAGAGCGGCGAGACGTGGACAGAAGCGGAGGAGCATGCCCTCGTCATTCCCAAGGGCGTGGCGTTTTATCACCGGGGAAAACACAGCGGCGGGCCCGGGGGAAGCGGAGGGGCGGGGACTAGACTAGCCGCGCCGATCGATATCACACCAGCGAAGGGGGCGCGCGGAAAGCGAGGGGGGCAGGCGTCGGGGGGGACGAGCGACAGCGGCGCGGGAAAGTTTCCCGTGATTACCCCCGGGGGCAAAAACTCGACGGGCAGCGGCGGCGGCGGCACCGGCGGTGGCGGGGGGATACCGCCGAAGAAGAAGCGGGGCGGGCCGAACGGCGGATGGACGCTCGGGAAGGAGCGGAGGGTTTCGTTATCGTCCGCGCAGGAGATGAAATTCGGCAACGGTCAGTTCGGAAAGGGCGGGAAAGTGACGTACCATGGCGGCCCGGTAATGACCAAGTCGCCGATTAAAGTGTACCTTATTTTCTACGGCGACTGGGACGCGACGACGGTGCAGCTGTTTCACAAGTTTGTCGAATCTATATCGGGGAAATACAAGACGCCGGCCGACCGCTACAATGTGACGCGGTGGTGGGATCTGACGGCGGCCGGCACGCAGGCGGACGGCAAGCGCGTGAGCTCGAACGTGGCGCTTGGGAAGTCGGTTCTGGATAGGAACTACGTGTCGGGCGGCGGGAAGGTTCTGCGCAACTACCAGAAGGACGTGGTAGCCAGTAAGTCGCTTTCTTACGTTCAGTGTTGTAAAGAGTTAACGAATTCGACCACCATTTTGGAAAAATGTGCGCCATCCTTCAGAATCGCCTCAGGACTTACCGGTAATTCTCTAGGTTCCCCAAGATCCCACTCAGGCGCATAAACTCTGTTACTGTTTGCTTCCATAACCGCCCACTGTCTGCCGATTCACTACTTCTCCCAAACTCTAACGCCCCCGCTGCCTCCTGCCTCTCGGTTTGCCTCATCATGCCTGCGCCCCGCCTGCCCCTTCAACACACCGCTTCCTCCTGCCCCTGTCTCCTTCAACGCACCAGCTGCTGCGCGAATGTGAGCCCCATGACAACGTGTTGGAGTGAGTGCGCGAGCAGAGAATCTGCCCCTTATTCTGCCCCTGCTTCACTCAATCCACAACACCCACCCCTCTATGCTTCACTTGGACCCTGCCTCATCATGCCTGCGCCTTTCACCTTCCCCCTCCCCGCCCACCCATCATGCAGTCATCAACTACCATCTACGGAGCAAGCTCTTGCCATTCGACACGGACGGCATCTACATGGTGATGACGGATCCGACGGTGGAGGTGAAGAGCAGCGATCCCAGGGACGGATTCTGCACGCGATTCTGCGGCTACCACAGCTACGGCCAGGACGCGCTGGGGAAGGCCCTCAAGTTCGGATTCGCGGGGCATTCTGCTCGCTGCCCCTCGCAATGCACCCGACCGCTCCCCTAGTGAGTGATTTGCTGCAGTGTACATGTCCCCTTTCCATAGCAGCGATCCCAGGGACGGATTCTGCACGCGCTTCTGTGGTTACCACAGCTACGGCCAGCACACGCTGGGCAAGGCCCTCAAGTTCGGCTCTGCGGGGCACTCCGCCCGCTGCCCTCGCAGTGCACCCGCCCGCTCCCCTAGTGAGTGATTTGCTTCAATGCACTGGGCTGCTACCATGATGAGTGAACAGTTGCAGTGCACCGGAGACTCCCTGACATGCACGTGGCCCGTTTCCAGAACAGCCACTGGCTGCACATGCTCTAGATCGTTTGCTTGGCCGTGTGACTAGAATGCATTAATCGTTATGGTGAGGTGGTGCCTTTTCATGCACATGCGGCATCTGTCTATGTGCACCAGTTATAGACAAGGGGGTTGCATGACAGAAACAGCACCAATCTTCTTTAAAAACTCATTTTCTTTCCTCTTCCTATCGTATTTATTCTTCCCACCATTGCAGCGACACATTCAACGGGATTAATGTAGACGCCACTCTATCCACATTCGCGCATGAGATAGCGGAGGTGGCTCAGGACCCGCTCTTCACGGCGTGGTATGACCACGATCAGGTGGAGGGGGCAGACAAGTGCACATACATATATGGGGATGGCTGGGTGAATCCCCGGAATGCAGCGGCTTATAACCTCATGGGCCGGAGAGGGTCGAGGTTTTTGATCCAATCAATGTGGAGCCTTGATAAACAAATGTGTGTACAATAGAGTTTCGAGGCTCCTAAACTGATTTCTGACAATTTGTTTTCTTTCTCTTGTATGTTTGGATTTGACAAACTGTATAATGATATAATACGTGGTTGATTTAGCAGAACTCTACGTCATGGTTGTTTTAGCTCGCATTGAGTGTGCTAATAGACTGGTCACGACTCTGCTCGTCAGCGTTGCTGGAAAGTGATGTCAGAACGAGTCAGTGCCAGGTCAGGAATTCACTCCCCCTTCGCAATGCCTTGGGAATACCGTCACATCCTCCTGCAACAGATATGCGCAACAGGCACATAGGGTTGGAGGTGCATTGAAGAGGCACAGCACTAGCTAGCGAACCAAGTGTGCTTCGAGTCTGACAGTCCTCGAATTCTCGTAGAATTGCGCGTCCGATTGTCACAGGAAGTGGTTCAGTCCAGTCCGATTCGCAAATTTACGCGAATCCGCAAGCACCGTGTGTGACAGCCCTGAGGACGCCTTTCGAGCTCCGCTGGAGCTCCAGCGCCCTTTGCGCTGCGTCGAGCCACGTTACTGCAGTGGCGCTGTCTTCCTCTCCGAAAGGACCGTCGACTTATTTGGTCAATTCGCAACTCGGCCCGTTGCTGCGTCGAGCCACTGCGACCGTAACACTGTTTGCCTGTCCCGAAGCACCGTCAAGCATAGCGAATTCTTTCCTATAGCGAGGCTTCTCCAGAAGCCTTTTGCTCTTGCGTCGCTTAGAAGCCGCCAGTTTCAGGAATTAAACGAGCCTCCTCTGCCGCGATTCAGTATCCGCCACCATGGCGGCCGCGCCGCTAGCCTCGTTCGTCCCCGTGCCTCCCAACTGCCACTTCCCGATCCAGAACCTCCCGTTCGGCGTCTTCCGACCCTCGCCGGGAGGTTCGGCACGAGTGGGCGTGGCAATCGGCGAGCAGGTTCTGGACCTGTCGGTGGTGGCGGACGCGGGGCTGCTGGGCGACGTGGGCGATGAAGTTAAAGACACAGCCTGCTTCCACCAGGTAGAGTGCTCTTTGAGAATTCTGAAAAGGTGCTTTTTCAGAGATTTTCAACGAACAGCTACGGCAGGTTCTGGACCTGTCGGTGGTGGCGGACGCGGGGCTGCTGGGGGACGAAGGTAAGGACACGTCCTGCTTCCACCAGGTAGGGTCGGACGGGTGAGAGAGTTGCACGGGCGAAAGTGTTGTACGCGGGAATGTTGCACGGGCGAAAGTGTTGTACGCGGGAGTGTTGCACGGGCGAGCTGTGTCACAGCAGGCACATTGCTGAGCGCGTTCATGCGGGTCTGGCGGACGCGGTGGTGGTGGAAGTGGGCGATTTTTGAGTCGACTCAAAAATCGCCTCATCACACGCGGATTGTATGTGGAGAGAATGTTTGTTGCGTGGAAAATTGGTTGTAACCTGCAGCGGTTACTGGTGCGCGCGCGACTTTCGAAGTTGCCCCTTGGCGAAATTCTGAACCCAACCCTTCACGCTGACACTTTCGAGGAAGTTGAAGACGTGGCTGCCTGAAGTTTTCGAGGGTGGTCTGGATTGGTCCCCGTCATTTGGGTGACCTGGGTGTGGATAGCCTAGAGTTCGCTTTCTTAGAGGCCTTGCTTCTCTTTAGAGGCATCGCTTAGCCCTTCTTTCTCATTGTTGGCACTGATGAAGGTCTAATCGGGATTTTCCCCCATGATAGGCCGAAACATGTTTGTCCCTGTTTTACTCTACTGCTAAGAATTTGGGTTCTGAGATCGTTTTGAGCACTTGGCTGTACACAGAGCGGAAATCTACTGCTGTTTTTTCCTTTGCTTTAAGCCTACTGCACGCACGCAGCTCACTGAGCTATGTCTGGGTCTGGCGGACGCGGTGGTGGTGGAAGTGGGCGAGCGACGTGGTTAAGACACCGCCTGCTTCCGCCAGGTAGAGAGGCGTATGAGCGGGAGTGTCGCCCGCGTGCGAGCTGTGTCACGCCATGCTGCTGGGCTGCCTGCCTGGCTGTCCTGATCCCCACCGTTCTGGTGATGGGTCACCTTCCCTACCCTTTCTCTTCTGCCACACAGCTTCCTCTTCCACACCCCACGCATCCCACACTTCCCACTCGCCGATCCCCCCCCCACCAGCCGTCACTGAACGCATGGCGCTGGGCCACCTTCCCTACCCTTCCTCCTCCACAACACACTATCTTCTTCCTCACCCCACACCCCTCACACCTCCCCCTCCCCACGTACCTCCCTTCCCCCCACCAGGCATCACTGAACGTGTTTATGGCGCTGGGCCGCCCTGTGTGGCAACGCACTCGCACTGCCCTCCAGCGCCTGCTCTCTGGTGAAACCACCTGGCCAACCACCTGATAGAAACGCCCACGTTGTTTCCAGATGCTTCGGATACAACCTTGCTTTGTTCTTGTGGTTCCGGTCCTGTGGATGTTGCATATACATATCCATGAATGGCGTTCTCACCAGCAGCCCTCCCCCACTCGCCTCGCCTGTGCCCCGCACCCGCATGACATGGGTGCCTTGCCCATGCATGCATGCATGTACCGCACATCATGGCGTTGCTGACTGACAACAGTGGACGAGCCAGCACTGAGGGACAACAAGCCTCTCCGCGCCAAGGCCTTCCACCCTCAGGTGGGATTTCAGGTGCCTTGCTCGCTTATGTGGGTTGCAGGTGCCTTCGACCCTCAGGTAGGGTCTCAGGTGGCTTGTGCCTTCAGGTGCCTTGCAACCTCAGGTGCCTTGCAACCTCAGGTGCCTTGCAACCTCAGGTGCCTTGCAACCTCAGGTGCCTTGCAACCTCAGGTGCCTTGCAACCTCAGGTGCCTTGCAACCTCAGGTGCCTTGCAACCTCAGGTGCCTTGCAACCTCAGGTGCCTTGCAACCTCAGGTGCCTTGCAACCTCAGGTGCCTTGCAACCTCAGGTGCCTTGCAACCTCAGGTGCCTTGCAACCTCAGGTGCCTTGCAACCTCAGGTGCCTTGCAACCTCAGGTGCCTTGCAACCTCAGGTGCCTTGCAACCTCAGGTGCCTTGCAACCTCAGGTGCCTTGCAACCTCAGGTGCCTTGCAACCTCAGGTGCCTTGCAACCTCAGGTGCCTTGCAACCTCAGGTGCCTTGCAACCTCAGGTGCCTTGCAACCTCAGGTGCCTTGCAACCTCAGGTGCCTTGCAACCTCAGGTGCCTTGCAACCTCAGGTGCCTTGCAACCTCAGGTGCCTTGCAACCTCAGGTGCCTTGCAACCTCAGGTGCCTTGCAACCTCAGGTGCCTTGCAACCTCAGGTGCCTTGCAACCTCAGGTGCCTTGCAACCTCAGGTGCCTTGCAACCTCAGGTGCCTTGCAACCTCAGGTGCCTTGCAACCTCAGGTGCCTTGCAACCTCAGGTGCCTTGCAACCTCAGGTGCCTTGCAACCTCAGGTGCCTTGCAACCTCAGGTGCCTTGCAACCTCAGGTGCCTTGCAACCTCAGGTGCCTTGCAACCTCAGGTGCCTTGCAACCTCAGGTGCCTTGCAACCTCAGGTGCCTTGCAACCTCAGGTGTCAGGTGCCTTGCAACCTCAGGTGCCTTGCAACCTCAGGTGCCTTGCAACCTCAGGTGCCTTGCAACCTCAGGTGCCTTGCAACCTCAGGTGCCTTGCAACCTCAGGTGCCTTGCAACCTCAGGTGCCTTGCAACCTCAGGTGCCTTGCAACCTCAGGTGCCTTGCAACCTCAGGTGCCTTGCAACCTCAGGTGCCTTGCAACCTCAGGTGCCTTGCAACCTCAGGTGCCTTGCAACCTCAGGTGCCTTGCAACCTCAGGTGCCTTGCAACCTCAGGTGCCTTGCAACCTCAGGTGCCTTGCAACCTCAGGTGCCTTGCAACCTCAGGTGCCTTGCAACCTCAGGTGCCTTGCAACCTCAGGTGCCTTGCAACCTCAGGTGCCTTGCAACCTCAGGTGCCTTGCAACCTCAGGTGCCTTGCAACCTCAGGTGCCTTGCAACCTCAGGTGCCTTGCAACCTCAGGTGCCTTGCAACCTCAGGTGCCTTGCAACCTCAGGTGCCTTGCAACCTCAGGTGCCTTGCAACCTCAGGTGCCTTGCAACCTCAGGTGCCTTGCAACCTCAGGTGCCTTGCAACCTCAGGTGCCTTGCAACCTCAGGTGCCTTGCAACCTCAGGTGCCTTGCAACCTCAGGTGCCTTGCAACCTCAGGTGCCTTGCAACCTCAGGTGCCTTGCAACCTCAGGTGCCTTGCAACCTCAGGTGCCTTGCAACCTCAGGTGCCTTGCAACCTCAGGTGCCTTGCAACCTCAGGTGCCTTGCAACCTCAGGTGCCTTGCAACCTCAGGTGCCTTGCAACCTCAGGTGCCTTGCAACCTCAGGTGCCTTGCAACCTCAGGTGCCTTGCAACCTCAGGTGCCTTGCAACCTCAGGTGCCTTGCAACCTCAGGTGCCTTGCAACCTCAGGTGCCTTGCAACCTCAGGTGCCTTGCAACCTCAGGTGCCTTGCAACCTCAGGTGCCTTGCAACCTCAGGTGCCTTGCAACCTCAGGTGCCTTGCAACCTCAGGTGCCTTGCAACCTCAGGTGCCTTGCAACCTCAGGTGCCTTGCAACCTCAGGTGCCTTGCAACCTCAGGTGCCTTGCAACCTCAGGTGCCTTGCAACCTCAGGTGCCTTGCAACCTCAGGTGCCTTGCAACCTCAGGTGCCTTGCAACCTCAGGTGCCTTGCAACCTCAGGTGCCTTGCAACCTCAGGTGCCTTGCAACCTCAGGTGCCTTGCAACCTCAGGTGCCTTGCAACCTCAGGTGCCTTGCAACCTCAGGTGCCTTGCAACCTCAGGTGCCTTGCAACCTCAGGTGCCTTGCAACCTCAGGTGCCTTGCAACCTCAGGTGCCTTGCAACCTCAGGTGCCTTGCAACCTCAGGTGCCTTGCAACCTCAGGTGCCTTGCAACCTCAGGTGCCTTGCAACCTCAGGTGCCTTGCAACCTCAGGTGCCTTGCAACCTCAGGTGCCTTGCAACCTCAGGTGCCTTGCATTTCATGTCCCTTCTCCCTGTCACCATGTTTCTCCTTGTGCATCCTTCTCTCCCACGCTTGTATGCACATGGAGCATATGGACTTCAAGCCTCATGGGACACAATATGTGCCTCTTGGGACAAACCAAAACTTGCCATGCTCCCTTCCCTCCTGCCGCCATGCCCTCCCCCCCCCCCCACGCCTCCCCCTCCTCATCCCCCCAGGCGCGTGTGAGCATGGAGATGCCAGTCGTGGTGGGCGATTACACGGACTTCTACGCGTCCCGCCACCACGCCACCAACGTGGGCCGCCTCTTTCGCGGGCCCGGCAATGAGCTACCCAAGCAGTGGTGAGAAAGAAAGGGTGAGATGGAAAGGGGGAAAGGCTAAGGGGGGGAGGGGCAAGGGCGGTGAGCTGGCAGCAGCATTGGTTGATTACACGGTCTGAGAGGTCTCAAAAGTGGTTGATTACACGGTCTTCTACGCGTCTCTCCACCTTTGAGACGTCTCAAAAGTCTTCTACGCGTCTCTCCACCTTTGAGACGTCTCAAAAGTATTCTACGCGTCTCTCCACCTTTGAGACGTCTCAAAAGTCTTCTACGCGTCTCTCCACCACCGTGGGCCACCTCTTCCGTGGGCCTGGCAACGAGCTGCCAAGCAGTGGTGAGAAAGGGGGGGGGAGGGAAGCAGCAGGTGATGGGGGGGAGGGAAGCAGCAGTTGATGCTTACCCTTCTCTCACCTTCGCCCACATGCGTACCCTTCTCTCTGTCTGTGATGCCGTGCCATGCTGTGCTTTGGTGTGGTATGGCGTGTTGTGGCATGGCATGACCTACCAGGTTGCACATGCCCATTGCATACCATGGCAGGTCGTCGTCTGTTGTGGTCTCCGGCACTCCCATCGTGCGACCCAGGTGAAAACCACAGTGACTCAGGTGAAAACCACAGTGGTTCAGGTGAAAGCACGGTGGTTCAGGTGAAAGCACGGTGGTTCAGGTGAAAGCACGGTGGTTCAGGTGAAAGCACGGTGGTTCAGGTGAAAGCACGGTGGTTCAGGTGAAAGCACGGTGGTTCAGGTGAAGTGGAACCAACACGTGGTGCACACACAGCACAGCAACAGCCAGCAGCGCAATCCGTCTCAGCAGCAACAGCTGATGGTCGAATATCAAAACGGTCTTCAACCCCCCCCTAATTCCGCCACCCCCCTTTCCCCCCACAGAGGTCAGTTGGGGCTGCCTGCCTCGTCCACCACACCCCTCGCCCCTCTCTTCGGCCCCACGCAGCAGCTAGACTTCGAGCTCGAGATGGTGAGTGGCGCGTGGTATAGTGGGGTGGCTTCATGGTGAGGTGCAAGGATTCAGTCGTGTCCTTCACCCACTGCCCCTCTGCTTTCCCTTATGCCGCTTTCCCTTTCGCTGCTTTACCTTTCGCACCTTGCCCTTCTGCCCTTTGCCCGCACATTCCCTTCGTCTGAGGTGGTGTTGACGGGGCTGGGTAACGAGAGGGGGGAAATAGTATTTTCTGGGCGCCTCAAAACTCATGCCCTTCTGCCTCTTGCCCATCCCTCCACGTGGTGCCTCAGGCGGTGTTGATGGGGCCGGGCAATGAGAGGGGCGAGAGCATTCCTGTGGAGGGGGCGCTGGACTGCTGCTTTGGCATGGTGCTCTGTAACGACTGGAGCGGTGAGATGTAACGCCTGGTGGAGTGGTGAGGTATGACGGCTGTTGGGGCGAAGAGATGTAACGACTGGAATGCTGAAATGAAACACCTGTGCTGGGCGAGATGTAACTACAGGTCATCCACAGTGAACAGGTGTGGGTCATCCACAGTGAACATAGCAGCGGCCCAGCCTTTTCTCAGACGCCCGCCCGTCTCTCACCCTGCGCTCACCCTATTCTCTTGCACCCCCTCTACCTTCCAACCCCACCTGCATGCATCCTCCCCCGGTGCAGCGAGGGACATCCAACGGTGGGAGTATGTTCCCCTGGGCCCATTCCTTGGCAAGAACTTCGGTCAGTGTGGGGGCGGTCAGTGGGGGGGCAAAGGATGGGCTTGGATCTGGGTGTCCGGTCAATGCGATGTGGAGGTCAATCCAGCTGGGGATGGGAGCTGGGCAGAGGTTTGATTTTTGAGTCGACTCAAAAATGGGAGCTGGGCAGAGGTTTGATGTGCATTTGATGCGGCTGAAGGAGCCGCTCAGAGTGGCACAGCCATGATTTTAGTAGTGTGGTGCATTTCGCACATCACAGTGTGTATCCGTGCGCATCTGCATGTGCTTCCGTACTCGCATGCTGTATCTGCATGTGCTTCCGTACTCGCATGCTGTATCTGCATGTGCTTCCGTACTCGCATGCTGTATCTGCATGTGCTTCCGTACTCGCATGCTGTATCTGCATGTGCTTCCGTACTCGCATGCTGTATCATGCATTGCATCATACATTGCATCATGCATTGCATCATGCACTGCATCATGCATTGCATCATACATTGCATCATACATTGCATCATGCATTGCATCATACATTGCATCATGCATTGCATCATGCATTGCATCATCCATTGCATCATGCATTGCATCATGCATTGCATCATGCATTGCATCATACATTGCATCATGCATTGCATCATGCATTGCATCATGCATTGCATCGTACATTGCATCATACATTGCATCATGCATTGCATCATGCATTGCATCATGCATTGCATAATGCATTGCATCATGCATTGCATCATGCATTGCATCATGCATTGCATCATGCATTGCATCATCCATTGCATCATGCATTGCATCATGCATTGCATCATCCATTGCATCATGCATTGCATCATGCATTGCATCATGCATTGCATCATACATTGCATCATACATTGCATCATGCATTGCATCATACATTGCATCATGCATTGCATCATGCATTGCATCGTACATTGCATCATACATTGCATCATGCATTGCATCATGCATTGCATCATGCATTGCATCATACATTGCATCATGCATTGCATCATGCATTGCATCATACATTGCATCATACATTGCATCATGCATTGCATCATGCATTGCATCATGCATTGCATCATGCATTGCATCATGCATTGCATCATACATTGCATCATGCATTGCATCATGCATTGCATCATGCATTGCATCATACATTGCATCATGCATTGCATCATGCATTGCATCATACATTGCATCATGCATTGCATCATGCATTGCATCATACATTGCATCATGCATTGCATCATGCATTGCATCATACATTGCATCATGCATTGCATCATGCATTGCATCATTCATTGCATCATACATTGCATCATGAATTGCATCATTCATTGCATCATGCATTGCATCATGCATTGCATCATACATTGCATCATGCATTGCATCATACATTGCATCATGCATTGCATCATGCATTGCATCATTGCGTCATTGCCCTGTGTCATCACTCTACTACACAACCCATTTCAACCCCCCTTCCCCTTCCATGCCATGTGTGCAGCCACGACCACATCACTCTGGGTCGTCACCATGGATTCTCTTCTCCCCTTCATCTGCTCCCATCTGCCCTCCCCCCTCCCATCTGCTCCCTCCCTTCCCCTTTGAGGTGCCTCAAAAATAAACCCCCCACTCCCCTCCCATGCCATGTGTGCAGCCACGACCATATCCCCCTGGGTCGTCACTATGGATGCTCTTCGCCCCTTTATCTGCTCCCCGCCCCCTCAGGTGACCCCCCTTCTCCTGGTGTCCTTATTGTAATTTCCAGCTCCAGTCTCAAACCCCTCCCACTTCCTCCTCTTAAATATATTCTTTAATCGATTGCCTTGAATATAATAGGCTCTATTTCCTCACCCTCAAAATGCGAACCTTCATGCCCTTGCCTTCAACATACGAGCTCTACCACACTCCCAAACAGCGTGATTCCTTCTTTCCTTCTCTCCTCTCCTCTGCTGCGTAACCCCTGTCGCTGCCACCACCCCCCACCACACCAACCACCCCCCACCACACCAACCACCCCCCACCACACCAACCATCCCCTACCGCACCGATCGCCCCCCAACGGCACAGGACCCAGAGCCGCTGCCATACCTCCGGGACCCCAACCCGACCACCTTCGACATTCACCTGCAGGCAAGCGCCTCTTGGGGAGTACGAAAGGGGAGAGAGGGGGGAGGTGGTGATCGGGGTGGGGTTTCAGGTTTTGAGGCGCCTAAAACTTTTGCTGCTGTACCTGTGGGACCCCTACCTGACCACCTTCGACATTCACCTGCAGGCAAGCACCTCTTGGGGAGGACAAAGGGGGAGAGGGGGGAGAGGAGGGAGAGTTGGTGTGTGGATTTGTGCTTTAGGCCAGCGTGAGTGGGGATGGAGGTGCATGGGCAGGTGCAACGAACTTAGTGGGCTTCGCAGTGTGGATGGATTGGATTGGATTGGATTGGATTGAGTTGGACTGAACTGGACTTTTTTTGGATTCGATTCGATTTAATTGGATAGATCTGTTCCCTGCACAGCATGCACCTGCTGCTTCTAAGTACTCCCCATGGCTCTTTCCCCCTTTCCCACCCTCTCTCCATTCTGTTTGTCCTGTTCTGGATCCTTCCAAGTATGCTTTCACCAGTCGTCATTACCTCCCTCCTCTCCTCCCCTCCCCTCTGGTCCCCACAGGTCTCCCTTTATCCCTCCGCACCTCCCTCCCCTGCTCCTCCTGCCACCACATCGCATCCTCCTCCTCCCCCTCTTCCGGTACCTGCAGAAACCACACCATCCACCACTCTATCGTCCACAGCATACTTCCCTCCAGTCATTCCTCCGCCCGTGCCTCCGTGCCCGCACGCCCTCCTGTCCCCTGAAGCTCTGGACTCCGCTCCCTCTGCCGCAGGGAATGCGTCACTCTTCCACAGGCTGCCGGCTGTAAATGTGTGCTGCAGCAACTTCAAACACCTGTCAGTGCCTTGTGCCCATGGGTGCATGCATGCATGCTGGGCATGGGAGTGCTTGTATCACTTCTAAAAAAACTCAAAATCCCACAAGCTGAGGACAATTCGCTCTCCCATGGATTGCCTCCTGTCACACACACCATGTTTGCCTGTGCTCCTTTGCTGTACCAACACCCTCTCCCCCCCTCACCCTCCTTTGCTGTACCAACACCCTCTCCCCCCCTCACCCTCCTTTGCTGTACCAACACCCTCTCCCCCCCTCACCCTCCTTTGCTGTACCAACACCCTCTCCCCCCCTCACCCTCCTTTGCTGTACCAACACCCTCTCCCCCCCTCACCCTCCTTTGCTGTACCAACACCCTCTCCCCCCCTCACCCTCCTTTGCTGTACCAACACCCTCTCCCCCCCTCACCCACTCTTCCTCCTCCTCCGCCTGCACAGGTACTGGACGGTGGCACAGCAAGTGGCACATCACAGCATCAACGGCTGCCCGCTGCGCCCGGGCGACCTGCTTGCTTCAGGCACCATCTCCGGCCCTGTCAGTCTCACTCACGCCCTTCCAGCTGCGTTCATCCTTCCCCCCTGCTGCACCAAGCGCCGCTCTTCTTTCCCACATCGCCGTCTCACTGCCCTCCAGTGGCGTTGCCTCACACCATTCATCCTACCTGCTTCCGCACCCCCATTCCTTCCCATGTACATGCACCATCCCCTGCTGCTGCCCCCTGTGATCCCAGGAAGAGGGCAGTGAGGGGTGTCCACTAGAGTGCACACAGGCAGGCAACCTCACCCTGGAGCTGTCCTCACAAGGGTGTTAGGTCATGAGATGTATCAAAACACCTGCTTCTGCATGCCCTTTCGTTCTCATTTGCATGCGTCATCCCCTGCTGTCGCTGCCCCTGGTCCCAGGTGGAGGGCAGTGAGGGGTGTCTCCTAGAGCGCACACAGGCAGGCAAACTCACTCTGGAGCTCTCCCCTCAAGGATGTACGGTTGCCGACGACTCTTCCCAAGCCTCCGACCGAAGCTTAGCCCCGGGGACTGTGCACCGAACGTACCTGGAGGACGGGGATGAGGTCATCATGACGGCTACCTGCCAGGTGGGTTGCACTTTGTGACTCGTGTCACCACCACCACATGTTGGTTGATTTCATCGTCTGTTCTTGTCATGAAATATTTTTTTTTTACTCAAAAACTGTTTTGTCATCCGTTCTTGTCATGAAATGTGCATTTCATTGCCGCTTCATGTCGTACGGTAGCTTGTTCGTATCACCCTCGTAACTCGCTTGCTCACTGCCTCCCCCTTCCCCTGCCCAGTTGCCAGATGGTGTGATGATTGGTTTTGGAGAGTGCAGGGGTGTAGTGCTTCCTTCGACATTTGTCACGTCGCGTGGTAGCTCTAAACTACGGTAGGTTAAGTGGCTGTATTGACCCCTGAGGATACCTTAGTCCCTCCAATGGAGGGTTGACATGACATGGTACGATGTTTGAGTTTCATAGGGATCATATTTGAGCTTGACTAAATACATGTTTCTGAATACAGAAAGACGCAGGGTTCGTGGCAACTACCAGGCACATGCTATTAATTTCCACGTTTTTTTTTTTTTTTTTTACAGTTGTGGACATTGTATTTTTTGGGACGGGATCTAATCAGAATGATTGATACGGTAGGAGTAAGAATAAATATGAGGTGATGAGTGAAAATTATGAATGTTATGGTAGGTTGATTATAAATATGATGGGATTGTACAGAACGGACAAATTTAGCGAAGTCTATTGATGCCAAACAAGACGGTTGGGCAACGGGCTGAGACTCGCGGCATCTCAAGGGGCGCAGGTCTGGGCACAGCAGATCCAGATGGCACGTAGCGATTGCTTGATTCGTACCCGTTTCAGTTTCAGTCACCTCATCCCCCACACTTCGCCAACGTGAGGGATTTTCCTTCCCCTCACCGCTATTGCAGCACCCCACGACAACAAAAGATCCGAGCCGCGAATGTCATGCGACTCGGTCCTGCAATTCTGGTGCAATGAGCAACCTCTCCACTCAACGAACGCCACACACACACTCTCACCTCCATGATCCACTGTTCTCTAACTCTTCTCGAACCTCCTCCTAGCCTTTCTGGGACCATTTTCACTCGCATGCCCACTCTTTCCCCTCTCGCCGCAGTTACTTTCGCTGCTAACTGCTCCCTCACTCCAGCTATATTCTTCAACAGCTACGCTCTGCCACCCCTAATGCTGATTCATATGCACCCGTCGCAACTCGAAGTCTGCTTAGTTCCTTGCTTTCCGCTCGTTCCCCTCGAGAACGTCGCTGATTCGCTCTCATTACCCCATGCTTACGATACGATCCAATCACAGTTACGAACTAGACGCGATCGCGGCATCCCTTGTTCAATTTTGGCGCGACATAGCCGTCCAAGCCAAACATGCTTGCCTTGACGCGCTGTCGCTTCCTTCCTTTCTGGAGCCAGCTAGACCGCTCAAGCTCGCTCTTTATGCGTATGAATGCATCAAGGCTACACGTGCGGACAAGTAACCATCATTACGCTGGCGGCAATTGCTGCCCACGGGGGGGCAAATTGCCACTGTGCTACAGCCCTTCTCACCCGCTACAGTGATATGTCGTCGTTCCCGAGGTCCTCCGGAAAAGGTAGAAGGGTTGTTGGATTAGAACCTCGGAATTCGAGAGACAAGCCCTCGCTGGGCCTTTTATAGTGCAGTGCACGGACGGACTGATGCAGCGTGCTCTGAATCCTGCCCCCGCTCCACGGGGGAACACCGCTTCCGTTTCACGTGCGTTCCTTTCCCCCTGCAGCCTCGTTACTGTACTACGAGGTACCCTTCCACAGTTTACGCGAGCTTTGGTAGAGCAGCGCCGCGTGACCCCCCTCCTCTTTCCCCCTTCCCAGCAGAGTCAAATTGACGCCCGGATATTTTTCTTCCGTTTACTGTTGCAAAAAGCACGATAATATCTCCCGATATCGATCTCCCACGGGCCGATATTGGCGTTAGTACGCAGCACCACCGACCGATCGCCTTTCCTCTTCCGTACCATCCGCGCAGGTTCGGGAGGTATCACCCGCGGCACCACAGTGCCGAGTCTGGCGGGCCGTGCCGAGGCTGCGACAGTTAATGCTCCTAGAGGGGCTTGACCCAAGCCAACCCAGCTCATGGGAGTAGACTCGGGGTCTAGAATTCTGAGTCTTGACTCGTCGTGAAGCGCTGAAGATCAACCCGGCAGCAGTACTCGGTAGCAGTAGTACTATGCCGCTGCCATTTTGTCAGCGTAACTGCGCAAGGAGAGAGGAGGGATGCTCACGGAGAGATTCACGCATTCGCACGCTCGCACGGACTGACTGACTGACGGCTACGCACGTCGCTCCCCCGCCAAGGGTGCGCTGTAGCGCGCGCGCGCAAGCAGGCGCGGGGACGAAAGGCCGTCCGCCGCTTGCGCCGCCTCTGCTGCGGCGGGGCTTCGCTTCCGCTCGATTACAGTCTCCCGACGGCACCGCACGGCGGTGAATGGCGAGCCACGCACGACCCTCCCCCGAGAGTTAGTAGTAGTACGAACCATCTCATTTCTTCCCTTCAGCCTCGCCCCTCGCTTTGTTCAATTTGTACTCAAGCAAGCAAGCTTTTCAATAGACTCCTGCTCATAATCGACAGCGCGCAAAACCCGCATAGCAGCACCCGAGCTTCACGAGCAGCGTGGATGATCCGATCGATCCAATCGACATCGCGATTCCAAGCAGCGCGCACCATATCGCTCGCACATCCACGGCCCTCAGTCCTCCTCGTACCGATTTGCGCAGATTAGAAGTCCGGCCACACATTCCGTCAATTTGAGACAAAATCCGTCAGCTCCGACAACGATTTCCGATAACGGCCTCAGTCCGTCAGCGGTCGCCCTCACGATCTCCGTCAAACTCCTTCAGGTTCCGTCAATCTCCGTCAAACCCCGTCAAATTCCGTCAGGTTCCGTTAATCTCCGTCAACGCACGTCGAGCGCGGCGCGGGACAATGGAGGGGAGCAGCAGCACGGCAATGTCAATGTCGATGGAGGCGCTACAGATGGCCATGGCGGATGACGTGGACCAATGGGATGCCGCGGACGACCCGCAGGGAACCCTCAGCATGATGGCCATGCTCCTGGGCGGCGGGGATGCGAGTTTGGGCGGCACAAACGACGTTTTCCTGGGCGGCAGTGACTTTCATTTGGGCGGCGCGAGTGACATGCTGCTGGGCGGCACGTCATTGGAAGATCTACTGGGTGGCGGTACCCACAGCGGCAGTGGCGGATGTATTGGCGGCGGAATTGGCGGCAGAATTGGCGGCGGCATGGTGCACGGCGAAGGCCAGTGCGGCCCCGCGATGGGATTCGACAACCGCATTGCCAGCGTCGCCGCCCAAGGCCATCTGGACGGAGCTCTTCTCGAGGCGGCTTATAACGGGGCGCCTATGATGGGCGCCGGTGCTGAGTATGATCAGTATGCGGGTTTGCCTCGTGGCAGCCATGGGCCCGTCATTTGCGCTTCAGCTGGTCAGTGGGACTTCTCGGAGGAGCAAGCACACAACGCCTCCTTCGTGGGGCAGAGCAGCATCGTCGGTGTTGACTCGTCCGCTGTACTCGGTACAAGCAGCCTCGTTGGTACGCACGCACACTCCGCCATTGCTCCTGATTCCACCAACCTGTGGATGCTGCAGCAGCAGCAACAGCAGCAGCAGGATCAACAGCACCTGCTGCTCCAATCCGAGCCTGACACACAGGCTTGGCCGGACCTGAAGCCACCAGCGGACCTGAAGCCCGAGCGGAGGGCCCTGGTGGTGCAGTCGTGTGACTATAAGGGGGGAAGGGGCGGAAATCAAGGTGCTCGCCTGCTGCAGATGCCGCCCGGGGTGCGCCTTGCGCCGCCCGTGCCTGCGCTTGCCACTGCTGCTACCACAACTGACGCCGCAGCTTTGGGGAACTCTGCTTCTGCTTCTGCTGCTGCTGCTGCTGCTGCTGCTGCTGCTGCTGCTCCCAGCTCGAATATGAACGCGAGTGTGCGCATGATGCTGCCAAGGGCCAGCACGGCGCCTGCAAATGCTGCTCCTCTGGGGAGCGCAGCAGTAGCGGCAGGGGCGGCGGAAGTGGGGGACGGATCCTTTCTGGACAGCTGCGGTGTTGTGGGGAGCGGCATGTGGCGAAGCCACAGCAGCAGCAGCCTGAGTAGGCCGGTGGCCGTGTGGGCGTGCGAGGCGGGAGTGAGTGGCGCAGCGGAGAAGGGAGGTGCGCATGCTGCATTGAGTGGTTTGCTGGAGTGCCAGGGGGAGCTGCAAGCAAATGAGGGCGTTGCTGCTGCTGCTTTCGGTGTTGCTGCTGCTGCTGCTGCTGCTGCTGGTGCCAGCAGTGCTGCTGGCAGTGGTGGTGCGAGTGCAGCAAGGGCGGGGATGCGCAAGAGTCGCAGCAGCAGCAGCGCCAGGCCTCGTGTCACTCAACTGGGCGCTCGGGGAGGCAGCAAGCGAGCAACAGCCGGCAGTGGCATGAGCCAAAGCCGCAGCAGCCACGTCCTGCTCACCACCTCTGCTGCTGATACCCCAACCCCTGCTGCTCCCGCTCCTCCTTCCCACTCTACTCCTCTTCCTGCTGTTGCTGCGGCCACTGCCGGTGCCAGCATTGGTGGAGTGCAGAAGACTGGCGAGGCAGGCCCTGGCTCACCAGAGTCGGATCTTCCATCCTTCCAGCGGGAGAACCAGGCCCTGGCTCAGGCACTGCTGCGCGATGCTGACCTCGGCTTCTCACCTCCTTCCCAAACTGCTGCTGCTGCTGCTGCTGCTGGTGCTGGTAGTGCTGGTGCTGTTGGTGGTGCTGCTGCTGCTGTGGGCTCATATGACGTCAGCGGAAGCATGAGCGGAGGAGGGGCGACAGGCGCCGGAATGAGCAGCTGCAGCCTGGGCGGCGAGACGAGCTTGGGCGGCACCAGCATTGGTGGCACGAGCCTGGGCGCGCGCACGAGCATGGGCGGCGGGACAAGCACGGGCGGGGGGGCAGCAACGGGCGGCGACAGCAGCGACCCGGAGGAGCAAGGGTTGGCGAAGGGCACGTGGTTACCGGAGGAGGACGGGGTGCTGATGGAGTATGTGCGCTGCCACGGCCCTCGCAACTGGGGCACGCTTAGAGCCCGCGGGTTGTTGAGACGCTCAGGCAAGAGCTGCCGGCTGCGGTGGGTCAACCAGCTCAAGCCCGGGCTGCAGGTGGGTTTCGTGAATCAGCTGAGATGGAAAGGCACGTTTGAGTCAACTGAAAGAAGCACTACCTTCAATGGGTAAAGTCATCGAATTCAACCCGAAGGCACGTTTGAGTCAACTCAAAAGAGGAGGTGGCTTGTGAGTCGCCTCATGAACTGATTTGCCTGCGATGGGTCATCGGTCAACCAGCTCAATCCGGGTGTGCACGTGGATGCCCTTGGCGGAGGCAAAGCACAGAGCGTGCTGGCAACAATGCTGGCTTGCATTGCGTAACTTGCTCTGCCGCCTCTTGCCACTGCTCAATTCTTCCTCCCCCCTGCCTCCCTGCCTCCCTGCCTGCCGCCATGTCACCACTGCTGTCTAAAGTTCCGTCTCTCCTCCCTCGTCTCCACCCTTCTCCCCTACCTGCACACTTACAGCGCTACGGCGGCAAGGGGTGCGAGAGGTTCAGTGAAGCAGAGGCAGGCGTGGTGCTGGCGCTGCAGCGCACGGTGGGCAACAAGTGGGCTCACATCGCCCCCCACCTGCCTCATTCTCTTCTCCCCTGCCTCCCTGCCTCCCTGCGCCCCTGCCTTCCTGTCTCCCTTCCCCCCTGGCAGAGGTACGGCGGAAAAGGGTGCCAGCGGTTCAGCGAGGCAGAGGCAGGCGTGGTGCTGGCGCTGCAGCGGGCGGTGGGCAACAAGTGGGCTCATATCGCCCGCCACCTGCCTGGCCGCACGGACAACAATGTGAATAACTTCTGGAACCTGCACCTCAAGCGACAGGGCCCGCCTGCGCGCACGGGGGGGAGGCACTCGTCTAAACCCCCATCTCTCAATGCCTCCCCTCCCTCTTCTCTACCCTTCTCTCCCCTACCCTGTTCTGGCAGAGGTACGGAGGCAAGGGATGCAAACGGTTCAGTGAGGCGGAAGCAAGCGTGGTGTTGGCGCTGCAGAGAGCCGTAGGCAACAAGTGGGCGCACATCGCCCGCCACCTGCCCGGGCGCACGGACAACGATGTCAAGAACTTCTGGAACCTGCACCTCAAGCGACAGGCCCGCCTGCGCGCTCGGGGGGGAGGGGCGCGCCTTGGGGGGGACGGTGATGGGGAGGAGCGGGATGGGGGTGAGGCGGATGGTGGTAACCAGAATGATGATAACCAGACTGGTGGTAACCACACTGTTGGTAACCTGACTAGTTTTTACCAGAGCAGTGGAGACCAGAAGGGTGATAAGCAAGCCAGAGGTGACGGTGGTGGTGATGGGGGCTGCGACAGCAGCATGAACAGTGGCAGCCCAGGGCATGGGGGTGAGATGGTGGCGAGTGAGGGTGGAAGTCCTGGGGCACATGTTGGTCATGAGGACGTTGCATGTACCAATGACACGGCAGGTACCGATGTCAAGCCCCTTCCTCATGCTTCCCCCGCGCCTGCTACCACTGCTGCTGCTGCTGCTGCTGCTGCTGCTGCTGCTGCTGCTGCTGCTGCTGCTGCTGCCACTGTTGCTGCTGCAACCACTGCTGCTGCCTCTGCTGCTTCCGGTGCTGGTGCAGCAGCAGTACCCGGTGAGGAGAAAGGAAGCAAGGGCGTGACCACCAACACTCCCACTCCACCGAACACAGAGGCAGGACCTGCCTCCACCCCCACTCTCCCCGTCCCCTCCTCCCTACCGCCCCACATGCACCAACACGCAAAACCACTCCTCCCGCGCGCCCGCCCTTCTTCCTCCTCCGGGCGGCCTCTGTCGGCCGGCAGCCGCCCGTCTTCCTCGTCCGGGCGGCAGTCAAAGCTGTCGCTGCACCAGAGGCGCCTGCAGCGGAACTCCTCTGGCGGAGGGGGGAGTGGTCTAGGCGCAACTGGCGCTGCTGGTGGGGGGGGATGTGCACGCTGTGCTGGTTGCCGCAATGCCGCCGGTAACAACAACGGGGTTGACAGCATGACCGGCACTGGTGCTGCCACTGTTGCCGCCGCTGCTGCTGGTGCGACGGGGAGTGGCGACGAGGAGCGGGCAGCAGGGAGTCCCAGGGAGGCCGGAGGGGAAGCTGGGGAAGCCATGGACGTGGCGGGCGCTGGGAGCAGCCTCTCTGCTCTCAAGATAGGTGCGTCTCTAACCCGTGGGTGCACGCAGCCATTGAGAAACCTCTGCCTACTTCTGTGCTTTCCCGCTCTGTGAATCGCCTGATTGAGTCCCCTCGCCCTTCCCCACTCACACGCCCTCTCTCTCTCCCCCTCCCTTCCCGCCCTCTGTCTGCTGCAGGCGAGCCCAACGCGCAGCTGAGCACACTGATCAACCTAGAGGACTGGATCAACTCTCCTTCACCCGCTGCTGCCGCTCCCCCTCGCCGTACGGGCTGCTCGCCCTTCTACATCAACCTCTCCCCCTCCGCCCGCCGCCTCCGCTCCCCCGGCTCCCCCTCCCCGCGCTCCCTCTACCTCCGCTCCCCCTCCCCGCGCTCCCTCTACCTCCGCTCCCCCTCCCCCCGCGCCCTCGCCTCCCCCCGCGCCCTCGCCTCCCCCCGTGCCCTCCCCTCCCCCCGCCACCGCGCCTCCCCAGCCCATCGTGTCTTCCCCCACCCGCCCCCCCACCCCTCGCCCCGCCATTCCCCCCTCTCGTCCTCCCCTTCCCCCCATAACAACCACTCGGGGTCCCAACCATCCCCTCTCTCCTCCTCGTCGCCTCTCCCTCCCTCGCGGCCTCGGCACCCGCTCTCCTCCTCCTCCTTCTCGCCCTCTCACCCCAGCGGCCATCGCTCAGTGGGAAAGCACACAGCGGGGGTAGAGGAAAAGGAGAAGGCGGAGGCGGAGGAGGCGGAGGCGGAGGGCGGACATGTGCCGCAGCAGGCGCACGCACGCAGTGAGCAGGGAAGGCAGGAGCCGAAGAGAATGCAAGCACAGGGGGAAAAACAGGAGGAGGTGGGAAGACAGGAGCAGGAGGAAAGGCACGAGCAGGAGAACAATCCTGGGAAAATGCAAGCTGCAGAGGAAAAGGGCCAGCAGAGGTCCAGCCTGGCCAGTTACAGGGTGCCACGTGGCAAGGGGCTGCTGCAGCTTCCCAATCAGAGCGAGCCAGCCGGGCACAGTGCCTCACTGGCATCTGCCCTGGAGCCACTTCAGCAGGAAATTATGCCACATCAGGCGGAAATTCTGCCAAGTCAGCAGCTACAGCCCATTCACATGAAATCCAGCTGGCACAATCCCGAGCTTGTACCCGAACCTGCAGGACACCCTGTTGCCGAGCCTCTTGCCGAGCCTCTTGCCGAGCCTGCCGCTGGAGGCATGGGCAGTTGGGAGAAGCGGGATAGGAGTGTGTGTCGGAGCATGAGCATGGAGAGCAGCGTGCGGAGGGGGCAGCACCTGCAGGGCAGGAAAGGCTCTACTGGCGTTGCTGCCAGTGCCTCGTTACAAGCATCTCCGATACAAGACGTGCTGGTGCCAGCAGTGCGGCAGCAGCAGAAAATGCAAGAATTCCAAGCGGCTCTGCAGTATCATGACCACCAACATCTTAACCAGCAGCTTCATCACCAACAGCAACTTACTCAGCTTGAGCAGCATGGGCATGGGCATCAGCAGAAGGAGACCACGAGTGGCACGAAACACGGCAGCACAGGTGGGGGTGGAGCACCCGTTCCCAAGCACCGCCGCCACCACACCACAGCCGCACCACATCCCCTTGCTCACGGCACTGTCCCAGACACCACCGCTGCTGCTGCTTACCCACGCCGTACCACTAACGCAACCCCGTGCCTGAGTGCCTCAGAGCACAGTGCTGGGAGCCCTGCTGTCAGCCATGCAGCAGCAAGCCCTGCAGTGAGCCATGGGGCAGTGAGCCACGGAGCAATGAGCCACGGAGCAATGAGTCACGGAGCAATGAGCCACGGAGCAATGAGTCATGGAGCAAGCCCAGCAGTGAGTTATGGAGCAAGCCAGCACACCGGCACAGGCCCAGGTCCAAATCAACACGCCCATGCGCCTGCCCACTCCACACACTCGGGCCCGTGTGCGAGTGCGTGTGGGAGTGCGTGTGTGAGTGGCAGCAGCCCTAGTGCGAGCCTCAAGGCGAATGCGGGCATGCATGGGATCCGCGTGTGGCATTTGGGTGCGCCTGCTGCCGCCCTCGTGCCGCCCGTTATTGATGTCTCGGTTGCTGCTGCCACCCATGTGGGCATGGGGCAGTCTGGGGATGCTGGTGGGGTGATAGAGTACCACTGGGGTAGGGGGTTCATTCGGGCTGCTGCTCCGTAGGAGCCTGGTCCCGATGTGTAAATCTATTTGGGAGGAAACAAGTTGTAGTGTGGATTATCTACGCCAAGGTTAGTGAAAAAACAAGAATGTAACTACTAATACTCGACTCCACTGGGGATCGAACCCAGAATCTCTGGTTCCGTAGACCAGCGCCTTATCCATTGGGCCATGGAGTCCCGAGTTGAATTCGAGAATAATGTAGCTGATCTTTTATCATGCAACCTCCCACACGACTTCAGTTTCTTGGTCACCCAACACCGGCAGCCATGGCGTCCCTGCCCGACCACGGTGCGCTGCGTCCTCGCACCGCATCGCCCGAAATTGACTGGGACAGGTCCGTCGGTCAAACCGCGCTTCCTTCGCTGCTCCGCTCCCGCCTTCCACGATCTCACCGAGGCCCTACCCGCGTGTCCCCTCGCGCTTTCTACCTCCCCCAAATCCTTTCGCCCTCGCATTTCGCCTCCTTAGCCAGTCACTCACTACTTGATCCCCAGCGCCATCCGCGCCTTTTATCGATCTTTCTTCCAGTCCCCTCTCGGTTTCTTTCCCCGCGGATCGTCCTTGCGCAATCGAGCATTCCAAACTGCTAGGGTTCTTGACTCGTCCTCCCACAGCCAATTCCCCACATTCTCTTTCCCAAACCCTCGTCTCCCCATCCCCCAACCCCCCGCTTCCGCGGATCCTGCGCGCGCGCGCGGCAGGTTGGACAAGACGCGCATGTTCGTGGTGGGCGCGGGGCTCTTCAGCGGACTGACCGTTGCGCTCTACCCGCTCTCCGTCATCAAAACGCGCCTCCAGGTCTCTCCGCTCCCGCTCTCCGCTGCCCATGCCGCCCCCGCTTCCGCTCCCCCTTCCTCTTCCGCTGCCGCTTCTGCTTCCCCCGGCGCGGGCGCGCCTGCTGCTCCCGCAAGGCCTGCGGCGCAAGCAGCAGCCAATGCAGGGCTGGCGGGAGCAAGCGGGGTGGCGGGTTCGGGGGGAACGGGAGCATCCCGGGCGGTGGAGGGGGGGGGAGCGGAAGCCCGCGTTAGTGGGAATGGCGCGGCGGCAGCAGCGGTCACTGCAAGAACAGGCGGAGACACAAGGGTAACTACAGGTGCAGCAGCTGTAACACCAGTCACACGGGTAACACCAGGAACAACTGGAACAGCGGTGAGTGGAGCAACAGCTGCAGCAGGAGGAGCGGCAGGGGGAGCAGCTTCAGCAGGTGGGGCATCGCGGGCAGCAGCTGGGGGTAGGGGGCCGTCGTCTGTGAGTCTGGCGGTGGGCATGGCGCGGCACATAGCTCGCACGGAGGGCGTGAGGGGGTTCTTCCGCGGCATGGGCACCGTGGTGGCGGGTATGCTCCCCGGGCGGATAATTTACATGGCCGTGCTGGAGGCTGTCAAGGCCAACACGCTCAAAGGGATTAACGGGGTAACGGATCAGCCTGTAGAGGGGACGTCTGACGTTGCTGTCAGCACGAGCAGTGGTAGTGGCGGCAGCAGCAGCAGCAGCGGCAGCAGCGGCAGCAGCGGCAGCAGCGACAGCAGGGGCAGCAGCACGGGCAGTGGTGGGAGCAGCGGGAGCACTGAGAGCAGAGGTGGCAGTGGCGGTGTGGTGGGCGGCACCGGGCGGTGGCTGCATTTGTCTGATACGGCAGCAGCAGGGCTGGCGAGTGCGGTGGGCGGCATGTGCGCGTCTCTTGCCACCCAGGCCGTTGTTGTGCCCGTGGACGTGGTGAGTGGGGGAGGAGTGGGGGGGAGTGGGGGACAGGGGGGTTGGGGAGTGATGGTCTGGGATGAGGGACTGGTGAGTAGGGGAGTGGGGGATTGGGGGAGGAGGGAGGGGAAAGGGAGGGAAGGAGGAGGATTGCCATGTTCTTCATTCATCCAACCTCCCGCCGTTTTCCCCTCCCACAATTCTATTCTCTTTCCCATCTCTTCCGTCCCCCTGCCGCACTCTCCCTTCGTCCCAACCCGTCCCACCCTCGCACGTGCCGTGCTCCCTTTTCCCACCCGCTCCTCCCACTCGCCCATCATCAGATCAGCTCTCGTCTCGTGGCACAGCAGGGCGACCTGCCGCACCACGCCACCAGACCTGCACCCACAGCACCAGGAGCGCCGCTAGCAGCTTCCACACCAGCAGCGGCAGCAGGAGCAGCAAGACCAGGAGCGGCAGCGGCAGGAGGAGGGGCAGGGGCAGGGGCAGTGCGGTATAAGGGGGGGGTGGATGCACTGGTGACGATACTGAGAACGGAGGGGCCGCGTGGGCTGTACCGTGGGTTTGGGCTGTCGGTGCTCACGTATGCTCCCTCGGGGTTCATCTGGTGGGGCACCTATGGCGCCACGCAGCGCCTGTTTTGGAGGTGAGACCAAACCGTAGACTTGAGATTGCAGGGCTGACAGAGGAGGGGCTGTACCGTGGAATTGGGCTGTCGGTGCTCACGTATGCTCCCTCGGGGTTCATCTGGTGGGGCACCTATGGCGCCATGCAGCGCCTGTTCTGGAGGTGAGACCGCATGTCAAGGGAGGGACTGGTGGAAGGGTAAGGTCTCAATCAAGTCAGGGAAAGCGCTGCTCTGGAGGTGAGGTGAGGTCGCAGGGCCGACACTGCTGTGTGGCGTGCTCTTTTCCCTGGGCTGTCCTCTTCTCCTCTCCCTCACCCTCTCTTCCCCTTCCCCGTCCCCCCCACTTTGCCAACCCCGCTCCCCCCCTCCCCCAACCACATCACTCCGCAGTTCGTACGACCGGTTGTGGGCACCAGCAGGCGGCGCAGCAGCAGCGCCCCCACTGGCGCTGGTGGTGGGCGTGCAGGTGGGGGGCGGCATGTGTGCCGGGCTGGCGTCCGCCCTCGCCACCACCCCGCTTGACACCGTCAAGACGCGCATTCAGGTAAAGGGGGTGTGTATGCATGCAGATGGTAAGGGCATGTAAAGTGTGCAGCAGCAGGCAGCAGCGCAGCTGTGCCCCACTAGCAGCGCCCTCGCCACCACCCCACTTGACACCGTCAAGACACGCATTCAGGTGAAGGGTGGGTGTTGGTATGATGCAGCAGCTGGTGGAGCAGGGCGGGCTGAGAGAGCTGTAGGTGCTAAAGCTGCCGTGCAACCCACTCACCCATACCCCCCTTCCTCCTCCTCCCTGACTCCGCATCAGGTGGGGCGCAGTGCAGGAGTGAAGTGCAGTAGTAGCAGTGAAGGTGGCAGCGGGGGTTGGACAGCCGGTGGATCATCGTGAGCCAACTCAACAGTCCCCCCTCCCCACCCCCCCCCTCCCATGCACTCTTCTCATGTGGCAGGTGGGGCGCAGGAGTGGAGCTGCAGTGACGGTGGCAGCGGTGGTGAGGCAGCTAGTGGGGCAGGACTGGCTGAGAGGGCTGTACCGAGGCTTTTGAGGCACCTGAAGAGAGGGCGCCAGGTGCCAGTGCTGCTGTGCATCCCACTCACACCATCCCACACACCATCCCACTCACACTCCCCTCCCTTCTCCCCCACACATGGCAGGTGGGGCGCAGGAGCGGAGCAGCAGTGAAAGTGGCAGCGGTGGTGAGGCAGCTAGTGGAGCAGGACGGGGTGAGAGGGCTATACCGTGGCTTCGCCCCTCGCTGTGCCAGCACCATGCTCTGGGGCACGGCCATGGTCTCTACCTACGAGTATCTCAGTATGTATCCTTTCCCTCTCTTTTTGGGGTATCCACCTATGAAGTCCTCACAAGCCAACTTGTGCCAGCACCATGCTCTGGGGCACTGCTATGGTCTCTACCTACGAGTACCTCAGTACGTGGCTTCTTTCCTTCTTTACTCCTTTACCTGATGTATACACCTCCTCACAAGCCAACCTGTGCCAGCACCATGCCCTGGGGCACTGCCATGGTCTCCACCTACGAATACCTGAGTATGTATCCCCCTTCGCCACTCCCTCGACCCAATTCTTTTGTCCCTCCTCCCCAAACCCTCCACCCTGCACCCTCCCCGTGATTGAAGAAGTGTTTTGAGACGTCTCAAAACACTCCCCATTCGTGACACATTCTTGCATGCCGTGAACGCACCCGTGGATGTCTGATTGACCGTCCCCCATGGTCCCCACGTGCTCTCACTCCCATATGTGTGTGCGCATGCCTCTGCCTCTCACTCACACCTCCATATCCTGCATTCTCACACTCTCCCTCCTCCCACCATCGTTGCATCTGCATCTGCCCTCCCCTGCCATGCATCAACAGAGCGCCTATGTGCCAAAGACAGCTTTGTTGAGATTCAGGTACAAGACTGGGCAGGGTGATGTGACGATGCAAAATGTATCTCTTCCCTCCTCCCACCACCGTTGCTTCTGCCTCTGCCCTCCCCTACCATGCATCAACAGAACGCCTATGTGCGAAGGACAGCACTGATGAGCTTTGATGGGCTACCGACGAGTCAAACAGAAGATTGAGGCGCATCAACAGAGCGCCTATGTGCCAAGGACAGCACTACTGAGATTTCAGTAGTGGCTTTCCAAAATTGACCCGCATGGTTGACAAGATAGCAAGAGCAAGTGGCAACCTTGCTTCATGCTTGTGTTGCTACACTGTCCTATCGTGTGAACTGCCAAGGGGTGCAGTGCTACGTGCAGTGGTGCAGTAGAGGGGGGGGGTGTGGTGCGGTGGTGCGGGTTTCGCTTAATTTAATAAACTACTAGGCGAAAAGTATTCTCCACAAGCAGTGTGGCAGAGCAGTAAAATGCTTCAACGTAAAAGCACGCCAAATCTGTCGTATACCATAAAACAACTTTGTGACAAGTTCATACTAGTGTAAGCTTTGTGGCAAGCCCGCACTAGCATGTGAGTGGTGGTAGAGCGAACAATACTGCAGTAATACAGTGGTAGTACAGGATTAGTATCATCACACTATTGCACAAGTGGCAGTAGACTAAGGGTACATTCCTGCGGGGACACTTGTGTCTCAATCACTTTGTGACATCTAAAAACAGCATATACCGTGCCCTGTCACAAAAGCGGATCGCGCTTATGCGAGTCCCACTGTATTTTACATTGGTTGGCGTGAATTGCATTTGTGACGCGGACGAGTTACACGAGGCCCCGTCACATCCCGAAAATCGCACGCGTGTCGAAATCTCACACTGTACAGCATGCACCTGGACGCCCGAACTGGGCACGTTTCCGCGCGGGGATGGAAACCGCTCTGCCCGGGCTGACATATGACTGGTCCTTCAGCACACACGGTCACATCCCTGCCCGAATGTTTGCCCATCGTTCCAACCACACTGACAGCACTCTCCCGCTCCAATCTGTTCTTCTTCTCCCAACCCGAGCTTCCTCTTTCTTGTTGCGAAGTCTAGCCACGGTCTTCTTTGGCACGCTGTAGCCATGGCCCGTAAGCGCAAGAGCGTAGCTAGTTCTGTTGACTTGTGCCCGCGGGATCTCGACGAGATCCCGTACATCGCTTGGATGAACAAACAAATCGCGGCCGGCCGCAAGCCCGCCGGCCCTTTGCCCGAAGGAGCGCCTGGTGCGGGGGACACCTCGTTCGAAGCCCCGCGCGATGTCCCTACCCGCGGACGCCGTCATGCCGACCGGGTTGCCTCATCCCGCGTCAACGACGATGCTGCCTTCGATGACGATGATGACGCCGCGGACTCTGATTACAACGAGTGCGACGAGGCCTGCGAAGACGACGCGGACTCTGGCGAGGAGCAGGACAAGGGCATGTCCCGTTCCGAGGATGAAGTTGACGCCGACGAGGACGCCGATGACGACGAGGACGCTCCCGAAGAGGCCCAGCCTGCGTCCCCGGCTCCTCGTCGCGGCCGTGCGTCTGCCGCTGCGGGAACCAAGACTGCTGCTAAGGGCGGGGAACCTCCGCGTGCCGCTGCCAAGACCCGTAACTTGCATCCTGTTAAGCGGAGCGTGTGGTCCCCCCGCGAGAACACAATCTTCGTGGCTGCGCGTTGGTTCATGAAGGACAAGCTCGGGCCCCTCCTCGGGAAGCAGGGCTCTCAGTACTGGGCCCGCCTCGCGCGTCACCTCGAGAAGGAGAATCCCGGTTGGGTGCGCGGTGTAAACGCGCTTCAGAAGCAGTGGCGCAATCTTGTGAACATGTACAAGCAGATCAAGAAGGGGGAAAAGGCGAGCGGCAAGGGTGCCGTGTGCAAGCCCCACTGGTACCCGTACATGGCGCTTTTCCAGAACAACAAGGCGGTGGGCAACCCTCACGCCGTCGACGGTGGCGGTGCGGCACACGTCAACGTGCCGTGCGGGTACGCGGTCCCGTCCACTTCGGCGCCCTGCACCTCTACGCCGACATTCACTGGTATGTATGTGTTGCATCAACGGTGGCACTCGCGGGTTTGTTGAATGACACATTTTGTGACAACATTTTACGCACACATTACATCATTAAAATGTTTAGGGTACATAACACCTCGTCTACTGTTCGTGTGCATCCACCGTGTGTGCAGCTCCGCCGCCACAGGGAACTCCTACATCGAAGCGCCCACGTGTGGCAGAGACGGCGACGATGGCCGCTGCAAAGCTGGTGTGCGAGACGATCAAAGGCTGCCACTCAGACGCCATGAGCAGGCTCGAAGGCCTCGTCCGCGCGTGGATGGATCAGGACGCGCGTATTGCTCGGGAACGCGTGCAGCAGCCCGCACCCTCCCCGCATGTCCGCGACGACATCCCTGCCCACGCGGACAACATGACCGACTCGCACGCCGCCGAAGGCGGCGACGACGGCTGGCTTCGTCGCGGGCAGGCGGGCGAAGACCCCTCTAACCCAGATGCGGGTGAGGAGGTGTGGGTCCGCGGCGCCGCCGAGTGAGGTAAGACGATTCCAGAGCCTCGCCCAGCCGCTTGCGCCTTTCACGAAGATTCTCTTGCGTGCATGGGTCACATGGCTCCCACATGAACTCTGCTACCGCGCCACGAGTCCACCATGGGTCCCGGTTTCGGGGCAAGTTTGCCCACGATGCATTGACGCGCCTTACTGCGCCCATCATTTCGCACATGTTGTGCAGGATGACGCCACAAGACGCCCCTGCAAGAATGCGCCAGAGCTTGCAGTCATTGCGGCCCGCGAATAGACGCCACCGGCCTTTGAAGGCGCCGATGCAGCGCTCTACTGCCATGCGCGTTGCGCTTTGGCAATAGTTAAAGCACTGCTCCCAGTCCTCCATTAGGCCTTCACGGGGAGCATGTAGGGGGGTCAGGCAGAAGTCTCTGAGTGGGTAGGCAGCATCTCCCACTATTTGGTATGGCGCTATGTCGCCGTTGTACAACCTTTCGTGTAACGCGCTGTTCATGAACACTCTCTGATCGTGCGCACTGCCCGGGTATCCGATCAAATAGTCCCATATGATGCCTCGCGCGTCGCATGTGATCTGCAACTGGACGGCGTAACAGGACTTCCGCGTGTAGTACTCTTGCCTGTGCCCCTCCATCCCCTTCATGGGTATGTGTGTGCCGTCTATAGCCCCCACTACCGCAGGTACCCCCTTGATGGCGCGGAACTCTGCGGCCATCTCGTCGAGGTCGTCGCGGGTCGGGAAGTGGACCCACTGCTGCTTGAAGACGGACGGGAAATGCATGAGGAGCGCGTCAACAAGCATGTGGCACAGGGTCTTGGACAGCCCGAACACGGAGGACAAGTCTACGAAAGACATGCCACTTGCGAGGTATTTGATAGGTACAAGGCATGCCACTTCATGACTGATTAGGTACCTGTCCACGTACGGTTGCATGTAGTGCGTCATCCCGGCGACAATGTATTTGAGAATGCCACGGTTTATGCGAAACATATCTCTGAACTGATCCTCCCCCATGCCGTCCAGGTCCTCTAGCAGCAACTGGTATCTCCGCCGGCGTAGCCCAGCCCTTCGTTTCCACTCTGCGGTATGGTTGGAGGCGCGAGAGCTGGATGACGAGGACACCTCGTCATTGAAGACGTTCGCCTCCAGCAAGCCACCGACCGACTTGGCGATGGCGTCCATGAATATGCTGTAGTAGAACGTAACCCATGCGACAAGTAGGCGCATGAGGAATGGCACCTCGCGGGGCGATGCCATGGTTGCTAGACAGTGGTGCAGTTTAGCTCTGTGATGCTTGCGTTTTTGTACTTGGAGCCGTGGTTGTATACATGCTGTTGTGTGTGGGGTGGCCCAAATTGCAACTTTCATTTCTGTGGCAAGCCCACCGCGATACTCGAGGTGGTGCGATATGTTTAGCCCCCCTGCCCGGCGGGAAAACTGGGTGGGCACAATCCTATTGGTCGCAACCAATAGTACGCACCCACCTGGCTGTGCCCATCTGTCGCGCAGGGTCGCGATACATTGGTTGTTTGTGACACAACATTTGGCAAATTTACAGGCGCGACTCGGGAAAACGGGGATTGAGACACAAGTGTCCCCACAGGAATGTACCCTAACTCACTCGCTCCATGCCAATCACTCACATCCTTGCTACCAACTCATTTCCCCCCTGTTAAATTAATTCCTGCCTGCCAAATCTCTACATTCTTGCTAACCCACACCCTCGCTAATCCACATCCTCCCTACTAACTCTCTACATCTTTGACACTCACTCCCTCCCTGCCAACTCACTTCCTCCTTGCCATCTCCCTCCCTCCCTGCTAACTTAATCTTTCTACTCCCTCCCACCCTGCCTATTCTGCTGCACAATCTGGTGTGCCTTTTGTAGACTCGCTTTCAGGTTATCCCCTCGCCTCTTCGATGTCTTCGTGGAACTGCAGCTGAAATGGTCCACGCAACGATTAAAACGAATGGGACAGAGAGATAAGTGGTTAAGAACTGAATTTGGATAGCAGCGGAGAGGAGGGAAACAGAGGAGAAAGAGAGGCAATTCCAGGAAAGGGAGAGACAAATCGAGAAGGAGAGGCAGGCAAGAAAGAGGATAGCAGGGGGGAGAGAGAGAGAAACAGAGGAAAAAGACAGGCAATTTCTCCTCTGTTTTCCTCTCCCTCTCCTCTACTATCCTCTCTCACACCTACCTCTTCCTCTCTTCGATCTGTCTCTCCCTCTCATGTATTAGTCTATCCTTCTCCTCTGTTTTCCTCTCCCTCTCCTCTACTCGGCTCTCCTCCCCTTTCAAAGCCAACCCCTCCTCTACTTGTAACTCCTCTTCCTACACAAGCCAACAAGGCATGAACAATGAACAAATATCATAATGAGGCATACATCCGCCATACAAAAGAAAAAAAGGCAATTCAAGGCAAACGTGAGTCCTTACATAACTTTTATACCGGTACTTACTGTGGTGTTAGCACCTGATGTGTACTCTACCTCTCGTTTTTGTCCGACGGCCATCGATACATGGCTGTCAATGACTCGGATTTGCTCATTCTTTGACATCATGCGACGCGCTCTCTGGGGTGCCTCCGGGGGTGGAGCTGCAATTGAAATTGTCCACGCAACAATTAAAACGAACGGGACAGAGAGATAAGTGGTTAACAACTGAATTTCAGTCGCACTCTTTTTTACCTTAAAGCTTTTGTAATTTAAGTACTCGGATTCATGATCGGGGATTGTCTCAAAAAACAGGAAAGAGACGCGATGGTGATCGAGGCTGCAGGGATGGCGATCGGGTCGGAACGATGGCGGCCATTCGCCTTGGGAGAGAACGATGGCCGAACTAGCTGCTCCTTCGCCTTCGAGGAGCTTCCGAGCATGCGGGGCAGAATCTAGGAACAGATGAGGAGATGCTCCCATACTTTATCCGTATTACACTGCGAATTGATCCGTCTACACTAGAAATCCGTCTGAAATCTCCTCCTTCACGATGGAATGACATCAGTCCTATTAGGAAGCCCATCGCCATTACATCCTCGTCATCAGGTCCCCATTGAAACCTGACGACACGTAGCCAGGTGTGAATGCAGAGCATAAGGGGAAGAGCTGTGGCGTTAGAAGTTTTGTGTGAATTGTGCACGCTAGTACCGTATGACCATGTCACGAGCCGCCTCGGGACAGACGAAGCCAGCTGACAATGACGCGGCAGTAATTCCAGTGACGAGCCGCCTCGCGACAAACGAAGCCAGCTCAGCTGGGAGGCGATTGAGATTCCGGTGACGAGCCGCCCCTGGACCGATGAAGCTAGCTGAAAGTGAAGCGGCAGCGGTTCAGTGAGGAAGGACGGTTGGGTTGGGACGCGCGTGCCGCAGCAACACCAGTCAGTTGGGCAACTGTACACCCTCTTATACTCACCGGCGATTATGTCATCCAAGGTTTACGTTCACATTTGTTTTGGGATTTGGGTGTATATCTCACACCATACCAAATCTTCTGATCAATGCGGAAGCCAAAGGAATATGGTGGCAAAATGCTCCAGTTACAAGTGCTCACGCTATGGACTAGGCCGGTTGCAGTAGGAATGGTTACGGAAGGCCGGCCACCGTTACAACAAAAAAAAAACCACCACTTTTTTGGAGCAAGGTGCGGCATTAAGCACGGAATTGTGACGCCCGGCAAAACTTACTACCGTACAATAACCGCCAACCCAAACACGGTCCGCCAAATTATTGAATAGGTTGTGTGCACCGTTTCTAGAATGTGCTTGCAATTCAGAAGCAGACAACTCGTTCACTGCTTGCCCTGCCTTCCTGCACCCACACCCTCGTCCTCCCAACACCTGCCTGCATTCACCACCTGCAACAAGCACCAACAACACCCCATGTGGCACAGTTGTCAACCGCTCTGCATCACCTTCAGCTCCTCTTTAGACCTCCTTAAAATACCCTACACATTCCCTTGGCATCCCCATGGCACGCCAGAACACACCCATCCTAGTAAATACTCCTAAGCGCCGTTCCCAGTCCTACGACCCAGCCAGCCCCCATCCACGTACTGCAGGAGCAGCGAAGTTGGCGTCCCCCAGCCCTGCGTGCGGCATCAGTGCTAGAGCCCAGCCCATCAGGCCGCCAGCTGTCACCCACTGCCCTCTCCTCACCACCTCCGTGTGCCCTGCATGCAGCACCAATGCTAGTGCCCAGACCTGCGTGCGGCACCAATGCTAGAGCCCAGACCTGCGTGCGGCACCAATGCTAGTGCCCAGCCTGTCTGCGCGCCAGCTGTCTCCCACTGCCCTCTCCTCAGCATCTCCGCCTGCCCTGCGTGAGGCATCAGTGCTACGACCCAGCCCGTCTGCCCGCCAGCTGTCTCCCTCTCACTACCTTCCTCAACCCCCCTCTCCTCCACCTCGCCTTCACGTCCCACCTCCACCTGCCTCGGATACTCATACACTCCGCGCCCGCTCTTGCGGCCCAGCCACTCGGCATCATCATACTGCACGAGCAGAGGGCATAATAGTTGGTGGGGTGATTTTTTTGATCGGTATATAGCAGGGGCGGTACTTGGCGTCTCCCAGCCCGCCGATGCACACCAACTAGTGCAGAAACAATGCTAGTGCCCAGCCCGTCTACCCGGCAGCTGCCTCCCTCTCACCACCTTCTCCCCACCCTCCCCCTCCCCTTCCCTCCCCCCTTCCTCCTGCCTCGGATACTCATACACGCCGCGCCCGCTCTTGCGGCCCAGCCACCCGGCGTCAGCATACTGCACGAGCAGAGGGCACGGGCGGTACTTGGCGTCTCCTAATCCCGCATGTAGCACTCGCATGATGGCGACGCAGGTGTCCAGCCCTATCAGGTCCGCTAGATGTAGCGGTCCCATGGGCTGCGGCATGGGGGGCCGAGGGGGTTGGAGAGGAGGGTATCAAGCAAGGGAGGTCAGAGGGGGAATGAGAGCAGTGCTGAGAGCAGGGGCGGTACTTGGCATCTCTTAGTCCCGCGTGCAGCACTCGCATCATGGCAACGCATGTGTCCAGCCCTATCAGGTCCGCCAGGTGCAGCCGTCCCATGGGCTGGGGGAAAAGGGGCAGAGAGGGGAAAAGACGCATGTGAGGTGCGGCACTGAGCACTCGCAGGCCACACAGGTGTCCTGCGAAGGATGGGGGGCCTATCATGTCGGCTAGATGCAGTGGTCACATGGGCTGAAACATAAGGGGAGGGCAGGTGGTGAAGAGAGTGGTGAGAGAAGAGCAGCGGGTTGGGGCGAGGTGCAGCACTCAGCACTGAGCACTCGCATGAGGGCAACGCATGTGTCCAGCCCTATCAGGTCCGCCAGGTACAGTGGCCCCATGGCTGGGGGTAGAGGGCAGAGAGAGAGTGTGTTGAGGGAGAAGAGCAGGGAATTGAGAGAAGAAGTGGCCAGGGATGCTACGTGGCGTGGTATTCCCTTATCATCCCATGCGAGGGAAAGCACCAAAAGACCCACCTGGTTGGTGCCCAGCTTCATGCCTCTGTCAATGTCCTGTGCGCCGTGCCAAGCCAACACCCTCTAGCAGCGCATACAAGGCCTCGTTTCTTTGATTATGGGCATGAGGAGAGAGAAGCACATGCGATTACACCCACCTGATTGGTACCCAGCTTCATGCCTCTGTCAATGTCCTGTGCAGTGCCCACCCCCTCTAGAAGGGCATAGAAGGCCTCGTTGATCATGGGCATGAGCAGCCGATTCACTATGAACCCCGGGTAGTCCCGCGCCTCACACACCACCTTCCCAAACCTGGACGGCAGGGTCGGTTGACGGGAAGGAAGAGCATACAGGGAGGTGGATGGGATTGGGGGGTGGTGACGCAAGCGGTGAGCCACAGAAGGAAAGAAAGCCACGCATGCGGTGCACCCAATTCCTATCCCACCCACCTGTGCACAAGGCCCTTGGTGAGGTGCAGCGTGTGGTCTGACGTGGCAAGCCCTGGCACCACCTCCACATCCCCACCCTGCCCACCTGTGCGACCATACCCCCCATCCCCCCCACCCGTTCGCCCATGTTCCCCACCTGTGCGCAAGGCCCTTGGTGAGGTGCAGCGTGTGGTCTGACGTGGCAAGCCCTGGCACCACCTCCACCAGTGACATGATGACAGGTGGGTTCATGAAATGCATGCCGATCACCTAGATTGGGGGAGCAGAAGGCATGGGAGGGGTAGGAAGGGGAGGACACGAGGCAGGAGCCACGGAGGTGAGTGTAGCATGGTGGCATGGTGGCATGGTGGCATGTGGCGAGCCAGCCCTGGCACCACCTCCACCAGTGACATGATGACAGGCGGGTTCATAAAATGCATGCCAATCACCTGGGAGGGGGGTAATGGGGAAGGGCAACAAGGGCAGTTTGACAGGCATTAAAGTGGCATCAGTGTGTGGCGTGCAGCGAGGGGAACGGGGACAGTGTTGTGGGCATGAAAATGGCATCAGAGTGTGACCAGGTTACTCAAGAGCCTTGAGAGCACGGTGTGCTGTTAGACATGATCCAGCGAGCAGCAGTGAGCTGGCTAAACTTTCTCCTTCACTGCTGCTCGCTGAATCATGTCTAACAGTCTGCTAACTGGCATCGGAGTGTGACCAGGCTACTCAAGAGCCTTGAGAACGCGGTGTGCTGACCTGCTGACGTCTTGCAGGTGGCTGGTGGCAGCAGCGAAGCTCGTGACAGTGAGGGAGGGGGTATTGCTGGGAGCAGGTTGTGCGGCCTCACATCCCTCCCTCTGCACGCACCTGATCGTGTCGGCTAGTAGCAGCAGCAAGGCGGGTGATGGAGATGGAGGACGTGTTGCTGGCCAGCACAGCGTGGTGTGGGGCGGCTGATGGACTGCTCCCAGCATGCAGCAGGGTGATACCTTGCAGCCAGCTCATCACATGCGCCCTAACTCACCTGATCGGGACGACTGGTGGCGGCAGCCAGGCGGGTGATGGAGATGGACGACGTGTTGCTCGCCAGCACAGCGTGGTGCGGGGCGATGCCGTCCAGCCGCCCAATCACATTGCGTTTCACCGCTTCACTCTCTGCTACCGCTTCCACGATGAAGTCTGCCTGCTCCAAGGGGGGTAGTTCTGGAGTGGTGCGAATGTGAGTTAGTGTTGCTGCCGCTGCTGCCTGGGATAAGGGGAAAGAGGGGTGCGGGGGGGAGGGGCGTGGGGACTGGGGACTGGGGTGTGGGCTGCATGCACTGGGATGGGCTTCACTGCTTCGCTCTCCGCCACGGCCACCACTATGAAGTCAGCCTGCTCCAAAGGGGCCAGCTCTGGGGTGGTGCGGATCCTGGTTAGCGTTGCCGTTGCTGCTGCCTGGGAGACAGAAGAAAGCAGGGGCGTCGCAAACAGGGTTCGCGTTTGAGAATTCTAGAAAGTAAAATGCGCTTCACTGTTTCGCTCTCCGCCACGGCCTCCACAACGAAGTCTGCCTGCTCCAAGGGCGTCAGTTCTGGGGTGGTGATCCGGGTTGGTGTTGCTGCTGCTGCTGCTGCCTGCCACAGGGGAAAGCAAAGAGTGGGAGGCGGAGGGAGGAAGGGGGGGGGTTAATTCGTTTCACCGCCTCGCTCCCTGTCTCAAGCTTCGCCACGGCCTCCACGATGAAGTCTGTCTGCTCCTGAGGGGTCAACTCCAGGGTGGTGCGAATGTGGCCCAGAAAATGTTTGATGCCGCCCATGTCCCCATGAAACCATGTCCCCATGAAACCATGTCCCCATGAAACCATGTCCCCATGAAACCATGTCCCCATGAAACCATGTCCCCATGAAACCATGTCCCCATGAAACCATGTCCCCATGAAACCATGTCCCCATGAAACCATGTCCCCATGAAACCATGTCCCCATGAAACCATGTCCCCATGAAACCATGTCCCCATGAAACCATGTCCCCATGAAACCATGTCCCCATGAAACCATGTCCCCATGAAACCATGTCCCCATGAAACCATGTCCCCATGAAACCATGTCCCCATGAAACCATGTCCCCATGAAACCATGTCCCCATGAAACCATGTCCCCATGAAACCATGTCCCCATGAAACCATGTCCCCATGAAACCATGTCCCCATGAAACCATGTCCCCATGAAACCATGTCCCCATGAAACCATGTCCCCATGAAACCATGTCCCCATGAAACCATGTCCCCATGAAACCATGTCCCCATGAAACCATGTCCCCATGAAACCATGTCCCCATGAAACCATGTCCCATGAAACCATGTCCCCATGAAACCATGTCCCCATGAAACCATGTCCCCATGAAACCATGTCCCCATGAAACCATGTCCCCATGAAACCATGTCCCCATGAAACCATGTCCCCATGAAACCATGTCCCCATGAAACCATGTCCCCATGAAACCATGTCCCCATGAAACCATGTCCCCATGAAACCATGTCCCCATGAAACCATGTCCCCATGAAACCATGTCCCCATGAAACCATGTCCCCATGAAACCATGTCCCCATGAAACCATGTCCCCATGAAACCATGTCCCCATGAAACCATGTCCCCATGAAACCATGTCCCCATGAAACCATGTCCCCATGAAACCATGTCCCCATGAAACCATGTCCCCATGAAACCATGTCCCCATGAAACCATGTCCCCATGAAACCATGTCCCCATGAAACCATGTCCCCATGAAACCATGTCCCCATGAAACCATGTCCCCATGAAACCATGTCCCCATGAAACCATGTCCCCATGAAACCATGTCCCCATGAAACCATGTCCCCATGAAACCATGTCCCCATGAAACCATGTCCCCATGAAACCATGTCCCCATGAAACCATGTCCCCATGAAACCATGTCCCCATGAAACCATGTCCCCATGAAACCATGTCCCCATGAAACCATGTCCCCATGAAACCATGTCCCCATGAAACCATGTCCCCATGAAACCATGTCCCCATGAAACCATGTCCCCATGAAACCATGTCCCCATGAAACCATGTCCCCATGAAACCATGTCCCCATGAAACCATGTCCCCATGAAACCATGTCCCCATGAAACCATGTCCCCATGAAACCATGTCCCCATGAAACCATGTCCCCATGAAACCATGTCCCCATGAAACCATGTCCCCATGAAACCATGTCCCCATGAAACCATGTCCCCATGAAACCATGTCCCCATGAAACCATGTCCCCATGAAACCATGTCCCCATGAAACCATGTCCCCATGAAACCATGTCCCCATGAAACCATGTCCCCATGAAACCATGTCCCCATGAAACCATGTCCCCATGAAACCATGTCCCCATGAAACCATGTCCCCATGAAACCATGTCCCCATGAAACCATGTCCCCATGAAACCATGTCCCCATGAAACCATGTCCCCATGAAACCATGTCCCCATGAAACCATGTCCCCATGAAACCATGTCCCCATGAAACCATGTCCCCATGAAACCATGTCCCCATGAAACCATGTCCCCATGAAACCATGTCCCCATGAAACCATGTCCCCATGAAACCATGTCCCCATGAAACCATGTCCCCATGAAACCATGTCCCCATGAAACCATGTCCCCATGAAACCATGTCCCCATGAAACCATGTCCCCATGAAACCATGTCCCCATGAAACCATGTCCCCATGAAACCATGTCCCCATGAAACCATGTCCCCATGAAACCATGTCCCCATGAAACCATGTCCCCATGAAACCATGTCCCCATGAAACCATGTCCCCATGAAACCATGTCCCCATGAAACCATGTCCCCATGAAACCATGTCCCCATGAAACCATGTCCCCATGAAACCATGTCCCCATGAAACCATGTCCCCATGAAACCATGTCCCCATGAAACCATGTCCCCATGAAACCATGTCCCCATGAAACCATGTCCCCATGAAACCATGTCCCCATGAAACCATGTCCCCATGAAACCATGTCCCCATGAAACCATGTCCCCATGAAACCATGTCCCCATGAAACCATGTCCCCATGAAACCATGTCCCCATGAAACCATGTCCCCATGAAACCATGTCCCCATGAAACCATGTCCCCATGAAACCATGTCCCCATGAAACCATGTCCCCATGAAACCATGTCCCCATGAAACCATGTCCCCATGAAACCATGTCCCCATGAAACCATGTCCCCATGAAACCATGTCCCCATGAAACCATGTCCCCATGAAACCATGTCCCCATGAAACCATGTCCCCATGAAACCATGTCCCCATGAAACCATGTCCCCATGAAACCATGTCCCCATGAAACCATGTCCCCATGAAACCATGTCCCCATGAAACCATGTCCCCATGAAACCATGTCCCCATGAAACCATGTCCCCATGAAACCATGTCCCCATGAAACCATGTCCCCATGAAACCATGTCCCCATGAAACCATGTCCCCATGAAACCATGTCCCCATGAAACCATGTCCCCATGAAACCATGTCCCCATGAAACCATGTCCCCATGAAACCATGTCCCCATGAAACCATGTCCCCATGAAACCATGTCCCCATGAAACCATGTCCCCATGAAACCATGTCCCCATGAAACCATGTCCCCATGAAACCATGTCCCCATGAAACCATGTCCCCATGAAACCATGTCCCCATGAAACCATGTCCCCATGAAACCATGTCCCCATGAAACCATGTCCCCATGAAACCATGTCCCCATGAAACCATGTCCCCATGAAACCATGTCCCCATGAAACCATGTCCCCATGAAACCATGTCCCCATGAAACCATGTCCCCATGAAACCATGTCCCCATGAAACCATGTCCCCATGAAACCATGTCCCCATGAAACCATGTCCCCATGAAACCATGTCCCCATGGAACCATGTCCCCATGAAACCATGTCCCCATGAAACCATGTCCCCATGAAACCATGTCCCCATGAAACCATGTCCCCATGAAACCATGTCCCCATGAAACCATGTCCCCATGAAACCATGTCCCCATGAAACCATGTCCCCATGAAACCATGTCCCCATGAAACCATGTCCCCATGAAACCATGTCCCCATGAAACCATGTCCCCATGAAACCATGTCCCCATGAAACCATGTCCCCATGAAACCATGTCCCCATGAAACCATGTCCCCATGAAACCATGTCCCCATGAAACCATGTCCCACCCCTTCCCCCACCCCTTCCCCCACCCCTTCCCCCATCCCTTCCCCCACCCCTTCCCCCACCCCTTCCCCCACCCCTTTCCCCCCCACCTCATCCAGCCGTCCCTTTCTGACGAGCCACCCCAGCGAGTGCCTGATGCCGCCCATGCAGTGATCCAGCCTGTGGTGCTGGCGGAAGTGAATCCTGCTTTCCCCCTCCCCACATCCCCCCCACACCTCTTCCTTCCCCCCCACCTCGTCCAGTCGCCCCTTGCTGACAAGGCGCCCCAGGGAGTGCTTGATGCCGGCATACATGCAGCAGTGTCCCTATGTCCACATATCCCCCTGACTTCCCCCTCCCATTCCCCTCCCCGCAACCCACCCACCTCATCAAGTTGCCCCTTGCTGACAAGGCGCCCCAGGGAGTGCTTGATGCCGCCCATGCATGCAGCCATGCCCCCATGTCTCCCAGCCTTTCCCCTCCCATCCCCCTTCCCTCCCCACCCACCTCATCCAGGCGCCCTTTGCTGACAAGGCGCCCCACGGAGTGCTTGATGCCGGCCATGCAGTGATCCAGTGCTGCTAGACTCGTGTCCGCCACCACCACTCGCATCCCCGCCATGGCTGCCATTGGGGGAGGGGGAAGGGGGAAAAGGGGGGGGGGGAGAGGCGGAAAGGGAGGGGGAGGGGGAGGGGGGAGGGGAGTGCTTGATGCCGGCCGTGCAGTGATCCAGAGCTGCTAGACTCGTGTCCGCCACCACCACTCGCATCCCCGCCATGGCTGCCGTGGGGGGACGGGGGAGCGGGAGCGAGAGGGGAATGGATGGAGGGGATGCGGATTGAGCAGGATTCATTGCAAGAGGCCTGGGGGCAGCGCCGTCACACTCACGTCCTCCGCCACCACGCACATCCCCGCACCACTCTCACTCCCGCTCCCCCCCTCCCCTTTCGCCCCAAATCCCCGCCCCACGCGCACCTCCCAGCTGCGCGATTCCGCTCCCCATCTGCCCCGCGCCCACCACCCCCAGCACCTGCAGCTCCGCCGCCGCCTTCCGCCCCGCCAGTTCCCCCGGTGACACGTCAGCCTCCGCCACGTCACCAGCAGAGGAGTAGCTACGGGAATGACTCCCGCAGTTTGCGCTGCTGGCGCTAGGTGTGCTTGCGACTGAAGTGATTAACGCGGATGTGCCTAAAGCGAAGGGTGCGTGGGGCGTCCATAGACCGTGTCTCGATATAAGCGCGCGCGTGAGAGAGCAGGATCGACGCGCTTGGAGCGAGATGCATGACGAGGCCATGGACTCTGTGCGCGGAGGGTCGGCGCGCGTGGAGCGCAAGGCGTGAGTATGCAGCGGCGCCGGTGGTGGTGGTGGTGTGTGGGGAGCCTGGGGCGGCGTGGGGCGGCGCGCGAAGGGGGAGGCGGGGGGAGAGGCGTGGACGATGTTAGAGGCGCGTGAGGGGGGAGCGAGGCGCGAGCGACGGCTATGCAGCGATGCTGTGTGCCGTTGAGTGCGCGTGTGGTTGGGTGTGGGGGAAGGGTATGGGCGCGCACGACGACAGTCGGACAGCAGGGTCAACAGAAAAAACACTCGGAGAGTGACTCGACCAGATAGATGTATGTTCTAGGCTCTTGCCTCTCTCACAGGCCAGTGGGGTCTGGGGAATTTTGTTTTGACAGGGAGAGCGTGGTGACGTGGTAATGTTCCGAGGTGACGACATGTACCCGTCATCGTAAGATAGGAATTCCGTGGCAGCAAAATTAAGACTCGATACGATAAAAGTAACGATAACAAAGTACACTTGTGTCAACACTACTCAGATTCTTACTCTCCCAACTCTTGATTTCTGAATTTTGAAGCATTTGAGCCACTAACCTCTTGGTGTTGTAGGCCCATATTATTGCAATTCAAAAATAAATCATGAATGTCATCCATCAAGCCGATGGGATAAACATCTCTTCACAGCATAGCTTAAGCATCCCCACCCTGGCTCCCCCCATCCCACAAAATGTGGGGCAATAATGCTATTTGTGCCCACTGCAGCCACAAGCAGCCACAAGTATATGAGCCCCAGGCCAGCACAGAAAACAGTGCCTTCCACAAGGCTGCCCGTGCCTGCACTTACTTGGCCTCGGTCGAAGAGTATGCCAAGAATGGATTAGTCATCCCTCCTCACTTGGCCTCAGACCAGTCGTAAATCTTCTTAGTGTAGTACTTTTTGAACGCCCTCTCCTTTCTGAGCTGCGGCAGAGTCATTTTGGACAGCCACGGGGCGTGCTTGGACGAGCGGAGGCGGAGACAGGGCGGTTCAGAGAGGTCCTGAGGCATTTGGCAGGAGCGGGAGAAGTCAAACTCGCGGTACTGCGCTTGAATTGGGCCGTTGCTGTAGTTCGCCTTGAGCCAACTCCATGACGAGGAGTCCCATATCGAAGCCTGCAAAAGCGGGTACAGATGTTGGGGAAAAGATTAGTCCAAGTGTGTGAGGGTGATGGGAAATGACGGGTTGAATGGGATGGGAATGGCGGAAAAGAAAAACCACTGTGTCTCACATGAAACCCACTGGGCTGCAGGACGTACCTTGAATTCCATGGGCAGCGTTGGGAACGGATGGCCCGTTTCATTCACGGCGATGCGTATTGGGTAATCATCCACCATCCACATGATATACATCGGAGAGTACACTATCGAGTACGTGTGGAAATCCGCGGACGGGTCGAACGGGAAGCGGAACTGCTCCAGCTTCACCTGCCCGCCCGTGATGAGATTAGTGTGAATGGTGATATCCATGGGGTTCTCCCCGCCAATGAACTCAAAGTCGATCTCGTCGTGGATGTCCGTGTAGCCTTGTGGGCCCGGTGAGATGAGGTAGAAGCACGGGATGATGCCGCCCGAGTAGTTGCTCGGCAGCTTCATGCGCAGGCTGTAGACTCCATACTTGTAGTAGTCCTTGGAGTAGAACACTGGTGGGGGGTGAGGAGGTGGGGTGGGGGAAAACGGGTGAGAGGCTGAGGGGGTGAGGAGCTGAAGTTGTGCGCAGGCTGTACACGCCGTATTTGTGATAGTCCTTGGAGTAGAGGACTGGTGGGAGAGTTGGGGTTGAGGGGGTGTGGGGTTGTGGGTGGGGGATGAGAGGGGTTGGTTTGTGAGCTTCATGCGCAGGCTGTACACGCCGTACTTGTATTAGTCTTTGAAGTACAACACTGGTGGGGGTGGGGGGATGGGGGGTGGGGGGATGTGAAGGGGTGAGAGGCTGAGAGGGTGACGGGCTGACGGGGTGAGCAGGCTGTGACAGTCTTTGGAGTAGAACACTGGTGGGGGGTGGGGGGTTGACGAGGTTGGGGGGTGGGGGAAATGTTGAAATGGCGGAGTGGGATTTTGAGACGACTGAAAGCTGTCAGGGGTGTCGTGCGCATGCGCAGTTGGGGAGTGGGGTGGGGGTTGCATAAGACGATGCGCTCAGAGTGCGGGCAAGGGGAGTGGGGTTGGGGTTGCAGAAGACGATGCGCTCAGAGTGCGGGCAAGGGGAGTGGGGTGGGGGTTGCATAAGACGATGCGCTCAGAGTGCGGGCAAGGGGAGTGGGGTTGGGGTTGCATACGACGATGCGCTCAGAGTGCGGGCAAGGGGAGTGGGGTTGGGGTTGCATAAGACGATGCGCTCAGAGTGCGGGCAAGGGGAGTGGGGTTGGGGTTGCATAAGACGATGCGCTCAGAGTGCGGGCAAGGGGAGTGGGGTTGGGGTTGCATAAGACGATGCGCTCAGAGTGCGGGCAAGGGGAGTGGGGTGGGGGTTGCATAAGACGATGCGCTCAGATTGCGGGCAAGGGGAGTGGGGTGGGGGTTGCATAAGACGATGCGCTCAGAGTGCGGGCACGGGGAGTGGGGTGAGCTGGACCTCACCCTTTAATGCACTACACACCCCATTGCACCACGCTGCATCTACCTCCGACGGACTAGTTAGTGGTGGCGATGGAGACGGTGCAGTTGCTGTCCTTGCGGCAGTTGCTATCCTTGCACCAGTCGGGGAACTTGAAGTACTTGCCGAACGACTTATCCACTCCCGGCACTCTCAAAAGTGATACAAGCACCTCACACCGCATTGCACCGCATTGAACCTACCTCCGACGGACTGGTTTGTTGCGGAGATGGTGACGGTGCCGTTGCTGTCCTTGCGGCAGTTGCTCTCCTTGCACCAGTCGGGGAACTTGAAGTACTTGTCGAACGACTTATCCACTCCCGGCACCTTCTTGCGCGGCGGGATCGTCCACACGAATGGCTTGTCCGTTGAATTGCCACTTCCGCCCCCGGTTCCAGTTCCGCCTCCGCTCCCGGTTCCGCCCCCGCTCCCGGTTCCGCCCCCGCTCCCGGTTCCGCTGGTGGAATTTCCCCCGCTGCTCCCGCTTCCCGCGCCGCTGGTCGAGTTACCACCGCCGCTGCCGCTGCCAGTTCCAGTACTGTTGGAGCTGCTGCTGCCCGTGCTGCCCGTGCTGTTCGTGCTGCTGCCCGAGCTCTTTGTGCTGCCCGTGGTGCCCGTGTTACCCGATGAACCCGTGCTGTTGCCGCTGCTCGCGGTTGCCCCGGAACTGCTAGTACTGCTCCCGCTGGTATTTCCCGCACTGCTACCATTTCCGCCACTCGACACAGTTCCCCCTGTTCCCCCCGTTCCCCCCGTGCTTCCGCTGGTCCCGGTGCTTCCGCTCGCGCTCGTTCCGCTTGCGGCCCGCGTCGTTTCAAGGTTCCCGGGAGGAGTCTTCTTGGGGGAAGCGGAAGGTTGCGGTGCCGGGGACTTCTGCGCGGGAGGTTTCTGAGCGGGCGGGGAGCGCGGGTTCGGTTTCGGGGGGGACTTGGAAGCTTGTTGTGGGGTCTTCGGGGCTGAAGCACTGCCGGCATTCGCCTTCGGGGGGCTTTTATTGTTGGATGCTGTAGGTGGGCTCTTACTGTTCGCCCCCTTCGGTGGGATTTTATTGCCAGTGCCCTTAGGAGGGCTCTTATTACTCGTGCCCTTTGGCGGGCCCTTGGTATTGGCCGGCGAACCTGGGCTCTTGCTCGGAACCTTCGTTGGGCTCGGAGTCTTGCTGCTGCTGATGCTGGCCTGCGTTGACCGCGTTGACTGAAACGACGTAGCCTCGGCTGTGACAACAGCGCGAGCGATCGCAACATCCTGAGGGGTGATCGCAGACGCCGTTGTAGCGAGGGGCCCATGGGGATCCCTGAACCCACCCCCAAAATCCGAGGGTACAACGTCTTCTGGTCTGGGGGCAGTGTGGCGCGCCAGGTTGTTTCCGGCAAGCGATCGGCCGGGCCAGTGAGCGGCTCTCCGCGAACGCGCGGACGAATGGAAGGCGGAGGCTTGCGCGAGGAGCGCAAGAGTGGGGAGAAGCGCGGCAAGGAGTGGCAAAAGCGCGGAGCGTCGGCATGGTTGCCGGCAGAACGAACGACGGCCTCTAGAAGTTGCCATCGATGGCAACGGGCCTCGCCTCAGGTGAGAAGGGGAGAGTGCTGACGTTGATCCAACTAATTCTTTTTGTGAGAACGGGTTTCTAGAAATCGTTTTTAAGTGGCGATTCCAGAAGATGATTTAGCATCAGGTTTCGGTCCTCCAACAGAATTCCGGCTAACTAAGAAAAGCTAGTGATCGATCGTCCGGAATTCACTTCAACAGGAGCAGCATCTAACGGAAAAATATGACTGTTTGTGCTAGCTTTATGTCGTTGAAGTGACGCGTGCTATCCCCATGCCAGGTGAATGTCGAATGACATTGCAGGGCAGGGAGGAGGGTAAGGGGAGGTATGATTGGGAAGTTGATGGGAAGGAAAGGGGGAACAAAGCGGTGTGGGGTACAGCACAGCTGGGCTGATTTTTGGCCCGGCGCGATTTGTTGCCTCTGGCCTATAATTGTGCAAATTGCTCGCTATAAATTTCCTTGGCGGCATTTGGGCGATCCGAGTCGCGTGCATTTCTTCCCAAATGTGTTCATCAATTTTAGCGATGGCGGATTCTTGGCGACACGTCGAGGCCCCCTGCGAACGCCGTCGGTCAGGAAGAAATCGCCTCGCACATGTGCTGGGCTGGCAAAGCACTGCTTGGGGTGGTCGGTCGGGGCGATCGCGAGTCGTACGCGCGATGCGAAAACAGCGACGTCTCTTGGTTATGAGTTTCGTCGGAATTTCCACGCCGATTTGGAAGAACGTTGCCCAATGATTTACATAAGTCTACACCTGCCTGTGCTTCTAGTGGTATATAGTTAGTTTTACAACTGCTACTTTGGATGTACAATGCATGCATCCATAACATTGCCAGAACCTCAAGATTGAAGGAATGGAGAACATTTTATAAAATAATTGGAACCAAATTGTTGAAACCCTGTCTGACACATAGGCTAGAGACACCCTGCTGTCAATTTCTTGCAAAAGGGGATGAGCTCAAATGTATTTGCAAATACTAGCTTGTCATACAAATAATCACAACAATAAATGTGCAGGTTGGGACTTATTGCAATGGTTTATAAAGCATATCCAGGTTCCACCTGGTACCCCCACTGGAGCTCTGGAGCATGTCGCCCTAGAAGCATTTTTCCCAAGCATATCACCATAGCAGCATGTCGGATCACCTAAAACCTACCTTATTGGAACAATAAATAGCCCCATCCCCACCTGTGGAAGGTACACAGCAATGTCTACACCTACAACTAACCCCTACGCTCTAACAACACAGTTCTCACTAGGCAGGGCCCCAAGGGTAGTCAGCCACAAGGAATTTCTGTCTGTACTGTCTGAAACGCGCCAGTTGCACTGCTGACGGAACCCCCATCCACGGGGCCCTGGCGAGGTCGCGCCACGACTTGCACGGAGGCACGGCGCCGCTGGGCGGCACGCGGCACGTCCTGCTGACGTCGAAGTGGCTGTATTGCACCTTGATCGGGCCGTTCGCGTAGCTGGGCTTGAGCTTGCTCCACGACGACGCGTCCCAAATGGAGCCCTGGAGATTCGAAGAATCAATGAAGAAAGGGGTTAACGAAGGCTTCACATTTTGGTGGGGCTGGGCAAGGAGGATTGAAGGACGGCAGGGTAATACGAGCGAGGCCTGATTTTCTGTATGGAGGCCAAAGACCTTCTTATGCCCAGTACAGAAAGACACTATACTGCACCTGAATCTCGCGTCGTGGTTTTAGCCGTCCGATTCTGATCGATGGTTCCAACTCACCTTGATCTTGACGTTGTCGGATGGGAAATGCTTTCCGGGCTAACTGCTGGTGATGCGAATCGACGCATTGTCCACCAACCAGATTACCCGATCGGCATTAAAAGATTTTCATAAGATGTTAACTCACCATGATTTTGACGTTGTCAGATGGGAAGGGATTCCCGGGCGCCCGGCTGGTGATGCGGATGGGCGTATTGTCCACCAACCACATGACCCGATCGGGCGAGTACACGATCGTGTACGTGTGAAACGCCGCCGACGGGTCGAACGGGAAGCGGAACTGCTCCAGCTTGACCTGCCCGCCCGTGATGAGGTTGGTGTGGATGGTGATGTTGCGCGGGTCCGTGCCGCCGAGGAACTCGAGGTCAATCTCGTCGTGGATCGACTGGTATGACGAGGCGCCGGGCTTGATGAGGTAAATGCACGGGATGACGCCGCCCGAGTAGCCCACGGGGAGCTTCATTCGCACGGAGTAGATGCCGTAGCTGTACACGCCCTTGGACTCGAAGACTGCAAGGTTGGGGGAGAGTGATTGTCAGGAAGTATAGGCAACCAAACCCTCGACGGCGGGATTATCAGGGTGTTAGGGACAGTGTGAGAAGAGAGGGGTGACGCAGCCGAAGTCAACATTGGGCATGAAGTATAACATTCACTCTTCGGACTTGTAGTAGCTTGATCACGCATAATGCTGTCGCATGGTCCAGTCGCATTCGCATGCTATTATCGCATGGCATTGTCGCACGCTGACGTCGCATGCTCACCTCCGACGGATTTGGGGCTGACGGCGAGGGCGATGCTTCCGTCAGGCGCGCTGGTGCAGAAGGGCGGCTTGCACCACGAGGGGAAGACGAAGTTCTGATTGAACGACACGTCCACTCGCTGCGCGCCGACGACCGCCATGGAGCTCACAGCAAGGATCACGGCGAAGAGACGGAGTGATAATGCCATGGCTGAAGGGAAGCCTGGCGATTTCGGCGCTGATAATGGGTGCTTCTGACTGTCTGCACCCTCGGATAGGCAGTGAGAGGCTGGGAGACGAATGGGGAGAGGTCGAGGAGAGTAGCAGGAAAATCGATTTCTTCTGGAGTAGCTCTGTAGAAAAATGATCTCAGCCACTAAATATAGGAGGGTGCTGTGCCACTGTGTGCTGTGCGTCTGTTTGACCAGCTACTCACACTCCCGCGCTGGGCTAGTTATCAATGAGCTGGGATGGGATGGGATGGTTGTGGCATAGGGGGGCTGATTTATTTGTCCGAGAGGTTGGCTGCCCACTTAGTGGTTGGTTGTGTACTTCACTGCGTCACTGCATTCTAGTTGATGTGGGCAGCGGGGAGCGTGTGAACGAGCATTCCTGCGCGACGCGGCAAGATATCGCGGTCAGAGAAGGCTGTGTGTCAGTTTGTTTTTCTGCCCTTGTGTACTTCGAACTCGCAACAGTTTCAAACAACACGATATCGGAGTAAAAAAAATGAGGAAACAAAGGGTGTTAAGTCTTATTGCTCCAAGTTTATGTAACAATAAAGATACACTGGTGACACAACTTTCCTAATCACAGTTCTGTGCCGTGAATCGCGGCGCCCATGATATGCCCCTTGCGAATCGCGAGCCACAATGGCCTTGAAATTGTTCCATCGTGACTCGTAGGTCACACACTCCATGCCTGCAAGTGCGGCGACTCGCCATCTAGCTGGAAGTGTAGAGGTACAAAATATACAGTGAAGGATCAAGTAGTTAGCAGGGTTATACATGAGAAGCTTGCTGTCTGTTAGGCCCCTTGGCCTAAATCCGCTAAAGAGCGGGGTCGACTAAGTCGAGGACGAAACGCGGCGGAAGACTTTTGCGAAAGAAATATTGGCGAAATAAGCGAAGAATTTATTGAGTAATTGAAGAGTTGAATGAGAACTGGTTTATAAACAGTTGATAATGGCAAGTACAGGAGATGCTTATATAGCGAACAAGAGATAATGTTGGAAAGTAGTTTGTGGGACTATGAATTGGAAAGCTAGAAGAGTAGATTGCCATGTGGCACAAGGAAATCTGGTAAATCCCAAAGGGATTGGATGAAGATAAGGTTGGGATTATGTTGGGGGCATTGTTTAGGGTAACCCACCCTTGAACAGTAAAATACCTCGTAACACTACTGTCAAACTGTTAGAATGCTTACTTTGTATAGGCTATAGTGGGGTAGCCCATAAAGGGTAAAACCCAATTAGGGTTATTTCTTGTACCCAACTTTTTCATAGTTTATTCATTATCGTCCATTCTTCTGACATGGTATCAGAGCAGGTCCTTCCCTAAGACCGTTTTTTGTAGGGCCCACAACAGAACTGCCCCAGTCACTGCCCTGCCCTAAAAGCGCGCCGCCCTACAGCACAGCGCGCCGCCCTTAGCAGCCCGCGAGCCGCCCCTGCAGCCCGCGCGCTGCCCCTTCAGCCTCGCGTGCCACCCCTGCAGCCCCGCGCCCCGCCCTTGCAGCCCCGCGCGCCGCCCCTGCAGCCCGCGCGCCGCCCTTGCAGCCCCGCGCGCCGCCTTTGCAGCCCGCGCGCCGCCCCTGCAGCCCCGCGTGCCGCCCCTGCAGCCCCGCGCGCCGCTCCTGCAGCCCCCGTGCCGCCCCTGCAGCCCCACGCGCCGCCCCTGCAGCCCCGCTCCCCGCCCCTTCAGCCCCGCGCGCCGCCCCTGCCGCCCGCGCGCCGCTTGCCTGCGGCCCGCTCGCCGCCCCTGCAGCCCGCACGCCGCCCGCTTGCGGCCCGCCCGCCGCCCCTGCAGCCCGCGCGCCGCCCGCTTGCGGCCCGCCCGCCGCCCCTGCAGCCCGCGCGCCGCCCGCTTGCGGCCCGCCCGCCGCCCCTGCAGCCCGCGCGCCGCCCGCTCGCGGCCCGCCCGCCGCCCCTGCAGCCCGCGCGCCGCCCGCTCGCGGCCCGCCCGCCGCCCCTGCAGCCCGCGCGCCGCCCGCTTGCGGCCCGCCCGCCGCCCCTGCAGCCCGCGCGCCGCCCGCTTGCGGCCCGCCCGCCGCCCCTGCAGCCCGCGCGCCGCCCGCTTGCGGCCCGCCCGCCGCCCCTGCAGCCCGCTCGCCGCCCGCCTGCGGCCAGCTCGCCGCCCCTGCAGCTTGCTCGCCGCCCCCCCTGCGGCCCACCTGCCGCCCCTTGCAGCCTGCGAGCCGCCCCTCTTGCAGCCTGCGCGCCGCCACTTGCAGCTCGCTCGCCGCCCCCCCCCCCCCCCCCCTGCTGCTTGCACCGCCCGGCTCCTGCATGCCCTGCTGCTGGCCACCCTAGCCGTGCGTTGCTCTGCTCTACCTGCGTGCTGCTCTGCTAGTAGCGCGCCACACTGCTCTGCCCGCTATGGCTTCTCTCCGTGTCCTCACGTTCGATCATGAGGGCCGTCCGATCCAGTTCGACACGTGGCTCGACGACTTACAGCTGTACCTGTTGAGCGACTCTAGAGACAACGTTTCATTGTTTGACCACACGTCTGGAGCCTCTCTCGCCCCTCCCGCCACAGCTGACAGTGCGACTCGCTCATAGTGGCTTACCCGTGACGCTGCTGCTCGCTTAGCCGTTCGCAACCACCTGCCGTTAGCCGAATGCGCTCACTTTGGAAAGCACAAGACCGCTAAAGCACTGTACGACGTTGTAGTCGCTCGGTTCTCCTCCTTTGCCACTACTTCTGTAGGCCGTCTTATACTGCCCTACCTGTTTCCCGATCTGTCCGCCTTTGCCACGGTAGAGGACCTCATTTCCCACCTTTCGCACTAGCGACGCTTGCTACCGCGCTGCCCACCCAGCAGAGTTCCTTGACAGGAACCCCCCTCCGATGTACATCACTCTCTAATTCATCGTCACCCGCCTCCCTGACTCTCTTCGCGCAGTCAGGGACCACTTTCTCGCACTTGACCCCACAGACCTCACTGTTGACCCGCTCGAGCAGCACCTCCTTGCAGCTGAGACTAGTGTAGTCGCAGTAGGCGTCGCTTGTGGCACTCCTCGCACGCTCGTCTTTGAGGGGTGTTTTCCCTCCCCTCTTGCCCCCACCTACGCCTATGCTGCCGCTGTTGACGTCTTTGGTGCTGAGGACGTCGGGGCTGCTTCTGCTAGTGGGAAGCGCCGCAGCAGCAAGGGAAAGGGTGGCAGGAGTGGTGGGGGTGGCAGCGGGGGTGGTAGTGGGGGCGGCAGTGGAGGTGGTGGAGGTAGTGGAGGTGGTGGCAACGGTGGGAGTGGTGGCGGGAGTAGGGGCTTTGGTGTCTGCGGTGGTGGCAGCGGTGGGAGTGGCGGTAGTGGCGGCGGCGGGGGTGGTGGCAGTCGGGGTGGAGCTGTTCCGAGGGGAGGTTCTGGCGGTGGCCAGCGGCAGCAGCGGCAGCGTCGGAGCGAGACCCCTTCACCCCAGCAGCTTCGTGAGTGGTTTGCTCAACATGGGGCGTCTGGGGGTAGTGTTAGCTACCCGTATGTCATTCGCACTGGTGACCGCGCTGGTCAGACATGCGGGAAGCCTCACACTCAGCACCGCTGCTTCTCCCGCCTAGACGACGCTGTGAGAGAATTGAGAAGGAAATGAATGCACTAGAAAGCAATTGAGTACATATAGGAAACCTAACAGGGTTGTACTCACTATGGAGTACCCCACTGCAGACTAGAGAAACATGATATTCTGACACACCCCCATAATCAAAGTGGGGTATGATCAGCACAAGAAGCAAAGCAAAGCAAGCTCAGGGTGGATCACAATGTCACCACACATTCTGAGCACAAGTACAAGAAGTAACAGTTTAAAGTTCACAATAAATAAGCAAAGCTAGAGGCTATCACAGAGGGCAAGTGAGGAGGAGGAGGCTGGACTAATAGGAGAGGAGAGAGGAGGCAACGGCGGAAGCTGCAGACACACGGGCAACAGGAGCGGCGCGCACTGTGGCTACCGGAGGTGCACCTCCGGACTACAGGAGTAACTGGCTCCGCGGCTAAGACGAGCGGCAGGAGCAACGGACCCACGGGCGACTGGCGCAGCGGCATCACTGGGCTACCGGAAGCGCACCTCCGGACTACTGGCACTGCTAGCAACACGACGGCTACCTCCACCCAACCTCCCTCTACTGCCGCCCCCCCATTCACACACCCCCTGCTGCACCCCTAGGTTCACTCACACGTCACCCCTTAGCACCACGCCTTTGGCTCACACTCATCCACCCCCCTCAGCGGCAGCTGCAGCAGTGGGAGACAAAGGAGGAGGAGGGGAAGGGAAACGTACCACCCATCACCCCCATACCCGCCACCCCCATACCCTTCGTTCCACGGCTGCACGCGCAGCAGGGAGACGAAGAAGGGGGGGGGGGGGGGGGGGGGGAGAGCAGCAACGGGCGGCAATGGGCAGCACAGGGAGGCGGCGGCACCGGGTCCAGGGGCGGCGTCGCGGGGTCCAGGGGCGGCTGCTCCAGGGGCCAGGGGCAGCTGCTGAGGTCCAGGGGCGGCTGCACTAGGGGCGGCTGCTCCAGGGGCCAGGGGCGGCTGCTCCAGGGGCCAGAGGCGGCTTCTCTGGGTCCAGGGGCGGCGTCGCGGGGTCCAGGGGTGGCTGCTCCAGGGGCCAGGGGCGGCTGCTTCAGGGGCCAGGGGCGGCTGCTCCAGGGGCCAGGGGCGGCTGCTCCAGGGGCCAGGGGCGGCTGCTCCAGGGGCCAGGGGCGGCTGCTCTGGGTCCAGGGGCGGCTGCTCCAGGGGCGGCTGCACCGACGCGCGCCCCCCCCCAGGTCGCCCCTCCCGTCGCCTATTGAGGCAACCTAGGGGGGGGGGGGGGGGGGGGGGGGAGGAGTACGGGGGGGCCGACACGCGGCCTCCCAGGGCGCCAGAACAGGCGGAAGGAGGGGCGACGCGCGCCCCCCCAGGTCGCCCCTCCCGTCGCCTTGCGTGGTGAGCGGGGGGGGGGGGGGGGGGGGGGGGGGGGCACGCGCCCCCCCCCCCCCGGGTCGCCAC